TAGTACTAAAGGCTTAATTTATTAGTATAATACTAGTAGTATAAATAGTTCTTAAAAGAAATCTTTACTAGAGCCATTAAGATTTGGGAACTTAATATATCTGGGTTATTAAGATATTAGGATACTATCTATATACTAAATAAGCCGGCTCTTAAAAAAAAATTACTATAAGCTAACTATAATAATCTTATAAGTGGGTATTTTAGTACTAGTAAGATATTAGAGATTCTCTAGAGAAAGTACTTCTAGTAAAGTATAAGAAAGAATATAAAAGACTATATTAGAACTTGTCCTATATATTAATAGATTAAGGTAAAGAAATATCTACTATATAATATACTTAGTTCGTTCTTTCTTCTCTCTAAGCCATAGCAAGAAATTACTATAGACTTTATTACGGGGCTACCTCTTTCTAGATTTTATAGTAAAATATATAATTCTATACTTATTATTATTAATAGGTATATGAAAATAGTATAATATATTCCGACTACTAAAGAAGTCTTGGCTCCTGAGCTAGTAGAGCTATTTATATACTATATTATTAAAGACTTTAGTATACTTACGGGTATAATCTCTAATAGAGGATCTGTTTTTATAAGTAAGTTCTGGTTAAATCTATATTTTTACTTAAAAATTCAATAATAGCTAAGTATAGTATTTTATCCGTAAACTAATAAATAAATAGAGAATCTAAACCAAACTTTAGAATAATACTTGAGGTATTATACTAGCTACTAGTAGGATAACTAGGTAATAAAGCTTACTCTTATAGAATTTATATATAATAACTCTATATATTTAATAATAGGAATATCTCTATTCTATATCTTATATGAATTTCATCCTAGTATTAAACTATATATTAAGAATAATATTCCAGAAAAAGAAGTACTAGTAATATAGGAAAGAATATAAAGAATTCAAATAGAATAGGAGGTACTAGAAAAATAATAGTAAGAAGTAGTAAATATATAAAAAAAGTACTATAATAAGAAATATATTAATAAGAAGTTTAAGATATATAATAAAGTTATGCTTTATATAAAGAACATTTAATAGCTATAACCTAGTATAAAGCTAATAGATAGATATCTTGGCTCCTTTAAAGTTCTGGAAGTTATAGGAATATATAAATAGGTATATTACTTGAAATTACTACTATTATATTAGATTTATAATATTTTCTATATTTCTTTCTTGGAACCATAATACCCGCAAGCTAGTACTATAGTAGAACTAGAGCCGGTTAAGATTAAGGATAAAGAAGAATTCGAGATAGAATCTATTATAGCCTATAGAGAGAGTAGAAAAGAAAGGAAGTATCTCGTTTATTAGAAGGGCTACTTATTAGCAAATAATATATAGGAACTACTAAGTAATCTAGAGAATATAGCTCAAGAATTATAAGAATACTTGGAAAAGAGTAATATTATAATACTATTAGCTAAATAGAGATATAAAAAATAAATGCTTTTATTAGAAAACTATTAAAAAACTATATATTTATTCTTGGAAAAACCATATGAAAATTATTAAAAATTCTAATTTCTATATTCTATAAATACCCTATTCTCGTAACTATTCTCTACTATTCTTATTATTATTCTTATTAGAATTTTCTCGAGAAATAAGTAATAAATTGGCCTATAAAGCTATTAGCTATTAGTAAGAAATAAGAAAGAAGTAAGCTTACTTAATACTAAAGAATATTAATTATATTATTAAAAGTACTTTATACTTATACTAAGCTAGTAAGAATTACTTGACCTATTCCTTGGATTATTAGGGGAATTCATTAGCCTCGAATAATAGCTTTAATACGAGAAGTATATATAGTTTAATATAAAAGAAGAATAGTAATAGCCTTCTCTCTTTCGGGTAAAGAATAGGGAAGATACTTATATATATTAATGGCTTAAAGAAGGCAGTTTAATTATACTATATATACTTGAGAAACCTTAGATAGTATTAGAATAAGAAATAAAAGAAGAAATTTATAACTTATAGGATTATATTTCTTATTCTTAGAGTAGTAGTAATTATATACCGAGTAATTATTACTCTTAATATAAATAAGGTCGGGAAATTTAGTAATATTCTTAGAATATTAAAGATAGTAAGGGCAAATTAAGGATATGGAAGCATTAGCCAAATAGGTAGTAATAGGCTAATAAATACTAAGAGAAGTATTTATCTTAATAGATAAAGAAGTAGAAGAGGGAATTAGAAGGGAACTTAAATAAAGCTTGAATAAGGCTTAAAGAAGCTTAAAGGAGCTTGAAGAAGGCTTAAAGAAGGAAGATAAGAGACGAGAAGGAGCTGGGTACGGTATTATAATTAAGGAAAAGAAAGGTTAGTTAGTAGAAAAAGAGAGGCCTTTTTATAATACCCTCTTCCCGAATAGTAATTACGAATTCGGAACCGGCTCTATACCAGGAATACCCAGAAAATTCCAAAGAAGGGATTTACGAATGAACCAGAAGATCGGATTAACTTTTCCAAGCTCTTGGGCCTATAGAGTAATAATTTATTCGTAAATAGAGGCTAAGTTAGGATTTATAAACTAATCAGGAGATCGGATAAGCTTTATATCCGATAATATATACTATATTTATACTACCTTTGCAAGGGGAAATCGCCAGAGGCGATTTGCGAACTAGCTAGAAAGGGTTAGTAAACTATATCCTTAACTCCATTACCTGGCGTAATAATAGGGTAATTATGGGAAGTCTTTGGGGAAAGCTAGCGGCCAGGAAAGTTTCAGGAGGATATTTGTAAAGCTATTTGCAGTTTTCCCAGGCCTCTTGGGGACAAGGGCCTAGAGGGGAGGTTAATATAATAGGCATACGTAATGGCATATAGACAGGTATTAGATATTGTGGATCTAGTTTCCTATTTTGGGTATAGCTTGCGATCGGAATCATATAGATCGCATGGGATTTCCTAATTAAGTAAAGGGCTTCGCATGCCTGGCTAAGTACTAGGGAATATATAGGGAGACGCTCCTAGCTTTGGAAGGGGCATTGATTAGTCTCTTGTTAGAATCAATTCTTGGAATCAGTTACACTTGTAAGCGTTACTCTATAGCTTACTTACCTTGACTACTTGTGTATTACCCTGCTATTACATGCCTTATATTGGCTTTAAACCGGCCGTGCCATTAAGCTTTTAGCTACGGCAGGGCCGGCGAACTAGCTACCGTACCATAACTTGTTATGCGGTCTTATATAAATAATACTTTACTTAGGGAAAGTATCTAGTAGGGTTATATAATAGGTAGCATATTTATAAAAAGTACTAAATATTAATTCCTAGGATTTGTATTATTGTCCATTTGGCCCTTTGGCCCTTTAATACCATATAGAATTATTAATTAATTACTATTAAGGTAAAGTATTATATATATTTGAGTATAATATCTTGTGGCAGACGGAGTTAAATAAGTGCTTAATAGATCAGTGTGTGTTTGCATATATTAAAGTTGAAATTTCGGTAAGTTATTTGGTGCGGCTCTTGCGAACAGGGATCCAAAATCAGCCCCGAAAGAACCCCTGCCTTACTCTTTCCAATTTTAGCCAGCGGCAGTCGTAGCCGAGGAGCCCAAACGGGTCACCCCTGTCCACCGTGGGCTCACCTCCTTGGCTCACTTGCTCAGCCTGGCTCAGGTTTGGCTCACCCACAGCTCAGGCTATAGCAGCAACTGCTCAGGTCCAAAGACGGAAATGGAAAATGCTCACGTCGAGATTCCGGTATCGATCAAGCTGTTGCAAGCATGCCCATCTCCCCAAAGCTACATACAAACAAAAAAGCGTTGGACGGTATCAGGTTCGCCTTCGCACATGCAACCAATATCGACCAAACCCCATAATACCTTCCGGTTTTCCTTCTCCAGGTCCGTATGACTTCCACGAAAGCCGGACTCTAATCTCATCCTTGCCAGTTCCGTTTTAGTCTCTGGACGAGAGCAGCTGCTGCTTTAACCTGAGCCGAGGGTGAGCATGCCTGAGCAGAGCCTGAGCAGAGCCCGAGCATCCTGAGCATGCCCTGAGTATCCTGAGCACGCCCAGAGTCAGCCTGCGCACTATAATATGGAGCCCATCTTGGCCTCTTTGTGCCCCAGGTACAGTTTCCTTACCGAAATTTGCCCGAGGAATCCGTTTCTGCTCCCACACAAGGTTTCTGTCATAGCTGGTTTTGGATCCCTCTATCATGTCTAGTATACACGATCGCGAGGTTTATTTTTGGGTCTCTAAACGAATCCGTCTGCCGTCCGCCAACGCTTTCCACCCGGAAAATCAATTGCATAGTGTTTCCCGCTTCGACGCTTACCTTATCTTATTGCTGTTGAGAGGAGGCAACTTTAGCATCATGTCAATCTTCTTAAGGACCAAAGAAAAGGAATATATCCCACGAAATTTCATACTGAAAAATAGATAAGTACATTGCGATGCTAATTGGCGATCCAAAAAAGAATAGGGAATTAAAAAGCTTCCTCTTTCCGCCTGGACAAGCAAGAGACTTCCTAGGAAACGTGTGTGTAGATCAAATGATAATAATTCAGAACAGACATCTAGCCTTTTGTGATGAAACCCACCGTGCGAGAAATGTTCCTTGTGCAAAAGCACCTTGAGTGGACATATTGAGTACAGTAGCCGGAAAAGTAGACTGACATGGTCTAGGTTGGCAGGCTTGATCCTTTGGGCAGCATCCTTGCATGTATCCGATATTGCTTTCCCCAATTGTGTGCTATTGTCGCCAAATCGGGGTTTGAGCGGTCGAGCGGTGTGGGCGTTTGGCTGGTAAACTGTTGAGCAGGCTCTAGGTCTGTCTGCCTGAAATCCCAACACATCTTTGTTGCCCGAGGCGTCAAATGTAATGCCAAAGAAAAAGTGGCCCGTGCGCAGACCTCAAAATCGACGCCTCCTTATTTTACGCCTCATCATTGAGTTGTAGCATAAGAGAATCAGAGCTAGCAGACTACGAAGGTGCTATAGTGTACGGCTCCTCCCGCATCCCAGCTGAGATAGACCCAGCTCCAATATTGGCGGCCCGACAGTAGGCGGGAATCGCTACACCGCCTCGTATTTTGGCCATAGATCGGGCCGCAGATGAGCGAAGACTTTGACTGACAGCGATGGTTGCCTTGAGGTCTCCTGGCCAATACCACCAAGTGGTGGCTGTGTCTCCCAACTTGCCCCCCTTTCCTTGAAAATTGAATGTCTGCCTGTACAATGAAACTTTTCTCCATATCTACATATCCTCCTAACGAAATCACAGAGCATCAACGAACTCGCATCCCAAGAGATTGGCCTATTGCCACGCAATGGACATAAACTTGCTCTGCACTTCTTGCAAAGGAATTCCATTACCATGGAGTTTCTCTCCTAAGCAACCTCTTTTTGCACCGTTCTCTCGATTCGGGACGCAAGGACGTGCACCGTTCCCTCGGCATGGCGCAGAACAAGTATATCGCAGACTATCAACCATAAGAGAAGGCGCTGGAAGAGGCTGCATAACTTGTATCCGTATAATCCAGTATCTCCCCGAAGATTCCCCGAAATGCGAGGCGGTGGTGGTCTGTCTGTTGAGTGTGGGATGGGAAATTATTGGACATGCTGGGTTTGACTTCGGCCCTAACTTTCCTGACCAATTGGCATTGTCAAGTAAGCCATACACACCCTTTGTAAATGCCGTACCATTCTAATAGCAATAGAGTATTGGGTTTCTATGTCTATGGGAGAACAACGAGATCTCAGTTTCGCTCGCGGATCCTCGTGGATCAAGAACTGCTTCGAAAATCATCCACATTGTGCATTGCAAAGCCATCATCTAGGCAATTACATACCCACAAGAGTCATAGATATTGGTTCTTTCACGTCTCCTCGTTCGCCACGTTTACTTGTCCCAAATGGCTCTGTGATCGTCGATTCTAGATACATTGCGCTAAGTCATTCATGGGGCTGCAACATGCCAAGCTCAGCAAAAACATTGTCCGGAACTTTCGAATCGCACCTCAAAAGGATCTGTGAAGCTAGCTTACCTCTATCTTTTCGAGATGCGTTCGATTTTGCACGAATACTCGGAGTGAACTACGTTTGGATTGACTCTCTATGCATTATCCAAGATTCTACATCAGATTGGGAGCAAGAATCAGCGAAAATGAGTAGGGTCTACGCGGAATCCTGGTGCACACTCTCCATCTCATATAAGAACGAAACACATTCTACCTTTCATGAGCCTGACGTGCTTCAAATCCTTCGAGGCATGTCAGGTCAAACGGAGATGAACTATGACATCCCGCAGAAAACTAGGATGCTCCTAATGAAGCTCTGGCTCGATGAAGTGATGTTTCAGTCACCAGATTGGGAAGATAAGGCTCGAGAGGAGCTACAAAAAAGAGTGGAGTGGATTGATTCTTTGAATAGCATTCCGCTGAATGAAAGAGGCTGGACTTTACAGGAACGTGAGCTTTCACCAAGAGTCTTTCACTATACTCCAAAAACTGTTCTCTGGGAGTGTAGATCACTACGAGCTACAGATACAAATCCCCAGGGTTTCTCCGATCATGGCTCGCTGGACCAAGGATTTCTTGGCGAGCTGACTAAAATCTCACGTTATCGACTCTTGGATACTTATCCTATCAACAGAGAACCAGCTCCTGTTGGACTCTCTTTGGCGTCCGGCCTTCACAGAATATTTGCGTCCAAGCGAGACGACGCAATATACGACTCCTGGTTCCGTGTTGTTGAGGACTATTCTCAGAGGGACCTGACATTTCCTAATGATAGGTTTCCAGCTATCTCTGGGTTAGCACAGGAAGTAGAGGCTTTAACCGGTGATCGTTATCTCGCTGGTTTATGGGAGAAAGACTTTCTTCGAGGTCTTGTCTGGAAGACTGTTCCTGATAATCGCAGTGCTACGTTTGGCCCCGAATTTCTCTTGTCCGCTCAAAATCTTCTGGACATCATTCATCCTACTCCAAAGCCTACTTATGCCGCGCCGTCCTGGTCCTGGGCTTCCTCAATAAAGCCCGTATCTTATGGACTTCTTGTGCTCAATATCAACCCTCCTAGTATACCCGAGGGAGACGATCTGCTACTTAACATAGTGGACGTGAATATACAAGCTTTAGGTCCTGATCCTCGGGGCTGCCTATCAAATGGGGGATATATCATTGTTACTGGCAAGATCAAACCGAAAAGGCACTTTACAGAAACACCAGTTTCAGATAAAGGGGCAAATTATGGAATGGAGGTTCACTTTGACAGCGATCTAGACAGATCGCGAGATGATCTCATGGTCCTTCCAGTTCTTATTGCTGACCATATGATTCCGTGGGTCACTGGATTGCTACTTCAGCCAAGTGGTGATACAGCCAAGGAGTACAGACGTGTGGGCGTTGTTGGATTCATGCGAAAATCGTATTTTACTGACGCGGAGGATGTCACAATCAAAATTGTGTAAAGTCAATAGTTATAGTAGTAGCACATTTTATAAGCATGCATGATGCATTCCTTCGAGCTTGTGCGAGGGCTGCGCTCTTATGGCTGATCTATGGTTAACGAGGTCCTTCAATACTAGCAATTTACCCTTGACTTCGCAACTATTTATAGGATAGAAGGACGAAACACAAGACATGAAAGGGTTTTAGAGGTATGAGATATGCTTTGAGATGAGATATTGGGAATGCGATAGGGCGGTGTTGGCAGGTGAAGGATGTAATATTATACTATATTAGCGCCGCCTACGGCCCTGTCTATCTCTTCCTGCTCCCTAACAAAAGACTCCCCCCAGAATCTCTTTAATGGACCGCGCGCATGGGGTAGACTACGTCGGAAGTATTCTCGCTATGGGAGCCTTCATCTCTGGCGTCGTGGCCGTGTCTTTCAATGGTATAACCGACGAGTGGGGTTCCGGACAAACCATTAATTAATCTCTTCTGCTATTCTGGTGTCCTCTTCATCCTCTTAGGACTTCAACAAGTTTACGCCATTTTCACCACCACTGGTTGACGTGTTTTCCCAGTTGAGTTTTTCAAGTCGAGGGCTATGCTTATCCTCTTCGTTATGACCGCTATAGGCGGAGCCGCAACCGTCGTCCCTATTTAATCCCGATCTTCTTTTAGTTTACCCGAACGACACCGCCCTCGAAGCCAGCGTGCGTCTTCTCCCCTTTATCATGCTCATAATTTTCGCCGTCATCGAAAGTGGCGCTATTCTCTCTACCTACGGCTACTATATGCAGAGGTACACGCTCGGCGGTCTCGTCTGCCTTACCGGCGGCGCGCTCATGGACTGCTCAGGTTGCTCAGACTGGTCAGGTGAGCTGGCTGAGCCGAGAGTGAGCCGAGGGTGATTAGCTCCCGAGCAAGAGCGGCAAGCTTACCAACCGAATGCGGCACGAAGATTGAGGGATTAGAGTTCAACTACCATAAAAGTCCAGCATCAAGAATCGATGATACCTGTAAGCCAGTAACCCAAATCCGTTCCAATCAATTAAGGCCAGAACGAGAACTCGAGTGCTGTCAGGAATCCGAGGATCTGAAAATCGGGTCGTAAAAGCCGTCCCACCAGAGAATCGAATACAAGAACTAAGACGACGCAAGTGCTGTCGGCTCGCAAAAGGAAAATTTGTGTGGAGAATTGTACATTGTGTTCGACTTCGCAGCGCAATCAACGCCGACCAAACTCGATGACCGCTTCATCCACGACTTTTCCGTTAAGCAGATTCCTGAATTGAAGATTCGCCCCCTTGTCACCAAACCTGACTTGAAGTTGATGTGAAAATTGTTCCACATTTCTTCCCAACCTCGCATTGTATGTCGTCCTCAAGCTAGGACCAAAGTCAAAGTCTTTCTCGAATTTGGATGTGATGCCGCCGACTTCTTCAACTCCTATTACAGTTAGTCTTAGCTTGGGATTGCGGCGGCAGTACTTAGGTGTAAATTGTGACGTACTGGGATTCGAATAGTACTCCGGAGGGTCATTCAACCCACAGGAATACATGATGATGTTTGAAGTGGCGGCCTGGCCAGGTGTAATAACACTGCGAACGTCTTGTGTTCTAAAAGTGTCACTGAATATCTTTTCGCCCTAACCGCACATTATATTATTAGAAAGCTGGACACCCCATTTGAGCAATCGTGACTTGCCTTTGCGATAACCCATTCCACTCTTCCACAGCAATATTTCACGTCATCGAAGTCATCGATCGAAGCTCGCTCCTCAGGATCAATACCCTCCCGAAATGGAATACACAAACCAAACCCATAGTGTCTGCGGGCGCGCTTCATGCGAGGGGCAATTCCTTCCAGACCGCGGAGGGCAGCACCTCTTACCACAGCAGATTGACTCCAAAACATTAGCTAAGTGAAGATTGGGTACTTGCTCCCGTCTGACTCACGGGTGGTCTGGACACATCAAAGTAATCCCTCCATTTCGTCGACACCATTTCTCAAGCTCCTTGAAAAGGTATGGTGATTCGCCAAAACCCCCAACGAGGATAATACGCTGGATGCAAGGTCAGCGCATCTTACGGTTCTATGCGACTTGGTTGGAGGGATTTACGTCAATTTTAGCCCCGTTATTCTCTTTTGCGTCTTTCACTTGCTGCCCAACTAATTGAAGAACATCCTGAATGACTGGGTCGAACAAGTCTTGCATGTCATCACTAAAAGCTATTAGGTGAGCTCATGATAACAGCGGCATTGCACTTACTATGAGAGTTTGATGAGCCGCTCTTCCTCGTCATAGAACTCGGAGTCCGGGATGCTGAGATTGATAGGACCCAGCTCTCGTTCTTCGTGGTTGTCCTTGAGTCCGAAATCTCGTTTAATTCCCTCAAAGCATGCCATAAATTTGCTGCCAGGGCCTTTTTGCGCCCACGAGACATTTTTGAAAGCATCTCCAAACCGCTGGGAGAGCAGAACATGCAGCCTTCGGTCAATATAAGTTGAGCCGTACTTGCCACCTAGAAAAATTACCGTATCAGAGCTCGATCGCAGTGCGAGGCTATCCGGGTTGGCTCAAAGGCGACTTACCAATGCCAACGCAGAGTTCCTCAAAATCTAATCGTGGCTCAACTTGGGTGATCTTGTAAGTTGTAATGTCAACCGTCCCTCCGCCACAGTCAAGGATCAATATGTTCTCGTTAGGCTAGAATCGTTAATTAAACCATTCGACATCCACTGCAAAAGACCGGGGGGCATACCTTGACGGGATTTAGGACATCAGGTCCAGATGCCGCGTACCTCTTCAATGTTGCGATGGCTGCGGCTTCAGGCTCTGAAATTGTGAAGACCTCATCCCCAGGCCGGTTGCCAAACCCAGCTCTCTTTGCAGCTTGCAGTGTTGCATCTTTCGCTTCGTCTGACCATATGGCTGGTAGAGTTACCCAGCACTCCATAGGGGTATTGTTGAAGGTGAAGTCAGTCATCTCTCTGCGCAATTTTGCAGAAACGTATTCGAAGACCTCGCGAAGAAAATCCTCGCACAGTCCCGGTGCGTCACGGAAATAGGGTAATCGCATCATGCCTTGAGGTGTACAATCGGCTCCAAGGAATGTTCGTCACGTGACTTCAACCCCTCCTAGACTTTAAATCAATATAACTTTATAAATACTTAATATAATTTTACAAAATAAACTTTGATTTAAAGCTTATTAATAAGTTATTAACTTATATAAACTATTATAATAAACTATTAAAAAAGTCTTATTAATATTTTATATTTATTTAATAATAAAAGTTAAAAATTAAAAATTAAATTAAAAATTATATAGATTTATATTTCGTAATTATTATTATATAACATATAGATATATTATATTATATTATCTTAAGTTTAATATTATTAAAAATCTACTAAATTTTATTAACCAAATATAAAGTTATTAAGATTTTTATAAAGAGTATTTTAAAGAAAATAAGCGAAAATAAGCGAAATTTTTATAATTTCAATATTTTTATTTATTACTTATTAGCTTTAAAAAAGATAACTTTAAATAAAACTTTAATATTATAAATAAATTTATATAAAATATATTATATAAGGGTTACTAACCTTTTCTATTAATAAAAACTAAACTATTTAAATCTTTATTAAAGGAACTTTTTTTAGCTTTATTTCTGTAATATAAACTAAATTATATATTAAACTAATTAAGTTAGAAATTAAATTTATCTCATATAAGTAATATTAAAGTTTTATAAGCCTACTTATAGAAAAAAGTAAGTCTTTTACTTTATAAACTTTAAAATTATGTAGTTTGAAAGTTGGGAGGGGGGTAATGTCACGTGACGAACATTCCTTGGAGCCGATTGTACATGCCGACATGTCCGAAAACAGGGTAGGGTCATCATATTGTGTAACGACTGCTTTCTTGTCGAGCAAAAGTTTGGTCCACGAATACGAGATTAGCTTGGAGTTGACCTCGAATCCCCACTTGTTACTTTGGAGACTTAAGTTTTCTTTCTTGTAAGCGATTCTGGTTGGGGTCTTCCAAGATATGAGGGTGTCTCCAGGCCATTTTGTGATGATGTTGATGTCGCCAATGTCACTCTTGTCGGTCGTAACATAGCTGACCCCTAGTGTAATGTATGTCAACACCAAGATACTGAAGGCAATCGAAGCCGGACGACATACCTGAGAAGGTGGTTCCATAGTCAACACCAACAATGATCTTATGTCGGGTCTGTTCAGCCGGCGCGAGGAGACGATTTAGGGCAGCTTCCATTTTCGCTGCTTTTCGGGCTTTGCGTCCTCCAGCAACATTCCAGCCATTGGAGGCCATGTTGATCGTATTATGCGAGCTTAGGAGTTGCCTGGTTGTTGACTTGATGTGGAGGATGGAAGATTTAAACGGCGGATGTGGAAGAAATTTGAAGTTGAATCCGCGTTGTTCCTGGGTGACAGAGAAGTGAATCGGGGAAGGAACCTTATGCGCAGGAAAAGTCGAGGCAAGGCAAGATCGAAACAAATAGTATTAAACACATAAGCACGCTGAAGGATTCTGAAAGATTCGGAAGCCCTTGCCAACGATACTTTATTCTTGGATGGTGGAGGCGCGAAGTAGAAAAGATCGATCCTCGAGATCATCTTGTTTGAGCCTTTTGAGCTCCTCTTCACTGGGAAGCTAGCCCTTGATTTAGCGAGAGGTTGAACAAATCAGAAGGCCTGAACCCTGGAAGCCCCTGCCAAGTCCGGACACCCACCAACCCGCACACAGATCAGACGAGGCTGCGAGGCTGCGAGGACAAGATACGCGCAGGATGCTCTTCGTCGCCACTACATCAGAATCTGGACAACCAACACAATCCTTGACTATCTTGTCAACTGCCGGAGAGGGTTGGAGGATACTTCTCAACCTCACTGAATTCGACAGCTTCACTTCGTCTGTCACTTCGAACAAACGGAGAACACATCCTGCGAGTGAATAGATCCCGCCGGGTCATTTCTATGTAAAGGATTTGCACTCTCTGAAGCTCACCTTCCTCAGCATAGCCACCCGAGGTACGATCTGGTTTATTGGTTTGGATGCCGTCCCCTCTTTCCCTTTCTTTCTTTCTTTCTTTCTTTCTTTCTTCCCTTCTTGTCTGCTTGCATCAGTAATATCAAAGCTCACCAACCTCTTGGTTTCAACTCCTTCCAGTCGAATATTACATGAGATTCTACCAAGCGCGCCGACCGACGCGAAAACCCAGATCCGAAACACAGTTACTCGATTCGTAGATTACACTGGGGATTTGACGAGTTCCAATGCCGAGAAGTCTTGATTGAGGCCACGCGTTTGGAAGCCATAAGCCGAAAACATGGACGAAAGTACACGAAAAAACATGCCCGACCCAGACCAAGAATGTCGAATTTCCAGAAGGCGAAGTTCTCTCCAGCCAGGGATGAGTTCAGCCACAACTAAATAGATCATGTCTGGCGACATCGAACCCGAGACGCCTGAACCGAGCAAGACCTTGGTCCAGCCCATGAGACGAGAACTTCTAGACATTCGCCACCCGAGGTTTCCGGATTAGACTGCGACGAACTCACTCCTTCGCAGCCCCCCAGTGGGTCGTCTAGGTCTGCTGTTCAAAATCCAAAATCAGTCAACAGCCAAGGGCAAGGTTATCTTGGTATCAAGAAGACATTCAATAGTATCCTTGGTACTGCCCCTAACCACCTACTTCTGAGATGATTTCCCTGCTAATGTCGTATCGAGGGGTTCACCATAACACTTCTCCCGCTAAAGAATTACAGATCAAAGACAAGAAGATCAAGAGTTTGATGGCCAAGTATGAGCAGCATAAACAGAAAGCCCAGCTCATCGCGAACCGGATGGGCGATCTTGAACGTACAAACCACGATTTGGTTCAAGATCAAAAGAAATTGAAGGAGGGGTATGCTGAACTCGATCGTACAAACCGTGACCTGCTTCGCGATCAAAAGAAGAAAGACATCGAATGTCAAGTCAGAATCCACAGATTGGAAGACGATCTCGAATTGGCCCACGGTGACTACGAAGAACTAGTTCGCAACCAGCAAGAGGCTTCGTTTAAGCAGATGAGCAAAGGACGATGGCTTCCTATGGAAGATATCACAGTGGTTTGCAAACTTGATGGAATCAAAAGAGAAATCCGAAGCTGGGCAAGAGCAGCCGCAGTAAAAAGTACAGAAATTCTTGAGAAAGTCGACCGTCCCGAGCTCAGCGGCTTGCTGGAGAGTTTGTCACACGTCGCTGTGCTTGAAAACAGACAGCTTCCAAGAGGACTATCAACACCAAAATCTCCAGCACTCTTATTAAACGCACTCCTTGCGCATCATCTGTACACAACCATTTTCCGAAGCCCGTTTTTCTTCCTTGTGGACGCACGCGGCAATGATTCTTGCCAAGCTGGAGGTTTTGAACTGTTACGTTGGATCTATGAACAGGCGCAAAATTGTAAGACTCTTCTCTTCTTGCACAGGCACAGTCTAACAATGCTAATACTTTCAGCCAACGCAGAAGATGCACACAATTGGAGGAGTCAAACTCTACGATTGCTACTGCCTGCCCCAGGAACAAACTCTACAGAAGGCGAAAGTCGGCTACACATCTCATCAATGCAAATCATCGCCGATGTCTCCCAGACCCAGGCTTCGAATTTTGTTGAATTGGTAAGCTAGCTTGGCTAGCTTACTAATCCTTCCAGTACCAGGTTCAACTACTAATTTAGCTTCGCCACTCTCATTTATAATGGTTTACTATGGAAGCTTATGGAACGCTCACTATGGAAGCTCAGGGAACGCTCACTAATATATATGAGTCATCTGATTTATAATATACCGGAGGAAATCGCCACCCACTAGTGGGTATATAAGAACTGTACTTTAGATTCCCTCCTCTCCTTTTTTTTACTCTTCACTCTCCTGTATCTAGTCATTCTACAGATTATCAAACTCTAATATATCGATTTTCCATTAATAAATCGATCACTTTCCAATAGGTTCTGAGCCCGGCTAGTGCTTTACTAAGTCAAGTGTCACGAGACCCTTAGTATTCACCTGTCCATTTCCGATTTCATCAAAATCGTTAATTCTATTGAATCACACCTATTATTTCGGCTTTGCGTCAGCAGAATTCACCAAAAAACACGGCCTTTTTCGGTCAGAAATTCTCCGCAAAATCCAATATGCCGGATAGCAAAAAATCGACATATGTCACCTATAAAGGTACAAAAATCGAACCTCTCTCAGATAGTAATATCTACTCCTGGATGGATAACGCTATGAATATCTTTATCGTCGAAGATCTATGGGAATATATCGACCCCGATCAAGCTCCTGCTCTCATAAAAGCAGCTCCAAAGGACGATAAATCGATTGCTCGTCAAGTAGCAATTACCAGAGCGGTACTAAGCTTGCTTATTACCCATAATACCTGGTAATAATTCAAGGAAATCAAGCTTGCATACCAAATTTGGACCCAGATTCAGGTCAAAGCTAAATAGCTAAAGGCCCAGAAGGAAGCTTTATATCTTTAATAAATAGAAACTATTACATTTGATAGTACCAAGGGAATGGACGACTTCATTAACCGCATTAGTCGCAAAGTAGCTGAAATCAAGGGGGTAAACGGGTCGATTTCGGACGTTTCAGTGTCCGGATACCTGATTCGCGGACTGCCAAAGGAATACGACTTATATAAGCCCCTCCTGAATTCCATTAGAGCTAACGTTAATAAATTGAAGATAGAATTGCTCAAAGCGGACGCTTCCACTAAAGAGGACAAGCTTAGGGCTAAAACCTCCAATTTCAACTTTAACCCAGATACCACTCCTAAGGCACTAGCTGCCCAAGGGAGTGGAGATAATCAGTCGAAACCAAAGCAAGCTAATAATCCAAACGCTTACTATATATTCCACAAGTTCAAAGGGCACGATATTAAGGACTATATTACCTACAAATTAGCCCAGGATTTCTTTAATTCCAATAGAAAAGACTCTAATTCCACTAATCAGGAGGCGCCATTAGCTCTATTAGCTATCTATAAAAAGGCCTGGACTGCCAGAAAATCAACTACTGAAAAATCGACATCCAGCGCCCTTCTTAGTAGCCAATTACTTGACGACGATTCCACGAATATCTGGTATATCGATTCGGGTGCTACGGACCATTTTACAGGGAGTAAAAGCTCCTTTATTACCTATAAAGATGTGGAACCATTTCTAATTACTCTTGGTAATGAATCCATAATTCTCATTAGGGGGAAAGGAACCATTATTTTAGCCACTAAACCGGAGCTAAAAATATAGCTTAATAATATGCTTTATAGCCCCTAATTCCGGAACATCTCCTTATTATCGATTCCCAAAATTACACAAACTGGAGGAGATATTAATTTTTCTAAAGGGAACGTCTATATTATTAATGACGGAATAGCTATTGCAACTGGTACATATAACTCCTCCACAGGGTTATATTAGCTTGACTAATTTGGTTTAGGGCATACCCTAAAATCGTCAAAATCGGATGCGCTAGTCTCCCTTAGCGGAAGCCCCTATATACTCTCCATTAAAGAACACGTCAAGGGAGTTTCACTCCTAAACCCAGCGTCCCAGCTATACAGAAAACTAGTAGGAACTACTGCAGAATCTAATAATGGTTCCACTAATGATTCGGATAATCCCGATACAGATTACGGAGATACCATTATTATTGATACTGGAAATTAATAGCTTGACGATCCATTAGAAAACGATGGAGAAAACCACTCCGGTGCCAAAGGGGGTGCTACTGAAAACGCGTTACGTGACGTAATTAGGGGTGTTTCTGACCTAAGCGAGCCCCCTGAACCCCTATTCAGGGAAACCAACCAAGAACCTATAGCACCTACAGGTGCTCCTGAACAGGGTTCTACGAATCAGGAGGCGCCCAAAATGGATAGTTTTAGGGGTAAACTACTCCCTAGAAGTGCTTTTAAACTGCTACGATCGAAGCTACGGCTTATTAGCCTCACTGACGTCAAACCTGGACTGAAAGGAGGAGGCGTGTTGAATTGGTAAGCTAGCTTGGCTAGCTTACTAATCCTTCCAGTACCAGGTTCAACTACTAATTTAGCTTCGCCACTCTCATTTATAATGGTTTACTATGGAAGCTTATGGAACGCTCACTATGGAAGCTCAGGGAACGCTCACTAATATATATGAGTCATCTGATTTATAATATACCGGAGGAAATCGCCACCCACTAGTGGGTATATAAGAACTGTACTTTAGATTCCCTCCTCTCCTTTTTTTTACTCTTCACTCTCCTGTATCTAGTCATTCTACAGATTGTCAAACTCCAATATATCGATTTTCCATCAATAAATCGATCACTTTCCAATAAATTTCATGGACGGAGCAGCTCGATATCTTCTTGATCCCAGCAGCAACCACGAAGAGATGAAGACAAAGCTCAGGGATATCTATCAGGACGCCGCAAATCTGTCTTGTTGCCTATGGACTCAAAAAACCACACTGGAATGCTGTACCTTGCAAGAGATGCAACGCCTGAAAAACCTTGCCTTTGACGCCGACAGTGAATATCTGAAGCCGCATACATTAGTTAGATATGATGAGCATGAGGACCATTTAAAGGGCAGGCCAATCACGTTAATTGTTCACCCTCTCCTCCTCGCTTACGGCACCGATGAAGGCAAGGACTATGGTAGCAAGAGAATTTGGGCCAGTGCGGAAGTATGGCTTGATAGCAAGTCAGGTTAACGAACTACTCTCGGGTTAGTGGAGACTTTTGCTTCCGTGCTCGCCTTGAGCGTGAGTCTACACCTTTGCATTTGCGTTGGTGGTGGATGAATGAGCAGAACGCATTCAGGAATTTGCACCTGCATTTGGTGCCTTCATACGTTTTTGTTTTCCTTTTTCATGTACAGAACAGCGTGGAACACTCCCGTTCTATTCCTTCTTACTTCCCCACGAGGGAATTAGCATTCAAAAAGCGGAACTTGTTAGCACATAGCTTCGGGCGTACTTGCCGAGTCTCAGTCGTGGACTTCAGGATCAAGCCTTTACACCTCAAATTCCTGAACCTCCTTGTGATTCTAACAAGTCCGCATGATGTGTTGAAAGACATACAATAATGAAGAAGCTTTTAGTCCACTTTGGAAAGCATGCAGGAAGTGGCAAGTATAATAATCTGAAGTGAAGCAGCCCTAACTTGACGAAGATCGAGGTTTCCAACCCCCGAAGACATTCAAGCATTCATCTTTTAACTTTTCCACTTCACAATCACATTCAAGAGACACGAACAAAAAGGATAAACCAGTTTCCAAACTCCATAAATTCATTTACAGTCATCAAATCTACACATCCACGGGACCAGCCCACAAACTTCTCCTTACTTACCTTTCCCCTAGTAACAACTCCCCCAAGCAACCTGCTGCTGCGACTGCTGATACGGCGCACTGGTCCATCTCTGCATCCCATCATCCTGTCTCGCAGGAATCAAGCACTCGCCACACTCCCACGAGTCCGCCATCATGAAGTCCCCATCTCTATCCTGTATCCGCGGCCTCTCGCATGCGATCTCAGGTGGGATATATCCAAATTGCCACCCCTGTCTAGCTGAATCTTGCACAAACTGAATGGGAGGAAGGAGAATGGGACGTTTGGAGACTTGTTCGCCGATCAGTTCCATAGCAACGCTGGGGTTGCTTCGGTAGCTTTGATTTTGGATGGGTTGTTGCCATTGCTGTTGCGGCGGTTGGTATGGTGCGGGAATGGCTGAGGGCTCGCGGTAGGTTTGCGGGAAGTAGGCCCCTGCTTGTGGAGGGATGAAGCTGGTGTGGTTCGGGCAGTCTCGCGCGATGTGCCCGCGTTGACTGCATATTTGGCACGGGTCGTTGAAAACGATGGGTTGACCGTTGAAGTCTGGGACTTGCGGGGTTTGGTAGGCGCCATAAGCTTGAATATGACCTTGATTTTGATTTTGTGCGCTATTATTGTTGTTGCCTTTCTTGCTGCAGTCTTCGGTATTGTGATTTCTCATGTCGCAGTTGGAGCAGTACTTGCCACCTCCGTTATTTTGCTGACCATTTTTGTTTCCTTTCCCGTTGCCACCATTACTATTATTATTATTGCGGTTGTTCTTGTTCTTGTTGTTATAGCATTCTTGGGTGGTATGGCCGTTCTTCTGACAGTTTTTGCAGTACTTTTGTTGGCCGCCGCCGCCGCCGCCGCCGCGACCGCCTCCTTTACCACGAGCCATTTTTGAAGCTTAAAAATGAATGTAATTAAAACTTGGAGGTTGTTTTGATATAGGTGGGTTGGGTGGTTGAAGGTTGGAAGAACGGGATTGTCTTGATATGATAACGTGAATTAAATCGTACTTTGGAAAACAAAACAGGAAGAGGGGACAACGCTCTTGTTATATACTTGAAAGACATTGAGAAATGATGGACTATTGTCCTGAGTGTCGATCAAAGAGGTCTTTGCTCTCCCAGGGTTTCCTTTGATGAAATGGTTAAAGACAGGAGTAGGACATTGTGCGAACTAGGAGAAATCGGTGAAGGACAATAGACACAATTAGAGACCCAGAGAAAGAAACTCGATGATACGGTGAATCTAAGTCAGTAACCGTGCTTTGTTGGAAGGATGCGTTCTTCTTTCATAGCACTTCGGAGGAACGAGACATCCAGAGGTTACTGCCTCGAAACTTCTCTGCCCTCCTCTTCTCCAACATGATCGTGTGAGAGTATTCACAGTAGCGTGATCCGAAGGCTCAGTCGCCATTTTTCTCTTATTCCCTGACTTGGGACTTGATCTCTGTCTTCTGAAGCGTTTGTGGTTGATGGTCAATCCGCCCGCCAATATCTTCAGCACGCCGGGAAGGCAGTCTTGATTCCAATGATCTGCTCCACAGTATAGGTAGTTGCAATTGTGGCTCCCGTCAACGCCGCTTGCCCTGAGTATATGATTCTGGTTTTGATTCGTGTTCCTCGCGTTCCCGGGTTGAGAAACTTGGAGCAGTTCAAACGAAAGGCCTTGCTCGTACTCCTCCGCTGTTTCTTGCATGATGTCGGTTGTGAAAAGGACCGGGGATAGTTGGGGTATATTCTCTTATGATTATTTCGTGCATCGTCTTGGAAGGCCAGCGCCGCAGAGCCTTATATGTGAAAGTTATGACCGCGATTGCTGACAGAAACTTGGAGACCGAGCCGGATTGCTAGAGATTTGGAGGAAAGGCTCGTATGCTGAGACATTCTTTGTACAGGAATTCTCGATTTGGTATGGCCATGGCCATCGAGTTTCGATTGGCTGGTGTTGTGACAAAGGGTTCTTTGTTGAGTCTAGATGATTGCGTCCAAGACAGTACAGTGCAGCTTCGACTTTCGCTGGATATGTGTCTTGCATCCGCTGGACATCTCATTCCAGCGCATGATACTTCGAGCATATCCACAACTTCTGGGAGGACATCGAGTTGGATTTAGTTGCGTAGCACTTGAGTCATTATTACTGTATCGTTATTGTCGAATATTTGATAGAAGGAAGTAAAAGTCAGTACCATCGACCTCCATCAGTTGACATCAAGGAGTGCACACGTGACAGCATGCCAGACCTCGAGGGACAGCGAATCTGGCGTCGACTTTGAGGTCATGGCTTCTGATTAAATCTCGGTATCAAGTGGCCAAGGCAATCCTATGAGTTCTCACTCGTAAATGAAGGGTTGCTGAGGATTGGATAAAGTGTCAGGAAAGGAGGAACGACGTCGAAGCAAGTCCGTGAAGCCGACACTGAGTGCATTAATACTCTGTAAATAGGCAGAAGCCCGAGGGGTTGCACTCGGTCAGAAATTTGCTGGAAGAGTGTATCCGTGAACCGCACAGTATCGGGTGAACAAATGAAGAGGAATACTGGGAAATAGGAAATTAGGTTGGGTAGAGTTACTTTTGCTGAGTCATCAGTCCCCTCTAGTATTACCCCGCCCCCTTTTCTCGAGTTTCTGGGAAACTCATCACGGAATTGTTCATCGAAAAATGTAAAACACACTGTTCTTATTCTATATTTCTGTCTTTCCTAGTCTTCTATAGACCTCCTAATATGAATTATCATTTTCCAATTCTCCCCTTTCTTCGCCAGCCTCCCTTCCACACAAGTATCCAATCATTCCCCACCAGCTTTGCAGCCACGTTAAGTCTCTTTATACCAGCAAGGGCCTCTATGCCATCCAGGACTGAAATCGCATTTAACAAGTGGCGGCCATAGGTGACGAGCCGGGCACTGGTTCTGAGAGCTATGCTCAGTCCCGCAGTGTCGACATTTATACATGTTGCAGTTGCTCCGCAGCCAGCTGTCGTTGCTGCGAGGCATCTGAACTTTTCTGGATATAGCGAAAATCTTGTGTTGGGATGATCTGGTTACCGTTTGATGTTCGTTGAACTGGGAGGAATCTAGGTGGTTGTAACTGAGGTGAGAGCTCTGCTCGATTGAGGAACCAGTCAGGTGGGCGATCGCGAAGTTATATCCTCGAGCTCTTTGATCCTCTGAGATCTTGAGATATTGTCTCGTATTGAATCGAGGTGCTCTTCAGTTATTTTAGTAAGACTCGGTTGGTGCATTGTCTCAAGTGTTTCATGTCATCGCCATCATCTCTGATCTTTGTTCGGAGGGCAATTCGAGTCATCTCCGTGTGAAACCACTACACACAACGTGAAACTCAAACCTATTGTCGGATGTATTGGAGAATAGTCTGAAGCGCGCCGACGCCAAGTCTGAGATATGGGAACAGCTCTTCATTGTATCCTTTAGCTTGAAGTTTGATTCTGCAATTTGAGATGACTTACTCAAAACGGTCTGTGATTAAATTGTTCTATTCCAAAATTGATCCTAGGCAGTACTTGTGAAACGCCATACAAAGATCGAAATCGAGAGGTTTTGACAGACTCGTTCACAGTTCCTTCAGAGGTCTAAGTAGACAGACGCACTCATCAGCGCTCGAGACGGTTTCAATCCCTAACTCCAAATCTCACAGAATCCCTGAGCTGCCTCCTCAAAATTTCAAACTCAATCCTCTGTATATCCCACGAATAACACACTACTTCCACCACAACTTGTACGGTGTGAGAATTGCGCGAACTGGCATCCAGCGCAGTATCGGTACAAGAAGCAGTGGGTGAGAGCAAAGAGGGGAAGCCAGCGGACTTACTCAAACCTGAAATGGTTAAGCCACTCACACAAATTAAAACATATTATTTGCAAAGAGTTCCCCGAAAGAAATTCAGAGCTAATGCAAATATTACAGCCATCTTTTTTTTCTTCCTTCTCAATACACTCACCAGTCACGCCTTACGCTTAGGCAAAAGTTATTCCAACATTCAATTCAAGTTGCTGAAGAAACTGCCCCTTTCAAGTTTAAAATTTCTCAAGGTCCAAAGAAACCCACTCTGAAAACAGCCCCCCACAATCCATCATCAAAGGGCGCTTCTATATTTACTTCCCCACTCGTCTCTTTATCCCGCCCTTTATAACCTCGGAAAACTCATATAGAACTCTCTCTGACCCCCTTCGTCACTCTCCCTTTTAAAAAAACACAACGCGAACCCGCCCAACATGAACAAGTTCATCATTTAGTGTAGTTTGTAAGTCCCCAATAAGAAATAAAATGTCCTCTCGTGGATCCTCCTACTCCGGACCCACGAATCTGCCGCCCACGGCCCTCGAACGCGCAGCCGCCAAAGCGCAAAGAGCGCGAGAGAAGGAACAACAGCAAGACTTCGACCCATATCTCGATACGCGTGCTGGTGCGTCCCCCTCCAGCTCTACCTTCCCCCACTTCCAATCCGTGGACTGGGCTCCCACTCCAACTTCCGCGGTTAAGGAAGGAGAAGAAAAAGATTCCACCACATCTACGCCTACAACATACCTCTCAGCCGTAGACTGGGGAGCAACCGACGAACCCAGCGGCACCAGCGGTCTCGGAAATGCACGAGGTGGGGAGGTAAAAAGGGGTGTGTATGAAGCATGGCACTTGACGTATGAGCCGATGAGGAGGCCAAGCAGAGGCTTATACGTGTGGGAATGTGTGAAAATGAACCCAGCGCATTTCCCCACTGTGGCTCAGGAGAAGCAAGAGAGGAGATGTGAAACGTGTGGCCATTGGCTTGCGCCGGTTGAGTGGGTTGAGAGCGGGGGTATCGGCGTTGGATGAATATACTATGTATCATTGGGTTTTTATTCATCTTTGTGAGAATGTGTAATTGGTTGATACTTGATAATATTTCATTATTTATTGTGGCCTTGGAAACATCTCTTGCTCAGCCAATCGGCTTAAGCGAGGTGATTCAGGGGCTTACACGAAGGCATTATTAATCCAACGCAGGCTGCAACATGCTTCCCCTCGTTGCTTTCAAATCATCTTACAATTGGTACTTCTTCCGCTCCGAATTACTTATATTCGTAGCAGCAGTCCATACGGGCATGAGCACACTTCAATAGTCTTTTGTCCTTGCTCCCAACCCTTTCTGCTCGCTGAAGCCCAACCCCATCCTTTAAATTTGGCGCTTTGCACGGACCAATCTCCGAGCATAACGAAAATGAGTAACCAAGCAGCATGGATCCCCTCCAAGGGCGCAGCAATCGAAATCGGCCATGCAGAAATGCCAATACCTGGTCCAGGAGAATTGGTTATCGAGGTACTATACACGTCACTTCACTTCACTTCACAAATCTCTATTCCCTCCCCACCCCTACCCGACCTCCAAAGTCCTCTCCTAGCCATCCAATTCACACCGCAAACAGAACCATGCAATCCCTCTGCACCCAGGCGACTGGAAACTGGCGAAAGGGATCATCCCCATCCCAATGACCTACCCCGCGATTCTCGGCAGTAAGTCGCTCGCTTTCACTTGTGCCCGATGAAGTGGATTGGAGCATATGCTCACAGCAACAGATTACACAGCAGGCACAATCCACTCCTTAGGACCCAACACAACGCGATTCAAAGTCGGCGAGCGAGTACTCAGTATGTCTGCTCTCGCGCTGCGGAATGATCACCGCTTTGGCGGACATCAGAAATATACGCTTTCTACGGAGATGCTTACTGCTCACGTGCGTCCCTCGCTTCCCCTTGCCCTTGCCCTCCCCTAAACAGAAATTGCAATTGCAATCGAAATTGGGCAATGTACTGATGTTTTCAATAGATTGGGCCAGACGTAGGGTTTGAAGAGGCATCCGCAGCATCAATCGTCTACGCCGCCATGTCGGCACTAGTCCTGCACCTCAATCTCGCGCGCCCTCCCCTGCCCCCCTCGCCCCGCGATCCGATTTCGCGATCCGCAGAGAAAGTGCTGATTTGGGGCGGCGGCTCCTCACTCGGTTTCTTCGCTGTTCAGATCGCTGCTCTGGTACCCCCCCTCCCTTCCATTTTCACATCAAAACAGAGTTTGAGCCATGTCTGACCCTGGTGTAGGCAGGCTACACCGTTCTCTCTACCGCTTCGCCCGCTTCCTTCGAGGCCCTGAAGCAAGTCGGCGCCAAGGAGGTCCTGGATTATCGCTCCCCGTCGATTGCAGAAGAGGTGATTGCGCTCGGGCCGTTCAAGACGGTTTTCGCGGCTGCCGACGCGGCGGGAGATCAGGTCGTTATCGGGCAGGTGTTGGCTGCGCAGGGAGGAGGCAGGTTCATCAGTACGATGGGCGTGCGGCCTGGGGTTGTGCTGCCGCCGGGGGTAGAGGGCGTGTTTGTGCAGTACATGGATGATTACCTCAAACCTGAGAATGAGGAGTTCGTGAAGTGGGTTTGGGGCGATGCCGGGTTTTTGGAGTGGGGGTTGAGAGAGGGGGGATTGGCGTTGGGTGAGGTGGAGGGGATTGGTGGGTTGGGGATGCTTGCGGAGGGTTTGAGGAGACTTGAGAAGGGAGAGGCGAGGGGGAGGAGGTTGGTTGTAAGGCCGGGTTTGGAGTGAGGATGGGAGGGTTTGGACATGATGAAAGATTTTTATCTCTGTTGGTACCTGAATCGATCTGAAATCCAAGTCCTGGGTTCGGAAAGGGAGCTTTATTAATAGCTTTCGTCTTGATATTAACTTGTGTTAGACTATGATTCTTCTCTAACCAGACCTCTAGAGTTCTTCGGCAACTTCGCTGCATATCCTAAGGGCGGAAAAGGAAACCACGAAGTCACGTGCCTAGGTTCCGCATCTTTCTCAAGCTAGGGGAGGAAATTCAAATATTTCTTTTACCCGCGACGTGCTATGAGCAATAAAACCACGCAGTTAAAATTCCTGTTATATTTAGAAACTGGTTTTATTCCGTGAGAGCCGTCTCTAATACCGACATTGAGACATTCAGGGGAGTAACTGAAAGATTAGCAGAAAAGTTCAGATATATGTTCGGGGAAGGATGAGCATGGAATTGTCTTAACTCGCGAGTACGAGGTAATAGCAACTAGCACTCAATGCTAAGAATAGACCAACTATCAAGAGAATAAACGTTCTTTCTTTCAATCCGGCTCCCTGATGACAAAGAACCAAATTCTGCATTCGAAAAATTTATCGAGCTGGCGCAAGAATAATCCCTTTATCCCACACCAAGAGAATAGAGCACTTGCTTTGTTCTTCCTCCATACAATGCATTGTCCCAGAACAGGGACTACTTGTCGGCATATAGAATTGTACATTGCCTGTTTCATCTTACCTCCTAACCAGCGCCATCTAGTTGCAATAAACTTACCCTGACACATAAACCTATCTCGAAGTATCACCCCACCCGATACTCACACACGGATCTAGTCCCCACACACCCCTAGCCACACCAACACAAAGGGATCAACATGTCATCCCCACGCACTCCGGCAGCGCCACCCACCGCTTCCCCAACCCAAACCCAGCTCCAGCACGAACAGAACCTCGCGAACACCCTCCAACCCCTCCCCATCTCAGCCTTTTCCTCAGACTCAAGCTCAGGCGAGGAGGAAGGCCACAACCTCTGCACAGACGACGAGTACGACGTCGAACTCGGGACCGCGCGACTCTTCCCCATGCGCCACGCTCCCGTTCGACGTCTCATCATTCGACGCCGGAAGACGGCGCCTGTAATCCCAGCAAGATCTGCTCGCCGAGCAGTAAAGAGATCCGTGACGGCGCCTGCTTCACTAATTCAGGGGAGAGTTACGACTCCGCATCCGGTATCTGAGAGATCGACGAGAGGAGGTGCGACACCGCCGTCAGCAGTTCCGAGAGTACCGAAGCTGGTGCCGAAGAGGGCTGAAAAGAGGTATGGGATGGTGTTGCCTCTTACGTCGAAACAGATTGAGGCAATCAAGAAACCGAAATTCACGTCACCGCCACCACTTCCAGAAAGATCGCTGAAACGCACGCTAGTGTCGATTTCCGTGCGCTCCGGCCATGAGGAAGGGGTCGTGCTCGAAGCTATGCCTGTGCCGAAGCGTGGAGAAAGGAACGCGAAAGAGGAAAGACCGTCACCGCCACCGCTGCCCGAGAGGAGTTTGAAACGTGCAGAGGCTTTACGCCCAGCAGAGAACAATTCATCTCTACGAGAAGAAGAAACAATCGTGGCGCCAGTAGCGCAATGTGTGCCCACGAAAGCAGCGTTCTTTGACCCGAACTCCAAGTTTGATCTCTACTCCACCTCCGACTCCGAAAAGGATGAGGATGAGGTTGAGGAGGACGATGTGGATTGGCTGGCCGTGCATAATATGTATGAAGACATTCAAGCTGGCCGTTTGGTCTTTCCTCCTTCCCCCGAAGTTCCGGGTTTGAAGGCTGGAAGTGAGGCAAGGGCGGACGAGAAAGAGGTTTTTGAGAGCCAAGGGAAGTTGTTCGATATGAACGATGATGGCACTGCCTTCCGCAACCCTTTTACGTTTGAGGGAGGGAGAGAAGTGAGTGAGCAGGACATGGATGATGTTTTGAGTATCGTTCCATCTGCCCCAAACAAGGTGAGAAAGACGAGCCAAGAGAGCATTAAGAGGGCGATTGGTGATGAGTCAATCCATGGATTGACGCCGAGCCCGAAGATCTCACCTAGAACTACTGAGGTTGAGAAGACTGAGGAGGCTACTGAGGTCGCTGCGCCGAAGTCAAGTGTTCAGCGATATCAATCCATCGGCGCTGACCCTTGGTCGCTAAACGAGGAGCAGGTCGAAGAGGAAGAAGTGGAGGAGCACGATGAGATTGTCAATCCATATGGTGATCAGTTCGCTCTCCCAGGCGGAAGGTGGACCGTTCTCTCGGGTGAAAGATCCTTGAGTCGATCATCTGACTACTCTGCTCCTTCCCGACTTCCCTCTCCTATCCCACGGGTCAGAAGCCGGGAGGCGATGCTTTACTCATCCATTGCCAATCCTTGGCACGCTGAAGTCATGACTGCGATCAACGCAATTGCGGAACGCCAAGCTTTGGACGATTCACTCGCAATCTTCGCTGGCATTGACGTCGACGCACTGGTTGCCGACGCTCAGAGCGAGGGAAATGAACTCCAGAATACCGATGAGGCGAAAGGAAGTCTCGATGTCTTCAATCTGGCGCCTCATGAGCCGACTATGGAATGTGGCTGTCAACATTGTCACACGCACTACTGTCCCAGTCGTGAGGACTTGAAAAGTGTCCACGATCCCAATGAATGGTGTCACTGCTTAGCTTGTCGTCTCTTCCGCAGGAAATCAGAGGATGAGAACGAGCGTGCTGAGCAGGCTGCGTTCTGGGCAGCAAAGTTCGATGAGCTGGCTGCTGAAGTCGATGACGCCTGGGCTGAGGAGGAGAGCAGATTGCTTGACTTGATGGATTTCAAGGCCGAGGAAGAGGATGCAGATGCGTTCAAGCCCAAGAAGACCCATAGATTGGGCGACTGGGTAAGAAGACATCTGAGAAGTCCATGCGGTGTGTGATCCAGTGATTCCAGCCTCTTCTGCTCGGTACCCTTGAGGAAAATGAAGGAATGAAGGTAAGTTATTTCTTTGCAAAGGCTAAGAGATTTATAACCGTCAAGAATAATAATAGACAATGAAAATATCTCTCCAAACATAACATCTGAAAACCTTTGCGTGAAACCTGTGAGACACGAGGCTTCAGCATCGTCAAAACTCCCGCGACAACAGCGCTGGCCTCAAAACGGCCCGATTCTCACGAAACCCCTCGACTCACGATCCCCAGATTCGGACAGACAAAGAAGGCGGAGAAAAGTTTGAGTGTTGTCGGGAAAGGGAGGGCTTCGACGGCGAGGCCGCACATATGGGGTGGCCAGACCCTCGCCTCGCCCCTAGTGCGCTCGTAATTATGCTCGGCCAAAATGTTGGACGCCCAAAACAGGGGTCCAAGTCAACAGAAACGGGGCCAAATTTGGAGCGAGACCTCTCAACAGCCGGTTATTCTCGTGGCGAGGGCCGATCTGAGGGGCAGAAAATTTGTATCGAGGGTGGGGGGTGAAGTATTCGCAGCAGATGGAAGCAGTGAAAATATATGGAAAACGGAGTGAAGCGTGAAGAGAGAGAGGAGAGGAGGAGAGAGGTGAAGATTGGCCCCCAACTCACTCAGTGGAGATTGGACCCCGCTCCAGGACCGCATCATGTGATGTGGGCAACGTTAGCAGGACCGCAGCCTTAGGAGTAGAGTAGCTTGACTTGGAAAAGTGGAATCGCGGAGATGGTGCACTCAGCCCGCGCTGCGCTGCCAGGAAATGCAATAATACAGTAATGGCCAAGCCAAGCCAGAGTCAAAAGCAGCGCGCATTTCGGCTGTGGGGGAGGAGGAAGCCGCAGGAGGGAGTGGCCCACTGTTGAAATCTGTGCAGCGCGCTCCCCTCCCATTCGGCGACGACGGTCCTCGCTCTCAACCCCGCATCGTGCCGTTGGAAGTGCTCGCCGCTGCCTCTGCGACCTCGCAAATTGGCTGCGAGATGGTTGCGTGTGTGAGGTCATCGCGCGCAGGGATGGGCAGGGATGGGCAGCGAGAGCCTTCGCGACAGGGAACAGCTCGCCGCCCCGTCCACAGATTCGGCGAATGATGGGCTGCTGCGGAAAAGCCTGGGGCAAAGCGCGGGCCTTCTGGAGCTACCAACAACACCACCAACGCCAGCCTTCCGAATTCAAGGCCAAGCAGACAGACTCTGAACAGCTTCATCCCGACTCCTCCCTCCCTCCCTCCCTCCCTCCCTCACTCTCCCCTCTCTCTCAATAAATAAGAGATCCCGTCCCGACTGCGCCGACGTCTTGCACAGCAAGAGCACTACACTCACTTCCCACTTCCAGCGCAATTGACTCGGTAAGTAAAGTTCTCCTTCGTCTGATCATTCGCCCTCACTCGCCGACGGTGGAAAGCTGACCTATCATGTAGGGAAAGCTCCCACGAACGTCAGAGCTCCGTCCCCGACCAACTCCCTTCGAGAGACCACAGGAGATCGCAAACACCAGCTCTTTCCTCGCAATCAGGTCGTGAAGCTGCTTTCTCACATCCAGACTTGAGATTGCCGATTGCGCCATCGTCCGTCTTCCCTCCTTCAACATCCATCAGACCACCAAAGAAGCCGCCGCAAAAGGCTGCAACCGAAACGAGATGTCTGAAGGAAACCCAAACAGAGACATCCGGAACCACTATCTGTTCGAGATAGCCACAGAAGTCGCCAACCGAGGTATGTAGCACCAGCACCGTTGAAGTATGTGCGACCTGACGCCACCCCAGTCGGTGGAATTTACTCCGTCATCAAATCCAAGGCTCCCGTCACGACCGCAGAATATGGCGACAGATACACACTTATTGGGCCTCTCAATAAACAATCGGTAAGTCTGGAGCCCTGTTAAGCTCCGGGGACATGAACTGATGATCTCAGGCCGCTGTCGAGGTCGAAGCCCTAACACCGACGAATCCCCAACTGGCCGCAACAATCGAGTCTATGGAAGCGCGAGGAATTGGCATTTTATATGGTCGCTGGTTGATTGAAGGCGCCCCAAGAGTTCTGCTGATCGATACGAAGACTGCATATCGCTTCCTCGACGAGTGGAAGGCGGACCTGTGGAACACGGCTGGAATTCCATCTCCTCCCGGCGACGACGAGACCAACGAGGCGGTAGTCTTTGGATATCTTGTTGCATGGTTTTTAGGAGAGGTAAGCACATCCAGAGCTCAATTGGGAACGAGCTAACATGCGATAGTTCGTTGCACACGAAAAGACCAAGGCCGTCATCGCACACTTCCACGAATGGTTATCCGGTGTAGCTCTCCCACTCTGCAAAAGGCGCCGAATCGATGTCACCACCATCTTCACCACCCACGCTACTCTCCTCGGTCGATACCTCTGCGCCGGTTCAGTTGATTTCTACAACAACCTACAATACTTTGATGTGGATGCGGAGGCTGGAAAGCGTGGCATCTACCACAGATACTGCATTGAACGGGCTTCTGCGCACTCTTGCGATGTTTTCACCACTGTCTCCCACATCACGGCATACGAAAGCGAGCATCTTCTGAAGCGGAAGCCAGATGGTGTTCTTCCCAACGGTCTCAATGTTACGAAGTTTTCGGCCATGCACGAATTCCAAAATTTACATCAACAGGCAAAGGAGAAGATTCACGATTTCGTTCGAGGGCACTTTTACGGACATAACGACTTTGATCCCGAGAATACCCTTTACTTCTTCACAGCAGGTCGATACGAATACCGAAACAAGGGTGTTGATATGTTCATCGAGTCATTAGCACGATTGAACCACCGACTGAAGTCCTCCGGCTCGAAAATGACCATTGTCGCATTCGTCATCATGCCCGCACAAACACAATCGTTAACCGTGGAAGCTTTGAAGGGACAAGCTGTGATCAAGTCTTTACGAGATACTGTTGATGTTATTGAAAGGGGTGTTGGCAAGCGGATCTTTGAGCGCGCTCTCAAATGGCACGATGGGGACCCAATGCCTGATGCAAAGGATCTCATTACCAGCCAGGACCGAATTCTGCTCCGAAGACGGTTATTCGCCATGAAGAGACATGGCCTTCCTCCGATTGTTACCCACAACATGGCAAACGATGCCGAGGATCCGATTTTGAACCAAATCCGAAGAGTCCAGCTTTTCAACCACCCATCAGACCGCGTCAAGATTGTTTTCCACCCCGAGTTCTTGAACTCGGCAAACCCAGTTCTGCCAATGGATTATGATGAGTTCGTTCGAGGTACTCATCTTGGTGTGTTCTCCTCTTACTACGAGCCATGGGGTTACACTCCCGCAGAGTGTACAGTCATGGGAGTTCCCAGCATCACGACCAACCTCTCAGGTTTCGGCTGCTACATGGAGGAATTGATTGAGAACTCCACCGACTACGGAATCTACATCGTGGACCGACGTATGAAGGGAGTCGACGATTCCGTCAACCAACTCACTTCCTTCATGTTCGATTTCGCCGGGAAATCCCGCCGTCAACGCATCAACCAACGGAATCGCACCGAGCGACTCAGCGACCTACTGGACTGGAAGAGAATGGGCATGGAGTACGTCAAGGCTCGCCAACTCGCACTGAGAAGAGCATACCCCGCCTCCTTCGACGGCGAAGACGAGGATGATTTCATCCCTGGTGTTGAGCAGAAGATCAGTCGACCGTTCTCTGTTCCAGGCTCGCCGAGAGATCGCAGTGGGATGATGACGCCTGGTGATTTTGCTAGCTTGCAGGAGGGCAGAGAGGGATTGAGTACCGAGGATTATGTTGCGTGGAAGTTGCCGTAAGTTTCATTCTGTTCTTGAGAGAGTGGTGAGTGAGTCGGGGCTAATGGTGAGCAGAGAAGAGGAAGATCCAGACGAGTACCCATTCCCGCTTACGCTGAGGACGAAGAGACCCACGGGCCCGACGAGCCCGGTTGAGCCTGCGCTGCCGATTACGAATGGTGGCTCATGATACCCGAGCAGCGAACGCAGGAGCTGAGGGAAGATTGAGTCGTTGACTGCTGGCGGGTTTTTGGAAGGATTGAAGTGGTTGAATTGATGCACTGGGGGTGGGATGAAGGGGAGATGATACCTAATCATGTGATTGTACAAGACACACTTTGCTTTCTCTCGTTTTTAAATTGCTTTTTGCGCTGCATGCATGCATGATGCATTGGTTGTATTTTCTTATTGTTTTTTGCCGAGGTCATGAGGAGGAAAGAGAGAGAGAGAGAGAGAGAATGGGGTAGAGGGATGGATATTCGTCGTCTGAAGCAGAGTAGAGAGAGTAAATAGGGAAGAATGAGAGAGAGGGCGGAATTTATGTATTTGTGATCGACCTCTCCCATGCCTGAACTTTCAGGGATTACTGTCCAAGACGCGAAGCAGAAAGCGGCAACCACCAGCTGAAATTCGGCAGCAATGATCTCTTTCACTAAAAACCAGAGTATCCAACGGAAATAGGTGGCATAATTAAACACCCTTTGTTTGGTGGTCTCCTGAAAAGTGCTAACTATAGTAGAAAGACCAGATGAAAATCGTCTAGCTTGGCTTTAATGCACAGTACCACTATCCGTTTGCAATTGGACGGTCCAAGAAGATCAACAATGGCCTTGGAACGAAGATATTCTATAATTACGATCGATTCGGGCCTCCACCACCAGATAATCACCCAAAGAACTACTACCACACGGCCGTAAAAACCAGACAGCGACCCGAAAGACAGGCTGCCAGTTCTCAGTAGCAGCTGTACAAAGAGATACGTAGATAGTGGGCAGAAAGTGACGGGAATACAGGGCATTTGGACCCAAAATTGCCCTATAGCGCATATTTATAGGGACTGAGCCCGCTGTAATGCCCTAAAGTTCCTCGGCGTCGTGCCCTGAAAGCACCATATAAGGCATTCGCAAGGTTATTGGCGATCTTCAGGGGTATTAGTGCTTGCTGGCAGAGTAACCACAGCGCTCTGACCCTGAATAGGGGGGCCTTTATCCCTTCGTCCGGTGAGACATGTCCACACGCTAGCAAGGGGGTGTGCCGCACTGAACAGGGGGGCTTCGCCTGGCACAGGGAGCATAATAATTATATACCTTTGCATATAAATTTATTAGTAAGCTACATCGCGTGGATGAAATCGCATCCAGTAATGCCCCTCTAGTACGCGCTCATAGCCAGCAATGGACCATTCTTCCAGCCCACCACCAGAGCCTAATGGGCTAAAAACCACCCAATCACTTGCAAATATACTTCACAAACTTGGACCAATCACAGACGTTTCCTACGAGCCTTTCCAACCCGAATCTAGACAGCCAGCAAGAGCGATTCTACCTCCTGATTTTCCACGAAAACCACGCCCGTTCGATTACTTTAGCCTGTTCTTTACTCCCAAGCTTTTCCAGACAATTACTACAAATACCAATCGATATACGAGCATGCAAAGGCTACATATAAAGGAGGAGAGGGTACGAGAATGGACAGATTTACTTCTGGAGGAATTACACGTGTTTCTCGGTGCTATTATATATATGGGAGTACACGATGAGCCTCAAATTGAGATATACTGGAATTCAGACTTTAATAAAGGTCCTCTACACTCAATTACAAGCCATATATCGCTCTGCCGCTTTGAACAAATCAAGCGGTATTGCCATATTTCGTGCCCTATAAATGACGAGCAAAATGGGTATTACTTACCAAATAATAAGCTTTGGTGGTATAAGCTTGAACCTCTTGCTTCGTCTATACAAGCTTCTTGTCAAGTATATTACTCGCCTTCATCTGAAGTGAGTATTGACGAACTTATGGTACGGTGCTTTGGCAGGTGCGTTTCCCCCATTTTTATTACCCCGCTACCCCGCTAATTATTATTCTAGATCCTTACATACATACAAAATGCCCAAAAAGCCGATTAAACAAGGGTATAAAATCTACGGGCTTGCGGATCATAGATATATATATAATTGGACTTGGAGCTCGCGAGAGAAGGGGTTACAAAAAATGACTCTCTATCCAACCCTTATAAATACCGGTTCTCTGGTACGAAATCTGGCACTTTCCCTTCCACGCCACTACCTTACAATATACCTCGATAATTACTTTACCTCTGTACCCTTATTTTCAGAGCTACGAGCCTGTAAATTTGGTGCAGTAGATACTACTCGCCCGTACAAGCTATTTCCACCAGAATTATCGGCAATCAAAAATCGGTTCGCTACAAAGCTAGAATGGAATACCTTGCTTGCAGCAGTGGTTCAGGATGTACTTTGCTTAGCTTGGCAAGATAATAGTATTGTCTTAGCTTTAAGTAATATCCATACCGTGGATAAAGCGGAGGACTGGCGAGTGAAGGAAAGAAAACGTCCTGCAAAGACGTCCACAAATGGGCGAATCGTACGGGAGGTTTTTGGCGAAATGCCAATAAAGGAGCTTCAGATTCCTAGCTTTATTGATGATTATAATCAATATATGGGAGGGGTGGATCTCGCAAACCAATTCAGGGAAGTATATGAGAGTCACAAGCCTACCTTTAGGAATTGGTGGCCCTTGTTTTACTGGCTAATCGAGGTAGCCTGTATAAATGGTTACAGGCTTTACCGATTAAGTACAGTGGAGGAACGTCCCCTTACGCACTTGCAATTCAGAATCGAGCTTTATTGTAAGCTATTAGGGTATTCTGAGAAGGCAAAGCTAGAGAGCTTGCGAGTGGGGTTAGGGGGAAGGAGGGTATTTAATCCCGATGCCCCGCACTTGCATTACTGGGATAAGCGCCCTAGAGGCACTTGTGCATGGTGTTTATATAAACAAAGATGCCAAAAGGTCCTTGGGAAAGCTATAGAAGGGAGGGCAAAGCGCTCTATTGGGGGTTGTGTGTTTTGTAAGGTAAACTTGTGTAAGGTGGGGGAGTGCTGGACGCGATTTCATTCCACTGATGTAGCTTACTAATAAATTTATATGCAAAGGTACATAATTATTATGCTCCCTGTGCCAGGCGAGCCCCCCCTGTTCAGTGCGGCACACCCCCTTGCTAGCGTGTGGACATGTCTCACCGGACGAAGGGATAGTACGTACATCGCTAAATTACAGCGCTCATACTTAGGGCATTAATCTAATCTAATCTAATCATTTGACACACTGAAAAGGACGCAACGTTTTCATTCCTACACGTTCGGGCCCTTTAATAGGCTCGACCGAGCTTACGTGATTCCACGTATATACTTGATTACATACAAAAGCATGATCTGGAATCACACAAACTTCCATTCCAATACTAGCTAAGTGGTAGTCACGTGACCACGGCAGTAGCCACGGTCCAAAATAAGCATGGTTCCAGATTTCCAGGTGTATCAAACTCGTTGACTACAAGACCTAATGTCTTGATTAACGCCGTGCCATTAGGCCAGTTGAGTATTACAGTAACTGGAGCATTGTTACAGGCAGAGTACAGGTTATACGCAAAACCATCTCCGCTAGCTACTGGATTTTCTTCCATTACTGCGATAGATTGGTCTTCACCGTCCGGGCAGGGCAGAAAATCAAAATCTCCTGAGCTAGGGCATGGTGTAGCACCCGCCGGAATTGTGGTCGAAATCGTTTGGGATGAGCTCATCGTCTCTACCTCTGCCAGAGAACTGCTAGTAGAGGTGCTGGCATAGAAGCTGGTAGAATAGCCGGAAGAGGTGATTGTCGAGCTCCTCCTACTCGTAGAATAGTCAGAAGAGGTGATTGTCGAACTGCTCCTACTCGTAGAATAGTCAGAAGAGGCGATTGTCGAACTGCTCCCACAAGTATTCACATCTTGTGAACTAATATTCGGTAGTCCTTCAGCTGCCGGCCAGGACTCTTCAAGCAACTCCTGAGCCTCTACCCAAATCCTGTATTTTCTCTTACAGCCTGGTTCAGTAGCACTGTATTGAATAAGGATTTTCCCAAGAGGTGACCTGACACTTTTCGCTCCGATCGTATTCTTACTGTACATATATGTTGTAATTTGAATATGGGGAAATAGGGATTGGAGCATAAGTTCTATCATACGGATTTTACCCGCATATTCGAAAGTATCGTGACCATCTCGTACCCTGGGGGACATAATAAAGGCTCGAGGCTCATATAAGGGCTCAAAGGGTTGCGTAGGGCCGGTGAGCCCGCCAAGGCCCGGCATTCCGTCGTCCCCATTTTCCGATCCAGCTCCGTTAATTAGGGGTGTAAGGACGCCGTCTCGAAATTGATCGAAATTTGCTGTGAGGAAAAAGGGACCTTCCCACCAATGCGATACCCATACGGCTCCTTTTGATATAATAATAATCGAAGTACACCCAAAAAGGCTAGTCACACCAGTAGTAAGATCCTGTTCTCGAAAATATTCTAGCCTGTCCGCTCCCCCGTTTCTCATAATATCCAATAATTGCCCGCGTACCCTTGCCCTATATAGCTCTGTTAAGAAAAATCTAGTCACATCGCCGCCGTAATTCTCTGGACCCGCCATCTCACGCTTAAACAAAGCAGGTAAAGCTAGATCTTGGAGAGATCGGGCTTCTTCGAGTGAACATGATGAGCCCTCGCAATCACTACTTTTACTGCATATTTCTGTCGACGGTATCGGTGTCGGTGTCGGAATTGATGTGCTAGTAGTGCTATGAGGAGGTGACGTAGGTTGAGTGGCAGGAGGTGGAGAGGCTGGAGGCGGAGGTGGAGGTGGCAGAGGAGGTGGAGGAGGTGGAGGAGGCGGAGGAGGCGGTGGTATAGTAGTCAAAGTTGACGATACATAGGCTCGCTGACTTGTTGGGGATTTATTATGGATTGAAGTTGACGTAGTTCCCCTGGTAGTCAAAGATGACGGTGTATAGGCTCGTTGACTTGTTGTAGATTTATTATAGACTAAAGCTGATATAGTTCCACCATTATTGCTTTCTCGGTGCTTTCGACTAAGGGTCGATGTAGACCAACTAGAGGGGGTTGATATATTGTGCGAAACTAAAGGCACCCTACTGGTCGAACTAATCGCTCTTGTGCTTCGAGAAGTAGACACTGCTATATCTGTCGATGTCGATTGTCGTCCGCGAGAACTAGAGACGCCAGAACCATGGCAAGCAGAGGGACACAGAAGGCTTAGTAGTATAATACAGATAGTTGAAATCCGCAGGAATAGAGAGCGGTTGACGGAAAACTTGAAGAAAAACATGGGTAATAATAAGTTATCGACTTCCGAGATGCAATAACGATAATAGATCCAGATTTGGAGACGATATATAAGAAGGTAACATGATTATAAGGAAAAGTGTTCTCGGTTCGATTTGCGGGTATATTATAAGCACCCACGGTTGGGTTTTCTCGTCTAGAATTCCGTTCCTAGTATATAGATACAAGGTAGAGGAAAATAGCCTCACAGTATTTGATTTCAATACTAAGAAAAGCTTTTAACTCTATATTATAATATTCTCTAGTCCCTGCCTAATTTATAACTAATCCGCTCTCTTTTTAATCTTAACTTTCTAATTATCCCTTTGTCTAGTAAGACATGATCCGTACTAATAAGGGGAACCTGGCTCAGGCCAAAAAGACGTTCCTTTACTTAGAAACTTATTAGTTATAAATTACCTTTTCGCCCTAAGTCGGGCCCCCTTACTAGTATAAACTATATTTTACTAGATAAAGAGATAGTATTAATATACTTCTCTTAAATCTGCTATATTTAATTGGGTCTAATCTAAAAAAAAAAGGCCCGTATATATATAATACAAGGTTATATACTCGTGTCCCGTTACTTGCTTATATATCCTATTACTTCCGAGTTATATAACTAAGTTATAATCCTTAAAATACTAGCTATATTAATACTTAAATTAATAATATATATAGTTTTTTTAAGTTAAAATAAATTTAATTAAAACCTTATTAAATAATAAAAGAGAAAATTATATATAGTATTTTGTTACTATAAAGACAATGGCATAAAGTATCGGGAATACAGGGCATTTTGACCCTTAGTGCTCTATAGGGTGTGAATTTAGGGCAGAGCAACCATAGCGCTCGGATGCCAAACAAGCAACTATTATCCCTTCGTCCGGCGAGACATAGTCTATACTAGCAAGGGGGCCTGGCTCAGACCGGAAAGTCGTCCCTTTGCTTATAAACTTATTAGTCATCTATTGCCTTTTCGCCCTGAGCCAGGCCCCCTTGCTAGCGTGGACTATGTCTTGCCGGACGAAGGAATAGGCCCCTTTAGCGAAGGCTCCCTTGTAAGTACAGGGAAGAAGCCCTGAAAAGGTGTGGTAGCCCTTGTCGAAGGCGTAAATGCTGCTTTTAGGGGAAGGGCCTGGAAATATAGGGCCTTGTAGCGAGTTTGCTAGCTTGATCTATACGCTGGAGAGCCTAAAAGTCTCCCAATGCCCTGTATTCCCGATACTTTATGCCGCTGTCTTCGTATTAATCCTCGGTGGAGGATCGCTGGTATAAACTATTTCCACCCATACTTTGAGACAAGATGTGCACAGCCGCCCAAAACCACTGCTCTTCCTGTTGCACGAACCACAGCGGAGTATATTCCGGTCCCTGTCCCATCTGTACCAGTTACAGCCTAATCAACTGGGCTTCATTCAGATAACTCACACCATTAATAAACGGAACCCGAAGGTAGCACTAGAGACCTGCGACCGTTGCAAGCATAGGGAGCAGAAGCACTTATAGTGGAAGGACACGTGGGCCAACCTCCCTCGGCAGTTCTGGATTAAGGCCTCAGAGTATATCCCTTGCAAGATATACCAGAATTACCAAGTGGAAGAAGAACCGCCACTCAGGATCATCCCACTATTTTAGGTTAGTATTAATGAAGTCAGGCAACGGAAGCAGCAGTTCTAATGAAGACGTTTTAAGGTACCAGCCATTTGCGCAGTTTCTGCCTGCAGAGAGTAGATGCAAGTCGAACTCCTTATGGCACCTGTATGAGACGGCTGCGCACCGCGCAGATGTACGGATACACACACACACACACACACACACACATATATAGGTAGGATGTCACGAGCTGGCGAGGTTAGTGGAGAGTTGAAATGGTACTGTATCAGGCAACAAATAGGCCGCAGTGGTGCAGGCTTCTCAGACGGTATGCTTTCGTCTTATTGCGAGATCGTTAAGTTAAGAGTCTGGCCTCGATATAAAGACTGCTTGCTAATGACTTGCAGGCGGACCATAACTCCATCTTCATCTATTACGCCGAGAATGCTACAAACGTTATTAATTGTATCCGATTTCCTGCCCCCATAAAACCAAATCCGAACTAAAGGAAATGAGAAACAATTCTCTATTCTTTCATACAACAGTCTCATATCATCTGCGCAACTTCTAGCTCTAGCTCTAGCTCTAGCTCTAGCTCATCCGCCTCTAGCTCATCTAGCTCTAGGCAGCACTCTTACACTTCCGACCACACTTCCCCTTAACCTTAATATCATTCTTTACAGATGGCAAGTTCTTGTTTTTGATTCCTTACTAGCTCGTACGTTTTTCAGGCTAAAGAGAGGAGAGTTGCACGCGCCTCAGGCTGCAATATATACAAAAGCAGTCCCACCAACAGTGCTTCGTGGGTGGGATAATGTCTAAGAAAGGAGGACCCCGGCCACTCTATCTCTTATATACTACGCCTGGCCAGGTGGCCACCTAACTAGGGAATCGAACCCATTCTGGCCGCTCTCCTCCTTCGAGAGGCTCTTCCCTTGCCCATGCCCAGGGATACTATGTTAAATATAGAGCACTCTCTTGAGTTATTCTCGTATATGCCACCCCGAACGAATTTCCATCCACTCCATATCATTCTTTATAGATGCGCTGCTTATACCTCCTCAATATCCTCAAAGCTTATTTCCTTTGCCTGCCCTAGTATAAGTGACTTGGTTAATCGGCGAACCTTAGCTTTATTATTCATTCTAGTCAATATCTGTTTATTATTATAAAGGAGGACAGATTTGGTAATAGATATATAAATAGGAGGGTAAAGGAGAAAGTAAAGTAAATAGGGAGGGTTGAAGTAAATGATCCACTTGATCCAGAGGCTATTGAGATATAAAGGCTTGATTTAGAAGACGACTTTATAATACTTCGAACGATACTTCCAGAGGACTTTAAAATGGACGAGTTTATATTAATTGAACTAATTAGTAAGCGGAGGCGGGTGACATAATTAAGGCTATTCTAGAGGTTTAGGGCACAATTCAGGGTACACTTTAGGGCTTATAGGAGTTTCAGGGGGGGTACTGATTTTCAGGCGTTTGGAGATAACTATTAAGACTACGTATCCTGAATTATACTCTATTTATACCTACTTTACGCGAGCTTCAGTACGACTACTTTCCGTAAAGTATGTAAAGTGTAAAGTTTACCATCCCTACGCCTGTGCTAACGAGCCTACCGACTAAAGTCCGTGTTTTTAGCGAACACCACCCACGCTTCACTATCGCAAAGTATATAATCAGCATTTAATTAGGAGTTGACCACCCGTGACGCTGCATAAGTACATGGACCCAATGCTCCTGCTTTAAAACTAGCTCATTTATCCAATCTTGTGGTATGCGGTCCCACTCCTCTAAGACCATCGCTTCCATCTCAGCCTCCGTAGTGGGTTGGTGGCGCCGTCTGTGCAATGCCTGCTTGATCCTCCTCCAACACTTCTCAATTGGGTTCATATCAGGGCTTGTAGAGGGATGGGGCATTAATATAATACCATGCTCCGTACGCCAGCGAGCACAGCAATTGCGAACAGACTCGTGGCCATGAGCAGAGTTACCATCTTCCATAAATAAAGGCTCGGCGGAGGGGCGAAGTAGGTGAGTAATGGCCGCAAAGGCTTCCACAATACCCTCGATATGCGGCGCCAGTACTTGTGCCAGGTAATCCTTCTGGCAAAAGGCTCCCTTCTTGCCAGATCCGTGAACAAAGAGTAAAGGACTCTTATAGCCATATCCAATTGCACCCCACGCATTGACTGGTGTCGTGTGCCCGCGATGAAACTGGTGCTGGATACACGTCGGGTGCGTACGTTCGTCCTTGTTTCTTGTCACTCTTTCCTTGACCGTCCTGCCCCCGACTAAGAAGGTAACCTCATCAGACCAGAGGACCTTTAGCCATTCCGTCGTCCAGAATATATGTGTGATTGCCCAGAGGAATCGTGCGAGAACCTGAGCTGCTGTGAGGTAGGGTTTCTGGCAGGCCACACACCTAAAATACCCTCGTTGTTTGAGCCGGCGCTCAAGGGTCTTCACAGTGCATTCAAGGTGTAATTCGTCACGAAGGAGGCCGAAGTTAAGGATTCGATGCTCCCACGATTCGGACAAGTATTCGATTATCTCATCGGTTTGTATATCGGTAAGAAGAGAGGGTCTCCCGGTACGAGTAATGCGCGAGCGCTCGGGAACGTCGTATCGCAATATCTTCTCAACTGTTGACCGCACGAGCCCGTATCGTGTCATAAGCTGCTCAACTGGTATCTTAGCAAAGCCGTATAGCTGGCGTATCGCCTCCTTATGTTTAGTAGGGATTTCATCGCCTGGTTGGTGGGTAAAGTCAAGGGGGGGCGTGGCGGGAGGCATTGATAGTGAAGGTTGGTGGGGAAAACACTCGCTAAAAACACGGACTTTAGTCGGTAGGCTCGTAAGGTGCTGTCAAGTCTTGGTGGTGAAGCTGCTGCGCCCCACTTAGCGGCTCCTCCATGTGCCTCGACCCATTTCCTCACAAACAATCCCTTCACAACTCTCCTCCTACAAATCCCGCACTCTTCCTCATGATTTCCATAATCTCCCGACTTTGTCAATATTCAAATCCAAGATCTCGCACGGTCGACAGCAAGTGGCGTCCAGTAAATTGGTTCTCAAATGCAACAACGAGTCAGCTCGACACCACTTCCGCACGCCAATTCCCTTTTCTAGAACAAGCCGAGTGTGCTTACTACTGTACGTACAGGGTGCTTTGAAGATTAACGAGCATTGACCAGTATTTAACGAAGTACATACAGCGAGAAAATTTGGAATCTGAACAGGTGATTGGTCAGGCCATCCTGTAAATTCCAGCTGGTTCGCCGATAAAATCCCTGTAGTGGGCTGACAATTACAGTAAGCTTTAAAAGGGCAACCCGAGACATTACAAGGGCTCTTTTACAAGGGCTCTTTTACAAGGGGTCTGCTTACAAGGATTCCAGCCAATCGGACCGTGGGAATCTTCTAGAATTACACTCCAGTGATTTATACTGCCAGCAGAATTGTCCACTACGCAATTGAAGCTATTCAGACCTTTAGTATAATGGACATATATCGACTCCTTAATACTCCTCCGCGAAGACGCTTACTGTCTGAGATCCTTGAGACTCCACCACTACCATTACCAATTCCGCTTTCACAACTCTCTATACAGCCCTGGGACTCCCAAAATGGGCCTCATCCGCTCTCATAGCTCTCTATGCAATCCTGGGACTCTTATAAGTATAACGCTGTAATCTTGAATAATTATCAAATCCTTTCTTAATGCGAATACCAATAAACCCTTTATTTGAATGCAAGATAATGCCTCTTGCTATTACTTAAAAGAGATATAAGACAACTTACAAATACAGTATATTCTATATATTAAATGGCCGCGGTACTCTCTTGATCTCAATTTTATTGAGTATATGTGGGATTGGATAAAGAATTGGATCCAAAAGCACTATTACGCAGCTTATTACAATGCCTCCAAGATCCTGCTATTACAATTGAGAAGGATAATTTGGGAGGCTTGGGAAGCTGTCCCAACCGACTTTATTATAAGCTTATATACCTCTTGGTGGAGGAGGTGCCAGGCTGTGCCTATAATTGATGTAAGGGGAGGACCAACCAAGTACTAATTAGGAAAGCGGTGAAGTGTGCGGGGGGGGGCGAGTAGGTCACCCGTCACCCCTTCCATTGGTCCTTTTCTCGAAACAAGAAGGTGCCCCGAAACTTATCTTGGCCCCAAGTGCGTGGCGCATATTCTACGGGTTTTTCCCGCATACCATATTGTCAAGGCGGCCTTATTCGTTTCTTGGAATTTACGCCTCTTTTCTTGTTTGTTGCTTGATCCCCGACACTTCTCACGTCTTAACATATCAGCTTTATCGCCCAGCAGTGGCGGTCCTGAATCATTGCATTTCCAAGGAATGCAAGTCAGCGTCCACACTTGGAAAGGGAACTGATCGAGGGGTCTCCGAGTGTAGCGCCGGTAAATCCTCGTGATAAGGGAGTGAGGCACAGTTGACCGTGCCAGTATCGTGGAGGAGCATGAATGCCCCGCGCCTTGGCTGTGGAGTTTCCCTCACGGCACGCCGTGATATTCTCTAGTCTTGACGCAAGGAGCTGGAGATCAGGAGTGTATTCCACTCAGGGTAACGTCGTCAGCACCCTGGAGGCTAGGGGTGGTGCGAAGCTATGCCACGATTGCTTGGAGCATACCCTGTAACTGTCAAGAGAAGTCTTGGAAGTCTTTGATTGCTAGTTTTTTGCGGGGAGGATGCATGGCGTTTTTCCTTCTTCAACATCCTTCGTTGCGTGCTATATAACTCAAGTGCCTTCCCCAGAACTTCCCCGTATCAAAACCAGCGATCGCACCCCGACGATCTCTCTAGTCTCTTCTTACTTTTTCCCCAAATCACTTTGGTCCAAGACTATCTTCAACATGGAGAAAAAGACTGACCTCGAGCCCGTTGCTCTGCATGCGGAGCAAACGCGTGAAAGCACCGTTATAGAGTCCGAAAAGGCAGGAATTGTCCGTGACTACTCTGGTGCCATTGTTGTTCTCAATCCCATTGAGCAAGCTCTTGTGCGAAAGCTAGATTATCGTATTATGGTCTGTCTTCTCTTACCTTGACCTTCTGCATTAGGCATGTCTGACTGAAGCAGCCAACATTATGGCTGATGTATTGGCTCAACTATTTGGATCGCAATGCCATTGCTCTTGCTCGATTGAGCAGTCTTGAAGCAGATCTCAATCTCTCAGAAACTCGTAAGTGCTGCTCAATTCCGCGCAGAAAACGGATACTGATAGTGACGCTGCAGAATACTCTACCTGCGTTTCCATCTTGTTCGTTGGATATATCTTGGGAGGTATCCCGTCGAACATGTTGATCACCAGAGTCAGACCGTCTTGGTACATGGGGTAAGTCACCTATTTCCAAAAATGACAGATACATTCTTACGTTTTCAGTGGTTGCATGACACTCTGGGCCATTGTATCAACCCTCACCGGCGTTTCACAAAACTTCATCGGTCTCCTCCTCACGCGTTTCTTCCTCGGTATCACAGAAGCCCCATACTACCCGTAAGTTTCCACTCGCACCCCCAAGCTCCCAAATCTAACACCTCATCACAGAGGCGCACTCTATCTCCTCTCCATCTTCTATACACGTCGCGAAGTAGCAACCCGCATCGCAATTCTCTACACCGGCAACATCCTCGCGACCGCCTTTGCCGGCCTCATCGCAATCGGTATCTTCAAAATGGACGGTGTAGCAGGCCTCGCCGGCTGGCGCTGGCTGTTCATCCTGCAAGGCATCGCCACCTTCATCGTCGCGGTCTGCGGCACGCATTTCCTGCCCGACGACCCATCCGTCACGAGATGGCTCATACCAGACGAGCGTGTGCTTGCAAGTGAGAGAATTAGAGCCGATACGGTCGATGAGAAGGGCAAGGTTTCGACGTGGAAGGGACTTAGGGAGGCGATGAGTGACTACAGAGTGTGGATTTTTGTGTTCATGCAGCATATGCATTTGGCTGCTAATGGATTTAAGAATTTCGTAGGTTTTTTCCTTGCTTTTCCATGAAAAAAAGGACTCTTGCTGACGATGAATAGTTCCCCAGTGTGGTTAAGAGTTTGGGATTCAGTACTGAGATTACGCTCGCGTTGACTTGCCCTCCGGTATGTTTTCTCTCCCAGCCTTTACAATAACTTTGCTAACGGGAAATCAGTATCTGATTGCAGGCATCGTCTCCATCTACTGGTCCTGGCAATCCGGAAAGTACAACGAGCGAACATGGCACATCACATCCGCCAAAACCGTCGCAATCATCGGTTTCGTCATCGGCTGCGTCTCCATGAACACTGTTTCTCGCTACATCTCCATGATCGTCTTCTCTATCGGCACTTATGCTGTAAACAGTATCATCCTGGGATGGGTTGGTGCTACTTGTGGTCAAACGAAAGAGAAGAGGGCTGTGGCTATGTCAATTATTGTTTCTACTTCCAATGCTTCGTTCATTTGGACTCCGGTACGTTCTCCACTCCTCTCAGTCTGCTCCCTCGCTCTTGCCCAAAACCAACCAAAAGCAAAACAAAAGAAAACCACAGAATGGAATGCTAATTAGTTGGGAAATAGTATCTCTGGGTAGACTTCACAGGCGACAAATCCTACGTTGTAGCACTTGCCGCGAGCGCAGGCTTCAGCTTCCTTACTGCGGCCGCAGCGTGGGTGATGCGGTTTGTTTTGGTGAGGACGAACAAGAAGATTCGACAAGAGGAGAATGAAGAGGTGTTGTTTTATGCTTACTGAAGTGCAAATAAAATAAATGAATATATGGGATTGGCGGGACGACGTGGGTGGGAATGGGGGACACCGGTAATCACTGAAATTGAGCAGGGGAAGGAATAGATGTTATGAATAGAAGATTCTGACGAGGAGGTAAAGGAGGCCTTACAGGAGGAATGGAGCAAGATAGCAATGGAGGAGGCGCGAAAGCGTATTTCAGATATGCCTGGAAGATGCCTACGCCTTACTAAAAACGGTGGAAAGCCCATCAAGACTGCATTGTGGTAATAAAGCTGTAAAATAGTCCCATTAATTGGTTTCTGAGCCCCTCAGATTTTGGTGTCTTTGGCCCGTGGGTAGCGAATTCGGACACTTTCTGGTGACCCCCTGTACGAGTATGAACGTCATCCTTGCGCAGCAATATTCGAAATACCGCAGCCGTCAGAGCCAAGCTTTCACGTCAAAATACCCCTTCAATGTAGGCAAATGCTCTTGAGACGCGTCAGCTCATCCGACATTCCCGAGGCAGATATTGTGATAACTTACAGACGAGCTTTGAGCCCACATCTATTTTAAGCTTTTTCTTCTCCACGAATTCCGCATCTCGCACCGTCGTCCTTATTCGCCCCGGTCCGTTTAGCAGGGGATATGATGTGCTGCAGCCAGGAATTGAACACTACCAGACAGGGGAACTCCAGGTTTGTTGATACGCTCGGCGACCATGACCTCCTCTGCAATCCTGGACGTCGTCCTTGGATCCCAGGGACCCTCTTTTCCTTTGACTGTGCGAAGAAGAGCGATGGCTTGTTGACGAAGATATGGGCTGGCACTCATGGATGTGAAATATAGCGGTGCAATAACGCCCATTTCGGAAGCGTATGATGGCTTCGGCGAAACCCCAGATTGAATTAAGGACCGAGACAGGTTGATGATTCTCATGAATTTGACATCGGTCTCTTGCTCGTGGAGAACAACATTGACCCTGACTTCAAGCATCAGGATTGCCGTCTGAAAGTGTAGCCCAAGCATCACACTCAGCCGCAGATCCTTCGTATCCATTCTTTGACTCTCCCGCTCTGAGAAGGCGTCGAAAGCTTTCTTCCAAGAATGAAATCGTGGTGCAAGCCCTTGAAGCAGGAGTATTCTTGTGGTAGAATCTTTCTCCGGCGATTTCAGAGTAAGCACATAAACCAAGCGGATCCCGATCCTATCCAGCTCCTCCTGAGCTTCCTGAAGACTGGAAAAAGATACTGGCGTAGGACCATCTTTCTCTGAGAGGTGAGCGCCGAAAGTAGTTGCATTGATCAGAGGTTGTCGAGAATCCATGAAAGTTGTGGCTTGAATATCAAGTCTACGGAAGACTTGAGTGAGATTCTCCCGCACCTTAATCTCAGATGCTGATTCCAAATCTTCCATTCGCCAGTTTTCCAGAATACTTAAACCACTCTGCAAATGAACGAGAGCCTTGTCGTAGTTTCCAGAAAAGTTTTCGAGGCATATGAAAAGAACACAGCAGATCAGGGTACTGGAGACAGCCCGGTCCTCTTGACTTGATTGCAAGAGTTTGATTGATTTGTTGTATTGCTTGAGAAAAATCAAGTCACCACTTAGTGTTGCGTCGGCTCTCGTATCATTGAGCAGATTCTCATGCAATGCACTGAGACCAAGGACAGCATGAAGAACAGCGGGTGAAGCTTCGCAGAATTGAAGGACGGTCTGATTCCAGAATTCGGAGTTGTGTCTGAATCCCATGAGTCCTGAGAGTGTGTTGTGCCGGAAGTAGTCAAATCCTCGGCTGTCCCTTCCACTTGGTGCTGTACACAAAATCATCCTCATTGACACAGATGATGTTGCATCAGGAGTCGCGAATTTGGGGAAATATTCGCACCGTGTCCCGGATCGCGTGCATCGAAGACATGAAGGCTTCTCCTCTCCACACTTTACATGGCGAATTCTATCACAATGTGTCAGGATTTTGCCTCTTGCAGGAAAGAGGTAGCCACGAACTTGCAACATTTGCATCCTCCTCGTGACTTCGGGCCTCTTGCTCTTGCCTTTTTCGCCAGAGCGTTCTCCATATCGTGAACTCTCAGCCCAAGAAGAGCACTCTCATCCCGAGGATCCGTTTTTGAGTTCGAGTGAGGTCGGAGACGTCTCCGTCAAAGACCATGAGAATTGTGATATCAGAGTGAAGACAGAATGAAGAGGTTGCCATGGAGGCATGTTTCAGATACGCAAATCTTCAGTGGCGCAGTTCGAAGGGTTTTGGAAGCCGCAGATCCCTGCAGTATCTCCACCCTTTGGACCAGCCCTCTCGGCTATCCGAATTCGATCGTATCGGGCATCCAATTTGTGGTGAGGTCTCCGTGTTCGAGAGCATGGCATTTCATGAGAGTGAGGAGTTCTGATTGGTAGAATTTATACTTCACTCTTTCGCCCCCCCCCCCCCCCCAAAGTCGTGCGACTCGAGGCTCCTCTGCACTTAGATCATTTGATATGCGAGCCACTCTCGCCTTGCCAGTGATTGTGGCCGAAGAAGGAACAGAAAGGATCGTCGGCACGACAATTGGCTCTCAGAACCGAGTTGTTACTATATCTGGCGTTCGGGGAGCTGACATTGCTTGGGGACCTTACGTGGCATTATGCTCAATGGCCCGATCTTTCAATGGGTTGAGATATGTCCCGGCCCAACCGCGAATCAGTCTGTTCGCCGAATAGACTACGTCCAGTCGTGAATTCCCTATACAAATTTTTGGCTTCACGACCAGACCGGTCTATTCGTTAACACAATCACCTCCTCTTACTTCTTTACTTGTATAAGAAGAAATAAAATAATCTAAAAATAATCTACTTTATTTTTGGGACTCGTCGGCTATTTTTACCTTATATAAGCTGTGGTAATCTTACAACTTTAGAAAGCTTTATTTATTATTAGATCTTTGAATATAAAAATAATTTCAAATTTTGTATTCTTTAAATATAAGACATAATTATTTAAATTTAAAAAGAAAAATTTTGTATCTAAAGAGCTTGGGTCTATTGTTACTTGTATATGAAATTTACCTAATATTTAATTATGGTGTTGAGAGAGATATAACATTCGCGTGTAGACCGGTTCGCGGTTGGTTCGGGACACGTGTGGGGTCAGCCCCTGCAGACCCTTGCTCCTTGCACAAGAAGATCCGGCAAGAGCCAAGACGCTTTATCTCGACGTCCCACCCTCCAGACACCATTCTACTTGTATCTCTGGCCCAAGATCAACCCCTTGGAGTATATCTCACCATGGCTAGCACTCAGCAGCGTTGATTACAAAGCTCGTGAGGAGATCTTCCTCCCAATGGAAGGGTTAGTGGCCGGGAATGTCATGCAGCTGCATGGACCGTAATCGCTGACCCCGTTTAGGAAAGCCGTAACGCCCGAGGACGTACAGGAGAATGACGAAACTCCTGCTCAGGAGACTTCCGGGTTTCAATTCATAAACCAGACTGGGAGCAAAATCAAGGATCCCAAGATCAAGAAGTTGGTCCGACAGAATGCCATAAACCGTAAGGATGACTGGCCCATTGACTTCTTTCTCCTTCTTCAGCGCATCTCAAAAGAAGTTCAAATCCTCAAAATGACCTGAGCGATTCCGAAAAGCGGGAAATGCTGACTTATGATCTCCTAGATGTGTCGAAAGCCAGGGAGAAAGAAAGAGTGCGGCCGACACACGTTCGGCCCCTCGTGCAAGGTTACGTCGGAGAAGCCTCAGGATCGGACGCGGGGTCGGACTTAATTGAGGATACTCATCCACTTAAGGCCAGCGTCACCCAGCTCAACGACTATTGGTCTTCGGAGAGAGACCCAGGTTTCACTGGGTCCTCGCAGCCGCCAACTACAGCTTTCACCCCAACTCAACTGCTCGCACTTGCCGAATCCACAGCGGGGTTTGGCGAGCTCAATCTGGGTCAACAAAGCTCTGCCGCATCCCCAGAGTCCTCAACTTCGCTTGCGGAACACAAAAGGTTCTCGAGTGGAGCAACACAGACCCGGCCACGGAGAGCAAGATTTCAACGCGGATGCCGCACTTGCAGGTCAGTCAGCAGCTCATCCAACCTTCCCATACTTAGTTTCACGGTCATGTGCTGAATAAATCCCTTGAATAGGAAGCGTCATGTGAAATGCGATGAAGGAAGACCAGCATGCCTGCGCTGCTTGCGATCATATGGTTCCTGTGAGGGTTATCCGACCGATGGAACAGGAATACACACCTTTGACTCCAACATCCCAACTACTTCGAGAAATCAGCTAGCAGGTCAACGTCCTGCAGCTGGCCCAGTCTTTTCGAGTGAAACAGAAGCACTATATTTCAGGCTCTTCCTAGAAGAGACTTCTCTCGAACTGATTGGGGTCTTCGACACAAGTTTCTGGGGTAAAATCCTCCTGCAAGAAAGCCACCAGCAAGACTTTGTCCGGCACGCGATTGTGGGAATCGCAGCTCTCAGCAAGTCGATCAAAACGAAAGCTCTGACCGTTGCGTATCCTGGCACGTTTGGGGCGATATGGAAGGAAGAAGCAACCAAGCAACGGGAGTACGCTCTGACGCACTTTGGGAAATCGTTGACGGGTATGAAAGCTGTTCCTTGGGCTGGAGAAGACTACTTGAGGAAGATCTCAATTGCTATCCTCTTGGTCATAGTCTTCGAAACAATGTACGGCCAGCCAGATTTGGCTTTCTCTCATGCGATTATTGGAGATCGCCTCATCCGGAGGCGAATTGACATTCGTGACCGCGCCAGAATTCGTTTGAGCAACGGCCAACGGTCCCCAGCACCACGTGTCCTGGATGGAGACATCTTTTCGGCTTTCGTGCGGTTCGGCCTTCAGATGATGACCTTCGTAGACACCAGACCGTATTTAACCCACGAGGTAGGAAGAGTAAATGCTTCAGACACGATGGCGAAAATGCCATCCGAGTTCTTCAGTTTGGTTGAAGCAACTTACTTTTGGGAATACGTGGTCAGGCGAGCCTGCCACTATGTCATGTACGCGGCAGTTCGAAGCCAATCAAACAATATCATGCGAGAGTTCTCGAAGCCGTTCTCTGGTAGAGTCTTAGACATGACTCCAGAGACCGGCATTTATGGCTCGCCATATATCGTACCGCCAGGGCTCCATGCCGACAAACAATACCACACAGACGAACTCGCTCGCTGGTGGACGGCATTTTTACCACTTTTAAGTCAGATCCAATCCTCATCAACAGACCTCCGAGCGAGAACAGGAGCTTTGATCATGCAGCTGTACGCACTCACTATCAAAATCGTCGTCGAAGGAACACTCTTTACGACCGAATGCTCATACGACATCTTCTTACCCGAGTTCAGAGAGATGGTTTCTCTATGCCGCCAAATCGACGACAATTTCCGCGAGATGTCCGAGCATCAACCCTCCTTCCACGTCCATCTCAGCATTGTCCCGTGTCTCTTTACCACTCTGCTTCGGTGCCGAGATCGAAGTCTACGCCGGGAATGCATTGATATTCTACGTACCTCGCAACACGACGGGCCATGGGATCGCTTTATAATCGCTGCTCTCGGCACCTGGATTATGGAGCTAGAAGAGGCTGGCTCTGATACGGAATATATCCCAGAACATGCGAGAGTGCAGTTCTCGCGTGGTGTGAGGAGTATGGAGACGCGGTTGGTCATGGTTCAATGTGTGAGGCGTGACCGCTCTCCGGGGTGGGAGACACGAGAACCGAGTTTGAGATGGGAAGAGATGGCCATGAATGCCGAAGCCCATCTTGAATGGATAGTAAGCAATGACCCGCTCGCTGGCCTCGCTTGAAGTATATGCCTCAAGCTTGGATGGAGTATGAAGGGAAGTGAAATAACGCAACAGCTTGACAGTTGCCCCAAGGAATAAGGCAACAAAGAATAAGAAAAAGGACACTGTGTAAAACCTATACAAAGCTTTGAGAAGAGTTGATTGAACTCAACGCCATCATGTCCTCTGCAACACTTCTGTCTGTCTAGTAAACTGCTCCAGACCCTCCCCCTATTTTGCGTTCAGGCTTTTCATCTGCACCACTGGGTGAATATCGAAGCTTGTCGAAGCCCCATGGCCACCTCGGTCACGGATTCAAATGCTATGTTCATTGTTGGTAAACCATTCCCCGTGGCGTAATATTAAAGCGAGAGGCAATTGATGCCCTGCGCTATAAAGCACCGCGCCTATTTACAGACCTCATCGCATAGACTCCTTCGCCCACTCCATCACTCTATGAGAACCCCATCTCAACCCGAGTGACCCATGCAAATGAGACCTCTGAACGCCGACGCTAGCGAACCACTTCCCCTAGAATATCGAAGGGGGATCTTCACAGTATATGTGGTGTGCATCTAATTGCAAAATCAAAATATAATAAGAACGCCGGTGCTATGCTAGAACGCAGCCAAATCAACGAGCAATGCAAACTTGATAACTGTAACCGCCGCATTGCTGGCAGGAGAAGTTATCCCCAACCAGAAGTCGATGGCCCTTCAACCAATCCAAATCCAATACTACTCGTTGAACCTGGTGTGAATTGCTCTTCTATGCCCAGTTTGATGATATCTCCCGATGATTGCCTGATCAGCGGCGTCTCGTAGAGTAGGATTGGGTCGACGAATCTCCTGCCAATTATCTGACTCTCCAGTTCCCGGACTCTTGCGTTTCGTACCTCGATACTCGCTGGAAGGAGAGGCTCTCCCTATATCTTCGCGCCTTGAAGCGGGTGACGAGGGTGCAGATCTCCGACCTTTACGATACGTCTTGGAAGGCGTAACAGATCTAGAAGGCACAGGTGAGGACGAGAAGAGTGCCGGGTCGGCATCTTCAGCTGCATCATCTTCAGCCTCCTCTTCTCGTGAGCTGCCAGACCGCAAAAGCATTTCGTCATCGTTCGCCGAAGTTTCCGGCGTTGCCTCGGACACACCATTGGCCCTCGAATCCGTCTTCACTAGGTCAATAGGATCGTCCTCCTGATCCTGGCCGTCAGAATCGCGATCCTCGCCCCCAAAGTCTCCAAGTTCAACATCGACCACTTGCCTGGAGGTTCCTACTCCATTTGCTGGATGTCGAGATGGTCGGCGGTCGGACACCGGCGGGCTTGGAGTCTCCCTAACCTCAGGGCTCGGTGCCTTGACCGCTCGCTCGCGATGCTCTGAGACTCCTCGATTTGCTTTCTCGACAACAGCAGATCTCCGCTGTTGAGCTTTTGTAGAGCTATTGCGTACAGAATCCACTACCTCGGGAGTTGGAGTTCTCAGGTCGTGAACCTCGTTTCTAGCTGGAATACGATGCGCAGGCTCCATTGCATCAGGGGTAGGAGAAGCGAGATCACGGTCATTACGTCTTGGTGGACTATGCGGGGAGGTTTGATTCTCTCGCTCGTGTCTCGTTCCTGTTTGTCGTTCCTTGTCGGCACGCTCAGTACTGGAACGCCCAGTTTGCAAGACGCCGAGACTATCTTTGACTGAGGTTCTTGAAAAGTCTTCCATTCCGGAATTCCTGGACCTCGGTAGATTGTTTCCATAATCTACCTTCTGAGGGGACTCATCAATCTCGATAACATCAGTCTTTGATGATTTAGGGTCTGATGCATTCATCGTTGCGGACTTGTCACGGCCGAGAAACCCATTCAAGATCTTGGTTGCTCCCGAGAGAAGTTCATTCAGTCTGGAACCGGAAGCTTTTGCAGAGTCGTTGGTGGCAGCATCCAGATCGTGGTTCTCTCTCAGTTTGGGCTCGTTAGGCTTGAGAATTTCAACCTGCACTTGCGATGCTGGCCAGCTAGGGCTACCCGACTTTCCAGGCGCAAAGCTTATGGGAGGCTCTATTGACGCAGATGTCTGGGATTTGGGATTGTTCTCCTTTCTCGAAGGCTCTGGTTTGTGTTGAATGGCCTTCTCTTGCGCGTCTCTAGATTCGTCCAAGGTTCGCCCGTCAGGAGATACTCGAACACTCTTCGATGCTTCCCGGGATGGCGATTTGGAAGTCAAGGCTAAACCACATCTATCTTCGGTTTTGCTCGATTTCTTCCCCTTGCCTTTCAGTTTCGCAAGTCGCTCCGCTTCCGCAAACTGTTCTTTTTGAAGGCGGAACAAGAGATCACGAATATGTGTACGCATTTCCAGGGCCTTCGGCATTTGATACTCCTTAGAGTCGTTTTGGAGGATACCACTAACAAACTCGTCCGGACTCTTTAGAAACATCTCAACATAGCTGAGCAGGAATAACCCGCAATCGTAGTAATTGTTCTGGGTCGGGATGCCCTTCGCAGTGGTGCCAATGGAACCAGGTCTTTCAATATCGATATTCTTCTTGTCCTTGATTTCCAGCACCAGATAATCCTTCAGATTTGAGCAAGTAGTCGTATGACTTGAACCGAGAGAATCAAGAGTGATGATTCGAAATTCCTTGGGGTTATACTTCCGCTGTGGGGGCATGGATTTTCGTTTCGTCTTTTTGGTTTGAGTCTCCTTCGCGGTCTCCAGCTCGAGGAGATCAGAGGTCACATTTGCTGGTGGAGGATCCTCGCTCTCGATAGCCTCTTGTCCTTCAAGGATACCATTCGAGACTGGATAGAGCGCTTCGGAGACTTCTGGCTTCTTGTCTTCCAATGACACGTCTTTCATCAGAAGGTCAACATCTCCGCCATTTGCACTTTCTGGAAATTGCTTTAATGGAACCAGGGGCGCCGCTTTGGGCGCGTCCTCGGTATTCGTGTGCTCATCTCCAGGAGGTCCAGCGGTATCTTGTGATTGAGAATGTTCCGTTGTTACTGCGTCCGGTAGAAGCTTTGGTGCATTGCAAATTATAGCCACATACCAGTGGGAATGCTCGTTGATGGGTATGATAATGTAATCCTTACTCAGAAGATCAACCTTGGAGGTCCATTTCTTGATAGCCTCATAGTTTATTCCTTTGATCCCCTTTTCGGGTTTGGAAAGCTTTTGATAGAAAAAGGTATTCTGGAAGTAAATGCGCTTGGCCAATTCCGGATGTTGCCGCTCAAGCTGATCTTGCAACCATCGGAGATAGAAGGCGATCAGGTTGTCATTCAGAAACTCGCCATCGTCGAGTTTCTCAATGTCTCCCATATCTACCCGTGCCCTGTCTTTTCCAATGGCAGGGTAGATGATCGAGTTGTGCCATTCTTTGGTCCAGTTCGGGTTCTTTCTCGTCCACAGAGTCAACGGAGGCGGGCTGGGTTCTCGTGGACGTAGCTGCCGCGGTGCTCGATCTCTGTCTTGCACTCTTGTTGAAGACCGAGTCTCGTGCGACAAGCCTAGGTTTGCGCGTCTAGAAGTTGAATTACCATAGAACTCAGCCGAGGACACTTCTTCCGGGACCTGAAAAGGCTGCTGCAGACTTTCGTCTTCCAAGTAACCAGAACTCGAGCGAGTGCGCATGGACCTAGCGAGACTTCTTGATCTGGGCAGTTCGGTCCTCTCATCCTCTGTGCCTTTGCCTTCAATTCGTGCTGCCGACGTTGCCGTTTCTTTAAGAGAAGGCCACTTCGACTCCAATCTCCTCTCCGCGTTGGCTTTGGCAAGTTTGATGTCGTCTGGCTCCTCCTCAAGGCGGCGTATTTTCTTTTGGGTCTCTCGATAGTCGAGAACTTTGGTACGATTGTTGCCGACAACAGTTTCAAGATAAGGCCTAAACAAGAACATTAGCGATTGCAAGGTGATAGTTGATAGATATGCTTACTGGGGTTTGTTTATAGATTGTATTGTTGGTTGGGTAGTTTTAAGACTCTCTCTTAGGTCATTACTCTGATCGGCATCACGGAGCTGAAGGTAGATATGAGTTCCTCTACCAGTTGTGTCATCTCTGGCTTTGTGAATAACGAGAATTTGGCTTTTGGAGTTGTATTCAACCTTCTCCACTTTGCTCGTAGGAAGAACCCACATGGTACTACGGCCTTGATCAAATAATTCCAAGGTTTTGGAAATGGAGTTATGAACCAGTGACCAAGAATCGAGCCTTGGGTCAGCTAGCCATGCATCTCTCTCGGAAAACACGAGTATAGCATCGTATTTTTCATCCTCAGAGGCTGTCTCGCCTCTCGTGTCTCTTCTAGAGGAAAATTGGGTGGGTTGTATGTTGGCTTTATCATTCGCGAGATCATCATCACTTGAGACATCAAGAGGGATGGATAGACTCCGGGAGACAGTTCCTTTTGGCTTGCTCGATGCCTCGCCACCAGATTTCTGTCTTGCCACAAGGGCCATTGCTGTTTGCTGATGAAGATCGTCACTGTTGAGTTCATCCACGCTCTCGTCTGGACCAGGCCGAGGGCCTAAATGTCGAGACGAAGCATTCTTCATACTCGAATTTCCGTTCTGTAGGCCCGACGATCTCATAGAAGTTCTGCTTGGGACTGTGCCATCTGCTGAATGAGGGCCACTTGGGGTTTGTCCCTGCTGGCGGGTCTGTGCGGGTGGTGGGAAGTGAGGTGAGATCTCTTGAGTACGCGCATTTGCAGTGGATTGATTCCTGCTTTTGTCTCCATTCAAGTTCTGTCTTGGCGGGCGGCGGAACGATGATCCTTGGTATCTTCCGGCTTGAAGAGTTGACGGAATCTGAACTTCTACAGTCGGCGTACCTGTAGACTGAGAGGCTCCTTTAAGAATGCTGCGAGACCCAGTTACAGCAACGTCATCTTCGGAGATAGGATCAGTTTCATCGTCCAACTTTCCCACCCACCTCTCATTCTTTCGCTCGGGTTGAAACCGCCTACTTCTATTGCCATACGATGCTTGGCCGTCCGAGGAAGAACTCTGCCGCTTTTGCGGCTTTTGATAACCAGGCTTCATCAAATTCTCAAGGAACCCATACTCTTCAACTTCATATTCGGAGCCCTTTCGGACCTGACTGTGAATAGATCCTGTCGTCTGTGTGCCCGTGGCTTTCCCATTTTTTGTTGGGCTAGCTTCAAGATCGATGGGTGACCCCAAGGAGCCATTGCGCGATGTGGTCGTATCCTCAATCCTCTGTCTCTTGCTCGGGGGCTGCTCGGCTCGCCGGCTATGGTCTTTGTGCAGGTCAAACTTTGGAACTTGCGGCTTGAAAGGTGCATTCGGTTTCGAGGCATTGTTGCCGAATTTGTGCAGCTGTTGATGCGGGGTGTTGGGACAGAGTCGATTAACTGGTTTTGGGCCGCTTGGGACAGGAGCCTTTGAAGAAGTCAGTGCCAAGGTCCCCAGTGGATCAAAAGATATACCATTGACTCTTGCCCCCGAGAGGCTGACGGGGTCGATGCAGGAGCAACAGGTCTGGGGTTACTAGAATTATAAAGTCAGCCAAGTGATTCTTTGCCACTTTGTGGGGGCAGTAGGCATACCCAAAATCTCGAATATTGCTTGGCTTCCGGGTCTTATAGGTGTCAAAATAACTCCTTCGAAAAAGGTATTAGCAAGCAGATCAGCGACATAGAACATTTCCCCAGCATACCACGGTCGTTTGGGGCCGACCTTGCTTTCGCTGGATTCCTTCTGGTCGCGTTCATTGCCCTCGACAGACGCGTTCTCTTTTTTGCCTTCGTGAATCTGCCGACTCGATCTCAAGCTGCCAGCATTTCCCGTTGATACCGTCTTTGTAGGACTTTCGGGTTCTGGCGTGCCACTTTGTTCCTGCAACTTTTCACCCGAGTTCGGTTTGATCCTCTTCGCAGAAATGATGACCGGTATCTCAGTTTCCTGAGGTGAAGCATTAGCGATATCGAATTTCGGTGCGGGACTAGCCGAGGGCCTCGACAACAGCCTTGCGCAATACTGGGCTAATGGACTTACAGGATAGCTCGCAGATGCTTCACCCTCTTCCTCCTTTGGCAGGGGCAGCTCAGTGTCGTTTGAGAGGTCTACGACGTCGTCTTGGCTGGAGCTGTGTGCGCGTTTCTTGCTGCGAGGGCTCGTTCTCGGCATCTCAGAGTCGTCATGCTCCACAGGAAGATGCGCTGCTTCGTCCAGATATTGACGTCTTGCTTGTCGTACGCATGCTTCGATGGTAGGCTCAGCGCTCTTTGATCTTTGTCCCTGGTGAATCGGGAATGCGACGCTGCTTCCGGTGGTAGTGAATTGTTGATGTTGGGGGAGGCTGATCAAGAGGTCGTCGGTCGCACTGCCTGGCTTCTGATTGGTTGATTTGTTCGTCGGTTGCAGCCTCTCCAGAAGCGCCTCGTCCCAGCTTTCATGAAGAGTGTTGTCGTGTGGAATGACAGGAACATCTGTAAACTTCATTTTCTTTGGGGTCGGTACTTCCTCGTCAAAAATTTCTTGCAATCTCTTTCTCTTAATGGGCCCCAAATTGTTCTCGAATCGCAGCATCCCTATTCTGTAATGAACCATGCGGTTGATGCCACTCCAATCTGGTCCTGATGGTCTGTCCATCTTAACTGCCGAAATGGGAAGTCACGGATAAGTTTGCAGATACTGTACTGGATTTTCTGTTGTGTTTCGAGTCGAGCCGGAACCGTCTTTTTGGAAACTTTCACAGATCGTTCATGCTTCCAGGTCTTTCTTGCCAAATACAGAACTGGCAAGGTTATCGGACAGGTGTCAGATGTGAATGAGCTCTGTTTGTCGACTAATGCGGAAAGAACTACTGGAGAGACTAGTTCTTTCAGATGCTGCTGGGAAAGCTGCAGAGGAAGGAGTACCCAGCCGCGGTGTGGGTGCAGATATCCTCTGTATCGGATGCTCACTCTGCGTTTGAAGTTGAACTGTTCGTTGAAAGACAAGCTGACAAGAAAACGGAATCAGTGCTGTGATATCTTGGAGTCAAGCCGACGCTGATGTGATTTTGCTCTCACGATGTTGCTGGATGCTTGATCTTGAGTTAAGTTGTGTGTCAAGGGTAGGATCGATCTCCTGGGAAGAATGTATAATTGAAGATGGAAGGGTTAATTTGATGGGTATTGGAGAGTCGTTTTCCATTGTGCATAGGACAAAGGAAAGTTGACAATATCTGGACTAAGTAACAATACTACACCTGACAATACTAGCTGCAGCATTCACTCAAATCGAGTGCCAAAGTCCAATAGACATGAGCATCTGTCAATTTGCCTTTCTATTCTGCCTGCCCTCAGCTGTTGACAATGGGAACAAATTTTCTGTTCTGGATTGTCTTTGAAGGCAGCGAACTTCATACGATTGCCACACTGCTCTTTAGCTGCCACTTTTACTGCCCCCTCGTTTTGAAATCCAACCATATGCTTTAGAAGTCTGCTGGCAAACTGGCATTCTCTTGAAACAACCTCCAAATTACAAGTCACAGTAAAGATCAAAAGAACATTTTTCCCAAGGCAGTGCATTGCTTCTTGATACAGCTGTACAAATAAAAAGGGTCCGCAACACAGAGCCCACCAAGAGCTTTCATACCGCTCCTCTTCTATCTCCCCATCACTTGATATCCATCTACACATCTGCCCTCCACAATCCAACACACCGTCTATTTAGATTCCTCAGGGTACAGATCCTCCTTTAGGCTGACACCCAATTCTTCTCGGAGCGGCTTAAGCTCTTCCAGGTATTGATCGTACTGGCCCTTATTCTCAACTTTTGCCTTGATTCCTGTAATAACTCCAGGTCAGCCCTCAGTCTCATGCACACACATCCTTCTCCCTATCAATCCGTGCGTGCTTCCGAGACGTCGACGTGGAGGCACATACCCTCAAAGATTCGCACAGCTGTAGGAAAGTCGTTGACTCTTCGTGCAGCCTTCAACGCAGCAGTGAGGACGGAAGGTGAAGGGACGAGATCGTATGCGAACGCATTGTTGAGGTTTCGCTGTAGCCGATCGTATGATAATTAGCAATCTGGAGGTACGCGATGCCAGTTGTGGGTAAAGGGAAGCAATATGTATCATACCTGAAGTTCGAAGACATCTTGGACCTGGTCGAATTCCTTCTCATATCTATACGTTGACACCAGAAGGTTAGCAATTGACGATCAATGCTGGCGTGCATCATTGCTTCGTTTCGGCTGTGCTGAAGGTGCTCAAATGTTCTCGACGCCAATTGAGGATCCACGTACCTGGCAGTGAACTCCTCGAAACTCTCCTCGTGGTGAGAAGCTTCCTGGCCATCTTTATCGGACAAGCGGACGCTGCTGGTGCTGAAGCTGCTGACGGAGCCGGAGGTCGCGATCAGTGCTGGCGCAGCGTAGAGGGCGTTTGAGCTGCGGGGAGTCAGGCTGCGGAGGCCATTGGCACGGAAGAAGGTGGACGGCTGCGCGCGAGCTGCGATGCGCAGCAATGAGGACGACGACATTAGGAAAGACGATGTTATGAGGCTACTGTGAGGCTTTTCGAGAAGCTCTTCAGACGTAACTTACGATTTTCCCTTCCGAAGGTCCCAAGGAGCAAACGCAACACCAGCCAATTAGGTGGGTGCTTTACATAAGCAACCCGCACTAGCCTACTAGGCCGAGGGAGCACAACATGGACATTCCAGACCACTCATTTTTTTCAGCTTTGAACATATCATACGATTTTCAATTTCTCCGGAACATTACAGCATATATATAGACTCTTCTACTAAACCCACGTCTTTACGAATCCCCCAAGGACTCCGAGATTATTTGACCTGACCGCCGCTCCTGTGCCTGTTCTGAATTCCTGCGCCGTCCCCACCAGCGAGTGGCTTTGGAGAACATGTCAGCTGAAAATAATGATTGCACTTCTTTATGATATCGATGTTTTGTTTAGGATATTTGGCTTGGTCAAGAAGTAGGGACCGCAGCTCGTTGGATGACGACGAGCGCGATGTACCAAACATGGAGACGTCAAAACATCCCCAACCGGGAAGTGACGTGTCCAATTCGAGATCTATGTACCTCCTCAGAACAACAGAAATATAACTCAATTGGAAAGGTAAGTGGTCGAAGCTATCTTCCGTTTACTCTTCTATTTCCAGACCCCCTGCTTCGTTAGCCGAAAAATATCGGTCTAAGACCCGAGGACTTGCTCATAACTGAAGTCGGTCGGATATCTACGAAAACGCCTTGTAGAGATTCTGTGTATTTCGTGATTTTCAGCCTCTTTTCCCGCAAAATGTCGGGTCTAAGGATTGAGGGCGCATTTATGATTGAACTTCGCCGAATATCTTTTCCAACTTGCAAATTTAAAGGTCTCCCGGAGACTATATGCCATTATCTCTCCTTCAAAGGTTTCTTTTCTCAAATATGAGCTTCCCAAGCTTTGTCTTCCATCAACTCTTCGTTCGTTCAGCTCAACTTCCACCTGCAATCAGCCCCAAAGACCAAAATATTCCCATCACTGGCTCAAATACTGGAATTGGACTGGGAGCTGCCCGACAATGTGTTAAGATGGACGCCAACAACCTGATTCCCGCCGTGCGGAATATCTCCAAAGGCAAAGCTACAAAAGCCGACATCCTCAAATCTAACTCCGCATCGAAAACGCGAGTCGAGGTATGGAATCTTAATCAAGAGTTCATAAAATCAGTAAATGCTTTCGGGAAGCGAGTTCAAGGACTGCTACGTCTGGGCGTTGCTATATTAAATGCTGCAATCTTCAAGTTCGATTGGCCCTCTTCTCCTGAGACTGGTTTCGAGTCGTCACTGCAGGGCAATCATCTTTCTACAGCTCCCTTGACTTTATATCTCCTCCAGGTCTTGGGAAAGACTTCAAGAGAACTCAAACGAACTACACGCCTTACAGCAACATCATCCGAAGTAGCTCTGTGGACGCCGTTCAAAGAACAAAAGCCGGAAAGGATACTTGACTATCTCAATGACCAGGAATGCGAAAGCGCGCGGCATTGAAATCCGTCCAACTCGCTAAGCGAGGACGGGCACGATTTCAATGCTGCATTACAAAAATACTTATAATTCCGCCTTATATTATATTATTATAAAACTTTCGCCAAACTTAGATCTGCTTCCTTTTTATAATGTAAAGCACTTTTGAGGAGTGTCGGGCGTTCTATTGAGATTTGGTGTGATTTTCTAAATGTAGCGATTTTGGTGTTCCTCGCATTTTGGCAGAGGACGATTTTCAACGCCGCGCCCTTTCGTACTTCGGCTCTGACCACTTAGACTAGTATAGTGCCATGAAACTTTAAACATGTTTTGGGCACGAGAACTGGCGTCACAAGTCTGGGGAGGGAGGCGAGGTGGTGATTAATCTTGTCAATCCTGGAACCGTGGCAATTGGCTTGCATCGAGATTGGCAGAAGACATTCAACGGAAATTTCCTGCAACACTTCTATCGAATACTGGGAAGAACACCGGAAGAGAAAGGCCGGCTTGTGATGGATGGAGCTGTTGTGAAAGGAAACGGTACTCATGAAAAATACCTGGGTGAGGCAAGGCGTGTAGACAGTAGAGTAGGCTCCTATCATCCATCTCTAAAAGCGCTCTCTGATAAAGTGCTAGCGTTACGCCATTCATTCACAGCGAAGAAGGCAAGAGACTGCAGAAAAAGTTATAGAGTGAGGGGGTTAGAGGACTCCGAGAGTAAGCAAGGCAGGCCCGTTTGAATGAGTTGCTTGAACACTTGAAGTGAGGCATTTCTTCATGAGGGTCGCTTTCCTGTCGAGGCTCTGTGACTCAATTCGATTCAATTTCCGTCCCTATTTCTTGTACAGGTAGATTTTAGCTAGATCATAATCAATACCACACTGCCTTTTCTGAGTAGGTCAAAGACAATAAAAAGCGTGAAAATAGTTTTGAACGCTACAAATTGAATCAAGTCAAACCCCTGTAGTCTCGATATCCTAAAGCGGCGTAGCGATCACTTCGACCTCGCTGCTTCTCACAACGATACCCGAGACGACGTTACACCGGCTCTTCTGCAACAGAATCCAAACAGAAGGCCATGAGCTCCTCTCAATCAATCGAAATTAAACCACCAAAGGAAACGGGGCAACGGGGCATTGTTTCAAGCAAAAGAATGCGATCATCGGAAGCAGAAGGCAGTTGATGGCTCCCTCCACACCTTATTACAGCTGCTAAAGTGGCAAAGGGCAATCGAGAATGGCCATGTAACCGGTGTTTGAGTAGGAGATCTGCTCACCTATGCCAGTTTGAAGTAGGAAAGGCACATCCGGGCGGGGAAACATCGCTGTCAGACGGCAGCGGCAGGACGGCGAAGAGAGTGGGATCAAGAATCGTCCAAGCACGCCTCCCGATGGCAGAAGTGAGGAGGCGGTCCGAGTTCTGGATTGCATAGGCTCTTCGGTCTTTGGAAACATCTTGTCGGCCCCCAAAACACCATGGTTCTAATGGAAGACTAAACGAAGCGGTCAAGCATTGAGGGATATCACCCACCAGATCCTGATGCAGCATCAGAACCATCATTCCTCGATCCTCGGAGAACACGACCTGAAGTCATAAAGCTGTTTCCAACCCGCCAAGTCCTTGACTTCCTATTCCAGCGTTTTCCAACTCATATCAACTGACTATATGAGGAAATCTACCAAAATATAACGGCGAAGGAGACATCCAATTCGGAGTCTTTGATTCTAGGAATTTGCGTCAATAGTTTGGAGTTCTTCCCTCATCCGAAATGGTCCAAGTTTTTGCTCCATGTCCCACCAGACGTTCTGGAAGTTCGAGGTAACGCCGCAGGTTGCAAACTTGACGGCTAGTGGCCTCGGAAACCGTCGTTGCTTGGTATCTAACAGCTGGATCTTATATCGCAACTCACGTCAGTGCGGGGAATGTTAAGGGTAGTCATACCATTCTTGCCGAGACTGCAAAGGAAGCCCAAGAAATCAATCTCTCTCTCGAAGATAGGTGAGAACCAATATCAGAATTCGATAAGGAGACCCGGCGGAAAGCGTTCTGAAATATATACGTATGGGATTGGTATGACAATTTGTATATAATCTAAGCACTGCTAATTGTTGCCAGCTTCTACAATACATTTCTAGGTCGCTAGCCTCTGATACTAGAAGGCTATTACAAAGTCAAGATTCCCAGCGAGACGCCTTATACCACTTCCACGGATCGTGATGCACCAATTCTGTTCACAGATGTACTCACCAACCTCAAAATTTGCCGGCTTATGCAGTCGTTCCCGAACACTCCTACACAGGGGGCAGAAAGGGTTGAATCCCAAAGTTGTTGCCGTCGGCGCTCAGAGCTTCAAGGAGGGACTCATCGATACACTTCACCCAGCTTTCAAATTGGAAACTCCGGACACGAGCTGCGTTAGCAAGATTTCTACCTTGTCATTGAAGAGGGCAGAATATTGCCTCATTGTCTATGGTGTACTTGAAGGTCGAGAACCCTACTCTATTTTTCTTGCACGCACAATGTATTGCTCCGGGACTTTCGGATGCATTACATGCTTCCTCAACGGCTAGCTTGTACTTGAGACTGTCCAGATTCAGCAATGCAGAGAAGTTTCATCGACCCACTCACCCCGCGAGCATTCCAAGAAGCTCATTTCGACATTTCCGATCTTGTCTTGGCAAAAGCCCTCGGAGTAACGCCGATCAACACTTGCATCAAAACTCTGAATGAAGAAGCCCAGCTACTCGAGCTTCTAGGGGGAAGTTCACATCGATACTCCATGCTCGATGGCAGCAGTCGAAATGACAGCTGTTTTAGGCACATGCATCATCTCAGACTACCTCATCAGACGATAATCTCTCAGATAAGTGGAGTCTTTTCTCCTTTAGGACCTGTGTTGAGAGGAAAGTATAGAGAGTATTACGAGGAGGGTCTTAAGCTATTGGATATTTTGACTCGGAATTCACCGCTTTCTCTGAAGGGGCGAGGATTATGAGGCAGCTTCAGTTGAAGATACTTAAAGAGGGAAAGATTGAGGAGCAGAACTCTCTCTCAGCAATACCCGCCTGATAGTCCTCAAATTATACGCGGCGTGGCACAAACTCTTTTATCCTTTAGTCCTCCAAAATTTCAGGAGGACTTGGCTTCAGCAGAAACTCCGGGCGCGGAGTTTGACCAAGACTTCATGACAGCGGGGATGGGAATCATTTTCTAAGGGAGCTGATATGTCTTGGGTTTTCGATTATACCATGTTCCAGAAGGGGCAAGAGTAGGGAATCCTGGAATGGATTCTGGGGTGGGATTTGGGAATCTTGGGGGTGGATACAACGGGATGTGAAGGCGGGGGCAATAAACGGATAGTCGGGGAGACTCCAGTCCGTGAACATGAACAAATAACAAAACGTGGAGTCCAACCTCGGAATCTCTTCCTATTAGCAATTTCTCAATACGTAGTTGAATACGTGAGGCTCAGTATGCTTCAAAATGTAAATGGGAGGGAAAAGGGGTCCTGGCTCGAGCCCGCACGTGCTCCACTGCCTTTCCCGGCCCACTTCTCTTTCTCCAGACTCCAGCGCAACATCACAAATTTTAATCCGCAGGTTCCCAATCGAAACCAGCTTGATTAAAAGCCTCCATAGATCACAATTGAAGAAATTGATAAATGTGAACCACGGCACGTGCTCATCCCAATCACATGCTGCGGCAGCTGCGAGTTCAGCCAATTTCGGCACACCCCTTTCGAGGAAAGGAAACGAAGCGACGGGAATCGGCCTGACCCCTTTGGTGACAATCAGGATCTTCGTTTTTTCTCTCGCAGCAACTTCACTCACCACATTCCCAGGTCGTCTTCGCTGACCGCCACCTCTTCTCGTCGCTCCTTCCTCGAGTCTTTCCATTCTCGACCCGTTTCTTATTAATTGCCTTTTTTTTTTGCTTTCAACTCTGTTTGGGTGGAAGTTGCAACGTGTCGCCGCTTTTTTTCAGGGTCCGCGTGTTCGAGTACCATTTTCTCCGGAAGCACCGAAATCGCGTCAATCCCATCGGCACAACATCTCTATCATCGCTGCAGACATACGGTCCCCATACCCGGCTTCCGCGATGTCGTCCAGCGCGACGGATATCCTGAAGGCGCTGCCGCTGCCCAGCTTTGAGCGACCGTTCGGCGTGAAGTTATGGCCTCTCTTCGACATGGCCTTTACTCCGGTCATGGGCTATCATCCGCAGGACTTCGACTTCCAGCCGCGAGTTACCCCAATGTCGACGCTGAAGGAGGCCGGCTTCACTATTCTTGCATACTACATTGTAATTTTTGGCGGGAGGGAGATAATGCGCAACCGTCCAGCCTTCAAGCTGAACCTACCCTTCATGATCCACAACTTCTACCTTACGAGCATCAGCGCGGTTTTATTAGCGTTATTCCTGGAGCAATTGATTCCTACGCTCTACAACCATGGCCTCTTCTACACTATCTGCGACGTTAAGGGTGGCTGGACACCGAATTTGGTGATCCTCTACTATGTACGGATGCGCCCCTGGATCAGGCTGAAGAACTTTTGCTGACAGCCACCAGCTGAACTACCTCACGAAATACCTCGAACTTATTGATACAATCTTCTTGGTGCTGAAGAAGAAGCCATTGAGTACGAAAGCCCTTGGTATTGGCGAAAATACCTGCTAATGTACTGTGAAGCCTTCCTGCACACCTACCACCACGGCGCAACAGCGCTCCTCTGCTACACCCAATTGATTGGCTTGACATCAGTATCATGGACCGTGATCACCCTCAACCTGTTTGTCCACGTTGTCATGTACTGGTATTACTTCCAGAGCGCGCGGGGAGTCCGAATCTGGTGGAAGGAATGGATCACCCGTCTGCAGATCATCCAGTTCGTGATTGCACTCGGTAAGGCTGAAACACAGCGCCCTATCTCTTGTGCCGTTCAGCTGCTGACATTTCCCTTTAGGGTTCGTCTATTTCGCATCTTACACCTACTTCACCTCGACATACTTCCCATGGATGCCTAATCACGGCAAATGCGCCGGTGAGGAGTTTGCCGCCTTCTCGGGCATCGGTGTCATCAGCTCTTACCTCCTCCTGTTTATCTCCTTCTACATCGCAACCTACAAGAAAGATGGAAAGCGCCCCACAGGCCGCAAGGCTGCACGCTCGCTCAAGGATGCGGAGCTCCCAGATATTGCAGCTCTTACCCATGGAAAGATCGTGCCCGAGAAGAAGAACGGCCATGCAAATGGAACCAACGGACACGCCGTCTCATCCGCCACGCCGGGCCGCCCTTCGACCCGCTCGCGCAAGGCATAGATCTGAGTAGATGAGACGAAGCCGGTCAGAACCGGCGATGACTGTGGCCTTGGAAGCAGTCTAGAGATAGAAACTGGATCTACTTCTCTGTACAATATACCAAACGGCAGGACTGGAGGAGTACCATCCCGTCATAGAAAACTCGTTAATGTCAGATCAAAGCAAGCATGGGAACGCACGGGGCATGGGAGGGCACATGGGTCATCATTCTCCCATATGTTTATTTTCCTTTTGTATTACACTTTGTGCATGAAAGAAAGACGTCTACTTGGTGCGGTGTTGGTGGTTGGGATGGGGAATGGGTGAAAGAGTCAATCCAATGTTCAATGAACAGTGAATGAATAATAGGGTCCATAATAGACGCCGAATCCTGATTGCCGTGCCTCATTTCTTCCTTTCCCCCTTACCATAATTATATCTATTGCAACACGGCATTGAGTGGTTGCTTTACAGCTATTTTAGACGGTTAAGCAAGAAGTCGAGCAGGGCCTCGCTTAATTTCGCTCCTTGCCCTTGATCCAAACTTGTCATTGTTGACTTCCATCAAAACTAACCCCACTCAATCGTCAAGCAACACAATTTCAACAGTAGAGGGTAGATGGCGGGCGCCGGATAGCGGCAGCTGTTGGAGGCTGTCTTTGAAGACAGGAGCCCTGCAACATGGCGTCCACGACTATCATCGAGGCCCTGATATCTGGGCTACGCACGGAGAAGGCAGAGATACCCTGGCTCGAGGGCAAGGACTACGCATGCGTGTGTCATTACCAGAACAGCAATACGCGTTGTCGGATAATCCATTCAATGAACGAAGAAAGCGCGCCAGTTCATCATTAACATCGATTCCTGATGGCAGCGTCTGCACCTGTCTGGTCCCCTTCCCCTGAATCATGTCCATTGCCACGGCATAAATTGATCAACGGCGATGCACTTGACGAACTCTCGCACTGTACCTGCGAACAGGGTAGTCCCTGCAGTACAAGCAACAGCTCACTCGACCTCTCAAGGCAACTCATCTCATGATACTGCTATCAAAACTTTGAGATATGAAACCCATCTGGACGTATTGTCATGACGAAACATCCTTATCTAGACTTTTTGGCGCAACAAAGCCTGAATGCCGCATGCCAGCCTTGGCCGACACATCCATTCCAGCTTCAATGATGTCAGGGAACCCCACATTTCTCCCATTCCAGATCCAAGTGTGACGAGAATCATAGCAGATCCTTTTATTGCATCCCCAGCCCGGATGTGTTTATCGATTTTCATCATGGATCGGAAGATCATTTCTTTTCATTGTACAACAGCTTGATATTTCGTTATTTTCGTGTACTTTCTGGTGAGAAATTATGCGTGGTGATGCAGAGATGCTGCATTGGTGGATTTATGCCTGGTCTGAGATATGCAGGATCTGGAACAAGTTTAGCGTTCCTGACAGGCCGTCTGTGGCACGTTTGAAGCATGTTCCGGAGATGCGGGATCAAGTGATCGGCCGCGAACTTGGAACGGGGAGCGTTTGGTGGAAGTGCTTGCACCTTGGAACATGGAGCAAGAATGTTCCTCCCGTCCCGGTGACCGACCGCGTAGTGGTCGGGGCCAGGTGAGTTGCAGAGGTCACAAACACTCCGTGCCTCTTGGAGAACGTTGACTTTCTATTCTGACACACGGAGGCCCCCTTCCTTCGGGCTGGACGCGGATTTGGACGATTGCAGCTGAAATGGGGCTCTCTTTCGCTCGTTCATCCCATACATGAAACGGCGATAGCAGGAACGACAGCAGCCTGAAAGGAGGGCAGACAGCACACTCGCCAGCGCAAAGAATGTGCGTCTCGGCTGGGGCCCGACGAGAGCTCGTGATTTGCTGGACATGGCAAGGGATTCGAGAAGCCACCGCCAACGGCCACCAGGGGCTATTCTGGTCACCCTGGTCTCGCATTGGACACTTGCTGGCCCGGCTAGCAATCCTCTTCACAGCCTCGAGGAGAGGGCCCTGAGATTGGCTCATCGGAATGCACGAGCTGGCTGGCTGGAGGGATGATGCACCAGAAAGAGTTCGTCGTGTGAGTAGGGAGGCACAGGATGGCGGGCAGCAAGCAGGTCCAGTTCGAGGTCCAGTTCTAGGTCCAGCTCATCGTCCCACGCACAGTTGGCATGGCACACCCTCTCTATTTTCTTTTATGCACCTGTTTAAATCCTCTTCTCCTCCCGCACCCTCCATTTGGTTTTCCAAAGTTTACTCATGTTTCGGGTACTCAGGTTATCGCGGAACCTTTTCCATCGTTTCGGCTTTCTACATGAAACGTCACGCCTCCTTGCAATCCTCACAAAGAATAGCTCTGCTTCCCTGCTCCTCTATTTCAAGTCATCGTTGCACTACATATATTACTCTCGGTGCTAATTCATCCGTTTTCCCACTGCGATCCTGCAATTACGTCTTCATACTGTTGATTGTAGTACAACCATCCCAAGAGCCACGATAATCCTCAAGCTCCGTCAACTATAGATCCCGGAGTATTTCTCAGTGCGATAATCACATTGCGCGCCGCCGAGATCGTGCCTTTTGGAAGGTTTTGGCGAAAGGAGTCCCTGGCTAGAAAGAAGAAGAGAACAATTTGGAGCCGTTTCAGAGAGATAAAGGCAGGGAGATATGCCGCTACTTACGAAGATGGGTTCTTTGAGGGAAGATGGCCAGGAGCAGCACTCTGTCCTTCTTCAACAACAGATCGGGGAAGTGAGGGAACAGACAGTTCAGGATAGCGGGTACGAATATTTTGAGGAATACGACCAAGAGGAGTGCGATGATTCGGACATGGAGGGCAGTATAATTCATCGTGGGCGGCCCAAAAAGCCTGTCAAGCCTCCGGTTGTGCCTCAACGGAGCGAGAAGAGGGCTTCGAGACTGTTGGAGAACGTCATGCTTGAGCTGCAGAATCTGGATGGGTCGAGACAGAAGGAGGAAGACAAGATATCGCTCGTTCACGAGTCAGATCCTCATGAACTATACCTTTCGAGCGAGGAAGATGCTTCCTTCTCAGACGACAACGACGACTCACCCACCGACTTCGAAGAAGGCACCAGCTCGGAAGACGCAAAAGCAACACGGGCATCCTCGCCGAGAGCCTCAAGCAGGAAATCACAAGAAGACACTGCGAGAGTAGTATCCTTCACCAGCGTTGGCAAACCCCAAATTGTCGAGATCAACGTCCCAAATACCTCTCCCTCCACCGCCAACAAAAGAATTACTCTCAAGCTCGAAACACTTACCTCCTCCCACACGCCCACATCCTCACTACAGAAATCAACACGAAGACCAACACCTCTAAAGCTCCACCCCACCTTGAGAAGAATGTCAATTTCCAGCGTTACTTCCCTCTACTCGCCCCCTCCGTCCAGCACAACAGCAGTCCCCTATGCAGCATCAACAACGAGCCTTTCCCTCATGCCTTCCAACACCAACACCTCCTTAGCACCACGAAAGTCCTCCCGCCTAGCATCGAACCTCACCTCGCTCGTCACGAACACGAAAAACTCCTTCCAATCCGCTTCCCAAAGCGCACACACCTTCCTAAACTCCGATCCCTTCGCTACTCCTACCTCTACCACATCGACATCATACATCCCGCTGTCGAAGAATACCAACAACAACAATGTTGGAGAGGAGAGGGAGGAACAGACGCCCAAAACTCCAACACGGTGGGGTGCGAGCTTCCTGAGCAAGGCACGCAAACCAAGTATGCCAAAGATCTCACTCGCATACACAGCGGGCGTCATCAGACCCCGCGAAAACTCTGAGGCCTCGGCATCAATGCTCAACCTCTCTATTGCTGCTACCGAGTCAGAAAAGGAGAAAGCTACAAGCGAGCCAATCGAGACCGCTGAGTCAGATCGCGAACCTCTCCGTATATCCACCTCCCTTCCTCGAACCTCCTCCTTAGAGAGTAAGAAGGTGGAGGCAGGGGAGAAGGTGAGGTACGAGGATATCATCAAGGGTGCGGGAGAGCTTGTTCGCTCTCCTACGTCGATACCGACGCCGAAGGAGAGACGCACGATCGCTTTCGGCAAGCTAGTGAGAACGAAGAGTTGGAAGGGGAAGGGAGCGAGGCCGCAGATGTCTACTTGACACTTGAACGAAGATTGAGGGACTTTGATCCTTGCACAGTGGGGGTTTTGGATAAATTATTTCCTCTCCTTGTACTTCTTGGATGTCATTTCCGCACGATGTTATTTATTTTGTTTTTGTTGGAATCGCGCGCTAGATACCTTTCGCTTTTGGCGTTATTCATTTGTTCGGAACGGGAAGGGAAGGACGGATGGCGCTTTATGATTGTGAAATGAGCAAATGCATCGAAGCAGAAGCAGGCAAAGATGACGAGACGAGACTGGTCCTGTTTTGTTATTCATGTATATGTGGGATGCAAAGCGTGTAATTAGGAGTGTTCTTGATAGCCTTGTAATAGTGTGATTGTTCTTCGTTGGCTTGTACAACCTCAGTGATGGAGGGCAGTTTCCAGTTTTGCCTCAAGGACGGCAAGGCTTCGAAGCTTCCCGATGTTACTGTACCTCATTGGTTGTGTCACGTGAGGCCTTCCTGCATGTGCGACACCTCCCTGTGCGCAGCAACCTTCCCACAACTTCTTTCATCTCTCAACCAAATGATCCTCTTCTGCATCATAATCTCGAGGCGCTGTGTCTAGTATTTGCTTTTAATTCTAGCATGTTTAACCACATTCTAGAGCTGACGGCCTCGTCCCCGGTTGGCTCAGTTGACGAGGATACTCGGAGCCTCATCGGAACCAGTTCTATCCAAATTCATTCTTGCCGACAGGGCAAGGCTCACCCCTGGTAGTGGCGGCACTGCTGATCGCCCTTTCTTGCTGCATTCTCTGTCTTCTCCTACATATTATAATAAAGCGCAGTTATTAATATCATATCCCAGCTTCATTCATTGTTCAATGCTGCGGGGCTTCGACGCTTATGCAGCAGGCCCGAACCCAGGTCGATCTCAACGACATGGATTATTTGCCTCTCGTGGCGGAGAAGAACGAGATCAGGCTGATCAGACTTCTTCCTCGCCGTGACTGCTCGTGACGGCGAAAGGATACATCGGAATGGCGTCCCGCAAAGCTCAGCAAGGAGCCATTCCCGTTTTGCTGTATGGATGTTCGGTGCCTCGGATTCTGAGACGTCGGAATGACAGGGGATATATGTTGGTTGGAGAACTGTATGTTCAAGGATTATGCAAGGTGAAGCGGAATGTCTTAAGAACGGGGATTGCCAGGCTGAGAACTTTGATATATTGTGACATCAGTTCAGGATATTCCCGAGCATAGAAGGCAATATTCGGGGGACGTGAAACGAAATTTCTAAAGAGTTGGTTAATGATAATAAAGTGAGTGCTGGGGCCTAGAGCCACTTTTCTCTCGAAGCTTGTGGAAACGATTTTTTACAATGACAATAGAGTACTTGCCTCTTCCATCAGACTGGGTCAAGTTACCAGCCGGTTTCTGGATGGTGGACTTTCAATAACCGGCCAAGCATACTTTCCGTCGCCCGAAATTTCCCGTGGGAGGAGGCTTATTGTCAGCTCATCTAAATTTTGGTCCATCGGAAGCCTATCTCGATGCAGATGCCGACTTTTTCATCAACTATAGGCCATTTCACTTTATAGGAGACGGAGGAATTGTCATTGGCGTAAGATACAGTACGGACTTGCTCTTCGTAACCATCTACATCAGCATCGATATTTCGGCACTTCAATCATCGAGGGCCTGTCATCCAAAGGATCAGTCTACGTGAAGCTCTGGGTGTTCGGCATCACAACCCACTCCGGGCCAGACGCGTACCCAATCCATACCGTCGACTCCGCCACCGCCTTCAAAATGCTCCTCGCTGCTTCTAAACCCACAGCAACTAGCTGAGCAAGCATAGTTGGGGATCACAGCATCGTCATAAAACGGCATGATACCCGACTCTGACGCTACGCAAAAGCCGAAGCCATCAGGCGATATCTGGCAAGTTCGAGCTCCATCATTCGCGTTCCGAGTCCCAAGCTTCTTCGCCATGCAAACAGTTACGATCTCAGGACCAACCGACCACGCAACAAAATGTATGGATTCAACTCCCATCTTCTCAACACTGATGCACATCACGGAAGACATGAAGATAACCTCAGATGTCACTAGTACGATCCAGCATCTCGCGGGAGAGCAAGATCCAACCATGTGATTTTACAACCAGTCATCAAACTCGTGCCCAAATCACTTTTGGGAGATTGTGATCTATTTCCAATTTCCTCCCCTCCCCTCCCACCATTATTACTTCTCCGCGAAATCAAAAGCTGATGTAAATTTTGCCCAGATGATCGAAACCTACGAAGGTACTGTAGATCCCACATCAGGAACCAAAAACAACGACTCCACTATCATCTCCGGTCCGGCTCCAACGATACGGAACCCCACCTGATGGATTCACCGTCCTGACCCCTCCTTCCACTCTCGCAGACGACATCATGGCCGCTTTCAGCGCCGTACAAGCCCAAGGTGAGGCCGTGTCCGAGCCCGAGCTTTCCAGAGCTTAAAGATGCGAATAAGGCGTGCTTCCCTGCTGCGCCGACGGCTGATCCAGTAGTGTAGTGGCCAGCCGTTAACAACGCGTGAGAAAATCCTACGATGTAAATGAAAGCTGGACAGGAGGTAAAGCGCTCAGGTTGACGTTGGAGGCTTTTGGTCAGAGGTATATGGCTGCTCCTTTGTTTCAGGTCTAACAAGAAGGAGTTACACATGCAACTCTTACTTGCATACTCACCTTTTCCGTTTCGAAGCTACTCACAATGTACTGTACTGTACTGTACTGTACAGACAGCGATGCAGGTAAATGTACAACAATACGTCTTGCTTAGAGAGAGATGGTTTTTTCATTCCATGTTATCGCAAAATTCAGGCAAAGCCAAGTATCAACCGCAAGAAAAGTAGAATAAGTACGTTGCGAGAACGACTTTCTCCAGCTCGAGAGTCTCCAAATGTGCTGAGGCTTATAGGGTAACTCAAACCCTCATCGTCCCACATTATTTTTATGACTCAAGGATTTCATCTCCTGGGTCATCTTCTTCACCAAGACAATCCGCCCAATCCGTAGATGATTCTTCTTCTGTATCAGCTATGGGGCCAGACTTCCCTGAACCTTCATCCGAATCTTGCTTATACATTCCTCACTGAAACCGAGAGACTCTATCTACTCCTTTGACGGCTCTTCTCGAGACTTTTTGGAAGACTTGTTGGAACACGCTGGGTTTCCTTCCAGCTTATGGGGGTACTTCTTGATTTCTTCTTTCCAATCTACATCTTTCGAGGCCCTGTGGGGACATGGAAGCAGCGAACGGGAGATTTTGTTCGTTGGGATGTCAAAATGCTCGTAGCTGGCGTCCAACCCTTCATATCCATGAATTTCGGCACTCATGGCAGAATAGAGGTTCACTCCTGCTTTAACAATATCGTCGGCCCGGTGTCCTGTAGCGCCTTTCAACAGTGCACAGAACGGACTCTGGTCGTTGATCTTGACATCATCCTGAATATCGCTCCAAAGTGTCTTTCATTTGTTGCCTGCCGCACGGTCGTCGTATTTGCCCTTGTTCGGGATCGCATGAACCAAGTTCTCGATTGTACAACGAATCTGCACGGCAGCGATGATGCGTTTTTGAGCTTCAAGTTTGCGTTTGAGCCGGGCGTTCTCTTCCCAGAGAGGCGACATCTTCTGCGTCTCTTCGGATGCATATCTCTTCAGGCGCTGAATGGTCTCCTGAAGAGTAGGAAAGTCCTCAACTTCGCAACCGATGTCCCGGCACAGCCTATTGACGTTCTTCCGAAATTTCTCGAATTCTTCGATCCATCTGACGGTGTTCGAAGTATTGGTTGTCTCCAGCGCGTCTATCAAACCCACGAATCCCAAGATCTTCATGCCAATTGCATTCACATAGTCTCGGAAAATCTGATTCGGTGTGTCGAAGAGTCGCACTGCTTGCCACGGCATGAACCATTCCCTTAGACTCATAAACGTGAAGGTTCTATCTACGCCCTCGATCATGTGGTAATATCGCTGCCGACGGACGCGATCCTTGGCCCGCAATGCACGGTACTCTGTACTATCTTTCTGGTAAGTAACCTCGCAAATCTCTTTTCCAACTTCTGCTAGAGCATTAGCGTAAGGTATTGGGTTCTCATGGTATTGCTCAAGTGCGTCTTTCAGACAGAACTCCTCGTCATTGCGAAATGTAGCAAGTGTCTCGAAGTGACCTGGCTTTCCTGTCCGATTCTCCTTTTCGCTCGGGAGCAACTCTCCAATATCGTCACCAATATCAATCTATCCGCCATATTAGCCTTGCCTTTGATAAGGATGGCATTTTGGGAAGCGTACTTGATTTGCTTCTGCTGGGAACCAGTACCAGGGGATGGCTGGTATAGAATTCCAAACAATGCTAATGGTCGAGACTATGAAATGAAACAACGCAACCCAAATCAAAGCTTGAAGCGCGTTGCTTTCGGTTTCCGATACATGGAGGGCTGGAGTAAGAAGAGAGACCATCCTCGCTTGTTGGGCTAAAATTATTCTTTGGTAAGACGCTTCTATCGGAAAAGGCCAAGTCTGAAGGGAGCGGAATGCTGGAATCAGAGAAGTACATCCGTCTTTATACTTTGGAGAGTTTGGCTCCGGAAGGCTGGATGTACTGCACACCACAGAACACTCATCGCGACGGCATCTTGCCATGTTGACGAATGATCCAACTATGTTTGTTGCACCTTCACATTGACTGATACCAGGGGGCACAAGGCTGGTGTCAGCCACTCTCAGAATGCTCAGGATAGTGTGGAGAATTCAGACAGCAAACAAAGTCAATTACTCAAGACTAGGAAATTTCATATTCATTTATGACCTTACACAGTATCAGAATGCAAAAGTCGCAACAGCATGAAGCACAATCACTGGAATTGGGCCACTAAACCGATTAGAGGGGAATAATGGAAGCAAAGGGCTCACTAACGCATTTGACTCCCATATCTGTCCTTCAAGGCAAACTGCACGTGACGGCCGTCACTGAGACGAGACTTCACGTTCTGACTTCTCCAACCGTCAGGCAAACAAATTAGAGAATGAATTTGGTCGTGAAATTCACATTGTACCAGACTTCGTATGATACACCCCCATCAACCAAATCCCATGCAGAAGAAGACTGCGTTTATCCTCTCACTTCAACACTTGCAGCAGCAATGATCACCGGGCTTCCCATCTGCGAGTCCCAACAATGCAAAAAACGTTACAAGAAATATCCCATTTTCAAGATCGAAGTATCTCTCAACATCACAGAAACTTTAGGACATCTCGTCGGGCAAGTGTGAGCAAAGGTACCAAGGACTGGCGGTACGATGGCAGTAGGAGGTCTGCAGCTCCGAGTTTTCGGTTCGTGCATCTTCGATGTAAATGGGGCAACAATTCCGTGTCATGATGAATGTACAGGACACTGGTCGAAGATTCTGAATATTTGATGGAGAGTTGCGAAGACTTTGAAGTGTGGCTGGAATAACCACGTGATAATTAACCGCAAGCCACTCGCTTAGGCTAGCACACACATTGAACTTCGCAAATTTGAAAAGTTCGTGACGACGAATCTCCAACGACAACTCGACAACGACATCTACGACAAAGTCATCAATCCCTCGAGATGGCTTCCCGTCCTACTGTCAGCATCCTGTCCGCCGATGGCTCTGCCAGTGGTGCGACTCACCCTCTCCCAAAGGTACGATACGCTCAGAAGACTCCCATTGATGGAGGATGGGGAAGGGATTGGACACTGGGGGGAATTGAACTGATTGGGATTGTATAGGTGTTCCTCTCGCCCATCCGACCCGATATAGTCCAAACCGTCCACACCGGAATGGCCAAGAATAAGCGTCAACCATATGCCGTGAGCGAGAAGGCTGGTCACCAAACTTCTGCTGAGTCCTGGGGTACTGGTTAGTACACACAATTTGCTTCATTTGGGGTGTGGAGGGCGGAGAAATGCGACTATCTGAGGGGGAGAAGAGCGGCGTATTTGTGGTGGAATTATTACAATTTGTGCAGATGAAATGGGACACAGGAATACTATATGGCTAATTTTACATCAACACAGGTCGCGCTGTTGCCCGTATTCCCCGTGTCTCTGGAGGAGGAACCCACCGTGCTGGACAAGCTGCTTTCGGCAACATGTGCAGATCTGGTCGTATGTTCGCACCCACCAAGGTCTGGAGAAAGTGGCACCAAAAGATCAACCTTGGCCAGAAGTGAGTACATCCTACCCCTCCCCAACTCCAACATACTGACCACAGCAGGCGATACGCTACCGTTTCCGCCTTGGCCGCATCCTCCGTCCCAGCTCTCCTGATGGCTCGTGGTCACCAAGTGTCCACCGTCCCCGAAGTCCCCCTCGTCATCAACTCCTCGGTCTTCGAAGGTGCCGCGATTGCAAAGACCTCCGGTGCTCTCGCCCTTCTCAAGTCAGTTGGTGCATCCGCAGACGTCGACAAGGTCAAGAAGTCCCGCAAGCTGCGTGCAGGAAAGGGCAAGCTCCGAGGACGCCGCCACCGCCAACGCCGTGGACCCCTCGTTGTCTACGACCCCGAGGTTGATGGAAAAGAGCTCGCCCGCGCATTCCGCAACATCGCCGGTGTCGAGACCTCCTCCGTCTTCGCCCTGAACCTCTTGCAACTTGCACCAGGTGGACACCTCGGCCGCTTCATCATCTGGACCTCCGCTGCCTTCAAGGCTCTCGACACCATCTACGGTAGCACGACCGTCCCCTCAGGCCTGAAGAAGGACTTCCTCCTCCCCTCGCCCTCCGTCACACAAGCTGATGTCGGCCGCCTGATCAATTCCTCCGAACTGCAAGCCGTGATCCGCGCTGCAATCGGCCAATCGAGAACCAAGCGCGCAGGCGTTCAGAAGAAGAACCCGCTGCAAAACAAGCAAGTTCTTCTCCGACTCAACCCATACGCTGCTGGTTACTCCAAGGAGAAGATTGGCACGAAGGGATTGGATGCCGGCAAGCCGGAGCGAGCTGCTAAGACGCCGTTCGCGAAGGTCTTGAAGGAGGATTAGAGTGGTGCGGCTCTGGTTCTTTTCGGCGCTTTTTCGTTTTGTTAGGAAGGGAAGGGTTGCATGATGGTTGTGCTATGGTGGCGCTTTCGTCTGAATGGCAAGTTAAGCTGGCTGATGTCTACATAGATAATGAAGACACTCGCGGATGACTCTAAAATTCACTTCCCCTCCCTTCTGACGTGACGTGACGCAGAATACGGTATTCTCGAGCTTTTCTTTATTCATTTCCCTGTCCCATGGCTTCTCGCACATTTCGCCCTTTTCTATTGTTTCGCAGGATTTGGTACATTGAAGTTTCTCTACTGATGCGAGACCACCAGCAAAAGTAAGAGACGTTAAATCAGCAGGAGTAAAGATGATCAGGTCAGGGCAGAAGTATACGAGAGGTTTATGTAGAATCAACGCTTCATTCTCAAATAGAAAAAAGCCTCCGCTCATAAATCCGAGGCACTATGCTTATGCAATCCCCACCAGCCACCGAACGCCGCCCCTCATCCCTTCATCATCGCAATCTATGTACCGCCACCACTTGCCCCCAGATATCCACCCTGGTATCCTCTATGACTACAGACAACCATAGGCATTACTGCTGCAGATGATTTCCCCATCTCACTCCGCCCGGCCCGCGATTATCCTGGAACAGCGCCTCTCCAACGAAAGTCCCCGTTCCACGGAAGCCACCTAGGTCTCCAGGTGCCGGACTATTGCCACGACTTCCACCATTTCCACCCGCCATCGCCATTCCGATATTACCCATCTGCATTGCTCTGCCCATCGGTCTAGGATTCGGTGACATGGTGCCACCAGTACCCATTCTAGGACTTCGCGGGACGCTGGTACCCCTCGTGGCACGCCGACCATTCATCACAGCCCTTAGCTCCTCTTGCTTCTTCTCCAGTTCCCGCTCTAAATCAGAATTCTGCTCCTTTAGCTGCTTCACCCGTCGCAAGTACTCTGCAACCTCGCTATTCTTCTGGATCTCGTGGATGCGCACCATGTCCCGCTTGTCCTTCTCTCTCAACTGTGCAAGCTCGACTTGCAAAGCTTGGTTCTCGGATGCGTGTTCAGCGGCTAGGGTCGAGGAGTTTTGGTAGTTGTTGCGCATGTACTCGAGATCGCCTTGCATGTTCGTCAAGCGTTTTTGCAGGCGTTCCTTCTCAGATTTCTCCTTGGCGAGATCTTCTTTCATCTTTCCCATTTCTGCGATCTCGGGGATCGAGGAAGAAGAGAGGGCCATTCGTGCTTCGGTAAGCTCTTTCTCGAGAGTAGCTTTCAGCTCTCGGAGTTTAGTGACTTCAGTATCTTTATTCTCGAGTTCTTTTCGTAGGTGTGTTTGTCGATCCGAGGCGAGGTTCATTTCGTGTTCGAATTCACCACGGTCGTTGAGTGCTTCTTGGTACTTGGGTTGGATAGCCGCAATACTTGATTCGTAGTCTTGACAGCGGGTTTCGAGGTCTTGATTCGACTGTCGTAGCTCGGATTCAGTTGCTTCTCTGCTTCGGAGCTGGATTTCTAGATCAGTGACCTACGATCTGTTAGCAGGCCATTGGGTAAAGGTGAGATGGAAACGAACCTTCTTTAGGAGGGTCGAGACCTGGGCACCCTGCTCGTCATCTAAAGTGTTCGCCTTTTCCATCGTCTCGCTCAATTCTGCAGAAGCTGATGGAGTTTTGCGTGAGGATGTATGAAGGACCGTATCACTGACGTGAGTAGGGTCTGGTTCACCAGGGATTGGAGTAAATCTTTGTCTTTTGGGAGACTCACGGCCAGCATCGTCTTCAATCTCCTTTGAACAATTAGCATTTGCTTGAGATGTTGTGATTCTGATAACTTACCAATTGACGCTTCATGCCAAATTGAGACACTTGCGCCAGAGATGTATCGCTTGATGGCATGTCAGTCGGCTGTTCTTGAGGTTGCTGTGGTTGGGAGCTGTCGATGTCCAGTTTCAAATCCTCAATATCAGGCATTGGAAGCAGAGGCCACGTGCCATCAATGGTGCTATTCACCACATATTCAGCAACAGCCTTCGCAGCAAGTGGAGGATCGAGATATCCGATGCCTAATTTGCCGACGCCATCTGCTATCTGCGTTAAGCAGCTGACTAGCTTGATCTTTCGCTCCACCGGCTCAAGGTTTGGCTGGAAACACTTCTCCAGATGTTCGATCGAATGGGTGACAACAAGAGAGAGAAGTGGTACAAGCTTGTTCGGAAATGTAGGGGTGGCCCGTAAGCCTTTCAGGAACGGCACGGAAGTGTAGGTCGAGTCGAATGCGATCACAACCGACGGAGGATCGAATTCAAGTATCTCCCCTCGGGTGGGGATCAGACTGATCTGCATTGGACCACCAGAAGTATTTCCGGTGTAGCCTGGCCGATCAGCTCGACTATAAACAAAGCCATGCCAGGTGAAGAGTGCCTCGAGAATCTCAAGCATCCGGCCAGGACGGACGAGAATGGCAATTTGTTTGGCCTCCGTTTGCATCAAGGACAGAAACTCGGCCAAGAAGATACATTTCGTGCTGACATTTTCTGCCCATTTGGCTTGCCGTTCAACCACCTCCATCCTCTGTGTCGAAAAATCATCCTCAATCAGATCTTGGTGACTACAAAGTTGGTCTAACTCGTCCATCATAGCGTCAATCTCCCCCACTAAGCTAGAGTCGAACACCTCGTCCGTGAGAAAAGCGTATCTCTGGCTCTTACGGGCCCTGATCGCATTCACATAGACATCTCGGGCATACGAGACCATAGGTAACGGAATCGCATATTCCTCTGGGTCTTGGAGAAGAATGCGCAAACTTGTCACTGGTAATTCTGCTTCAGGCTCGGCCTCGGCCTCAGGGGAAGCTTTTGGGGACACAATTGGCTTAAGAGCGGGCGCAACTTCCTCGATCGTTTGCTGCAAGGGCAGGGCCTGGTTTGCAATTACGGCGACATTTTTTACTGCTCCGGCCGCTGCTGCCGCTGCTGCTGCTGGTTCCGGCGACAAACGAGCTGGCGATTGAAGAGCGGGTGACTGAAGAGCGGGCGAAGGAGGAGCTGGTGATTGAGGAAGAGATCTCGAAGCACTCGTAGCTCGTTCTCGCTCTGCAGCTCTCCTAGCAAGAGCCTCTGCCTTCCTCAATTTCAGCTTCGCCAACACGGGGTTGTCCGGCTTAGTCGGAGTGGAGACAGGTGGATCGTCCATTGTCAAATCAATTGTGACAGACGCTTTGGGAGAACGACAACTTCCGCTAGCTCCAGTTGTTTGTTCGTATTGTCTGGGTGCGAATGTTTGACGGGCGGGTTGCGGAGACTGGGATTGCTTAAAGGTTCTTGTCTCGAAGGTCAAAATTGATTGATGTCGCGTCGAAGGTCTTTCTGGAGAAGACTGCTGCCCAGCTATATCTAAGCTTTGTCCGTGCTGAAGCGGTGACGAAGGTTGATTTTGGGATGTGAACTGCGCAAATTGTTCAGCAGACGAATCTGTCTTCTCGAACGGAGGACTTGGAAGACTGTTGGAAGACTCTTGACTCCGCTTCTCTGGCCCTCTTTGCGACGGAAGACCTTGGGATTTTGAAGGTGAAGGCGAGGCCTGCGTATTTATACTCAGAAAAGGTGGGTCTGCACCAATGCTAGTTGTCTCTGCCGAGCCTTCCTCAATGTCGTCTCGAGGTGTCTGAACAGGCGTTGCTGGCGCCGCGAGTGAAGCTTGACTTGCTATACCAGCGGGTAACGCACCCTCCAAAGTTGAGAGTGGTCTTTCACTGAGCAATGGGGGCTGGTAGGACTCTTCTCGTAATGTTCGTGACTGCTCACTCTCTAAAGATGAGACTAGCTGGTTTGCGGGTCTTTTGATTGGAATGTGACTATTTTGTTAGAAACAAATGTTAAGGAAAAGGACAGACTAGTGAGCTTACCTTTCAACCAAAGGCACCGGAGATGGAGCGATGGAAGACGAACGTATGTAAGATGATAATGGAACAAGATAGGCGTCCTCGACCTGTTCAAGGGGTACCTGGGTTCCAAATTCTATGCTTGAACTTGTCTGAACCTCTGGTTGTGGTGATTGGCTGGGCTGCGAGTGCTGATGAGTTGTGTCCTTTTCTATAGTGCTAGCTTTGTGAAAAGGGAGAAAATTTTGAGAGGTGGGCAGGTTGGGTGGAGAAGATGGTATCTCATCAAGTGATGTTGGTGACTTCAGAAATTCTCCTTCTTTAGATCTCGCCTCGTCAGGCTGAAGAAAAGAATCTGAAGACAAGTGCAAATCTGGTGAAGAAGTTTGCTCTTCTGCTGGACGGGGCGAGAAGTGGTGCAGCGATTCAGTCGTATCTGGAAGTCCGCTGGAACGTTGAACAGCTTGGAATCCCTGCGATGCTGGTGTGACAACTGAGTGCAGCGAAGTGTCTATTGATGTCCCTAAGTCCTGCAAAGGGGATGCTTCCACTTCAAGCTGCACAGGGGAGTTCTCAGGTATTGGAGGCACGTTCAGAGGCTCACTCTCTCGGACTTGATTGTCCCTCAACTCCTGGGCAGAAGCATAAATCTGATTCCGAGCTGAGGATGGTGCTGCGCTTGATGCGGTCTGCACAGAGCTGGACTGCGCTCCTTTGTCTACGTAGCTTGCTTGAGTGAAGAATGGCTCTGCAGATGCACTATCCACTGTCGCAGAAGGGCTAAAGTCTTCACCAGACGTCACTTGAGTGCTTCCAAGCCTAGCGACGAAATCTGTCCCCGTGGGGGCCTCACTATTCTCCGGCGAAGTTGATACAGTCTTGGAGATTGGGGTCTCTGATGGCTTGTAAGAGGACGATCCCGGCTGCTCCTGCGAATCTGGAACCACCCCCTCAATGTCCTCGTCCCAGATGAGGGAGGAGTACTTGTGACGCGGTGCTGGAGTCTGCAGCTGTGATGAAGAAAGGTTTTGCGATTGCAAGGTTTGCGGTAGTTGGGACGTGGACAAAGGTTGAGAAGGTTGGGATGATGTGACCACCCTGGAGTAGGCGTCACGATCAAAACCCTCTTGTGGCCCTGGAATCTCAACCCTCGCGTTCCCAACTCCAGCCAATCTCAACTGCTGCTCTTCCTCGTAACTATCCTTGATCTCATTCGGTCTCTCTTCTTGAGCCACAGATTCTTGGGAAACAGATTGGAATCTCGCCGATTCAATTGTGCCAGCTTTTCTTGGTTTCTTCGCGGGGATTTGTTCTTCTGACGTTGGATTGGGGCCGTGTGTAATCTTGCGGCGTTTTGCTGGACGGGGAGGCTGGCTGTCTTGAATGGAGTCGTCTTCTTCTGTCAGGTCGATGAACTGTCGTTGTTGACTATCCGAAGCACCCTCCGCCCTTGTTCCTCCAACCGGTGACTTCTTGCTCTGCCAAGCTGCGACGACGTCGGGAGTTACGAAGTTATAAGGTTCCTATGCAAGATATATTAGTTGCGCCTTAACGTAGTAAGAGAAGTTATGACCTACCCAAGTTGGATCGAACTTTCGACCGGTCTCTGGATCATCGGCCCAATTGACCAGGTAATAGACCTTTCCTTTCTCTTCCTTCTGATCGAGTATTCCAGGATCTGCCAAAGAATATACCTTCTCGGGGCCTTCGTCTTTTCTGCGGTGGGATTTCTTCTTGGGGGCGCTGTGCCGAGGTGCTGGTGAAGATGATGCTGCGCGAGACTTGCGGTTCCTCGACTTCGGCACGCTGCGTTGTGTACTTAACGACTCTCCTACGCGTTTCCGGCTGTCTGGGTCCATTGATATTTGTGCCTAGAGGATGTCGATGCCATGGTCAGATCAGGGAATAGAAGAGAGCTGGAAGCAAAAGAGAAACAGATAAAGCTGCCCTTGAATAAAGTGACAAACAAAGTTCAGTTTGACCCGATGTCCAAAAGTGATTTATTCTTTCGATTGGCATGACCGCGCCATGCGGACATTGTCCCTGTCGGCCGCCGTAGTGCCGGTAAATGAAATGTGGATCAACTCACCTTGGCTTTCTCCTTCTCCCCTCCCTCTTTGTCCCTGACTGTCCGCGATCGCGCCATCTTGGGCCAACAATGATGTCGGATCCACCACTTGGGATGCAATGGTGATACTGTGCTAGTTGCAAGGATTCATCTATGTCCCCATCTTTGTTGAGAAAGGGTGGAAGCCGTTGATAATTGAAGATATGCGATGAATTTGCCAGAAACTTCTCCGCTGCCACGCCACGTATTGTGCTAAGCGAAAGTGTGACGAGTTCTTTGGTTTCGACTTGGGCCTTCACCGACCTTTAGGATTTCCTTGGAGGGGGCGTTGCAAGTCTGACTCACCTTTGTGGAGCAGTGTCGTGTATGGAGTTGTATTCTTTCTGTACCCCGTGTATGGTAAAGAATCAAGGTGGTGTCGAGATTTTTTGCAAGCGGCGGGGCCTCCGACAAGTGTCTTGGGCGGTCACCGAACTCTTCGAAGTCTTTGGAGGAGGGGTTGCAAGTTTGCCTCACTTCTGTAGAGAAGAACTTTGTAATAAAGTCGTTCTCTGGGAGAGATAGACAACCAGGTCCCGGCGTCTTGGCAATGTATCAAGGTGATATCGGGAGGAGGAGTGGTTGACTCGATCCTTGGGAGTGCTGGCAAGCAGGCTGATGAGCTTGAATGCAAGGCGCACTTATTATTTAATATTTTGGGGATCGAGGGGGAGGGGTTCGGCGCACAAAGCCTTCCTTTTTCTGTCAAGAGTCAGGAGTTGATCAAGCTTGCTGCCTTGCTCCTTGACGGCATGGAACATTAAGGTAGGCGGCGATTTGACAGTCTCGCTTCGAAAAGTCGCCTTCGTCGCTGACTATCTAATTGTATGATGACTCAATATGCTCTAAGTGTTCCACTCTGAAATGGTCCCCCCTCTCGGATCAACATCTAAGTTGATTAGTCCAAATCTCACTGGAATAGCTTCAGGTCAAGGTGAAAGTGGATAAATAGTTGGCATAATAATGACATGTTCTACCGCTTTCCATTTGGATTCTGGGATAGGTCAATACACCCACCATCCCATCATTACCACAAAGTCCTCCCGGTTTTCATCTCTTTCAACATACCAGCATCCGCATGCGCTTTGGCAAGATTGATCAACATCAGATCACATCCCCGATGAGACAAGACATCAATACTAACGGGTCTACCCATCCTTAAACACCGATTTGTAGCTGAGACGAGATAGTGTGGAGTCGCAAATCGCCGTTCTCAACCCAAGGAATAGCTACTCCACGTTCACATTGATCTGAGTCGAGAAAATGCAGCATATCCAGTATATCTGTCGTTAAACCGTCTAGGCCACTGATAGCAAGAGCCGACTTTCGCTGGTGGAAGAGTTGTCGCAGTTCGGGGTGAATTGCCATTGAGGCGTAGAAAGCCTCTGGATGTACCGCTGAGGAGAATATCGACGACCGGGACCTGAAGGCGAAGGCCGAGATAGATGCAAAGCTGGGACCAGATATGTTTGTGAGTCGTTGAGTAGCCTCAACTAAGAAGGCTCAGTTTTTGGTAGCGAGACTTTTCTGAGAGGTCCCAACACATCAACCGATTCTACCGAATCCTGAATTGTCAATGCAGCGGACAATATCAGGGTTGGTGAAGATGTTGTTGTCTGTAAATACTTGGGGGCCATCTTCGATGATGTCGAGAATATTGGTGGTGGACGCCATAGCTCAAAGCCACTTCTGACCCTCAATCAACCCTCTTTCCGTCCATGATCCTACTCCCAATACTACGCACGCCCACCGCACTCTCTCGATCAAATGGCAGTGATGAAATGGATAGCTGGATGATGTTGGCGATAGCAAAGGGGGGCGTTGGTATTCCCGAAGAAGATAAACACGCGCACGGCTGAATCAAGGGGCAGGCGCGTCGCCTAAACGAGGTACACAGCTTGAGCATTCGTCAAAATTACGAAAGGGGGTCTCAGGAAGTCAAGCCCTTGCAAGGCGGTAAGACGCTCAGGCCAACCAAAAACATAGGATATTGGCCATTGCCCCATAATTTCCCTCGAACGGCGATGGCAAACTAGGGGGTGGTTCTTGACTTCTTGAGACCCCCTTTCGTACAAAGGCCACTCGAAGGCGAGTCACTACTTTGACTTTATAGCATTGCAGCACCAAAAAAAAAAAAACGAAATATCGGAGGAATAGCATACAATAATGCTGAAAAGCCGGAGAACCTTTTCCATTTTTTCATCGAGAAAAAGAAAGAAAAGTCATTGCTTTAAAACTTCGTTTTTAGAGAGCCAGAAGCTAAGCCCTACTATCCCTTAAGCCGTCCCCTACTATCAATTAGCGCAAATACCCTTGTATTTTCCCTAGAATCAATCAGGTTTTTGCATATGCTCGGCCTTAAGATATAATAAATACTTGTGTTACTAAAGGAACACTACTCCTCGCTTCTTCTTCTCCGTCCTCAACCTAACGGCCCGTCAGGCATGCTCCTAGCATATACTCGACTTTTACTACTAAGAAGCACATAAATAAGTTAGACATACCTTGCTATTACTGTCACTGTCGTTATCGCCTCTAGCATGTGCGGAGCATATGCTAACCCTATACACCCTAATATATTCCAATGCGGGGTGTCACAGTGTGTATCACGTGCGCGGTTAGTCACGTGATGCGCACTGTGCTCTCATATAGTAGAATAGCTAATAAGGCTTCCAACCTTATTATTGTACCTTTTGGTCTGTTCACCCATGCGGTAAAGCTATTTCCCTGCATGCGCGTCCATTAGTCTAAGCGACTCGTGACACGGGGGCTCTAGCCGCTTCCTAACCCGGAACTCCTCGGGACAAACCCTAACCTTCCTAGCCCGCGCAAATATACCTTAGAGTGCCCTGAAACGAAGTGAAAGGGAAAACTATCCAACGCCTTGGTGGACGGATTGCGCTGTGCACAGCAAGCATTTGCCAAGCCTTCCCAAAATGGTTTAGTTTTTGGGCACGTACTCGATTTCCCGCTTAAATGCACGCCCCACCCAAATGCACGCCTCCCAAAAAAATCACCCCCTCTCTTTAAACACCCACAAAATGGTTAACGAAGAAGATATGCGGAAGGCTCTGGCCGAAATCGAAAGCTCTGAAGCTCTTGATTACGCTGCAATAGCCAGAAAGTATGGATTAACGCAATCTATACTCTCTCGGTACGCCAGAGGGCTAATTACCTCGCGAGCGGAATTCCAGTCCCAGCTCCGCTAATACCTTACTAATGCCCAAGAACGTATTCTAATTAATTAAATTAATTATCTTACCGAGTATAGGATTCCTCTAACCAGTCAAATAGTTAAGAACTTTGTAGAGGAAATAATTAGATATACTATAGAGAAGAACTAGGTCTCTTAATTTTGCCAATAGTACTAAAGCAAGCTAAAAAGCTTATATTTATATAATATTGAGAATTAATATATTAAGGGCAAATATAGCCTTACTTATAAACTATTCTTTAATTTAGTTAAGTACTCTTTTATATTTCTTTCTTATATTTTACGAGAATTACTTACTAATATATATTTTATTTTAATTATTTTAGGTAATTAAATATAATAATATTACTACTAATATAATAGGAATATAAAATACGGAGTAATATAGATAGTAGAATAGGCTTCTATAGCGTGGGATTATAGTATACGAGTGAGACGTGGAATTAGAGAGTAAAGGTTAGTTAATTTCTAAACTAAGAAGAAAAGAGGAGTAATATATAAGCGGGTTGCGGACTATATAAATATCCGGAGGTTATATAATAGAACTATATAACCAGGAAATAAAATCCCTACTATACTAATAATATATATAATTAGAATAAAAAGGGCTTCTTAATTAGGGTAATATGGGTAATAAAGAGAATTATATCTAAGAAAGTATATAAATTAGAAAGAGTTATATAAGCTATTTATAACGGAAATCGAGAGTTTATTACTTATTTAGTATATATTTCTATAATTAGTAAAAGGGTTCCTATAACTTTATTATATACTAGCAGATTATTTAACTTATAAAATACCTAAATATAAGATTTATAAAAGTAAGATAACTTCTTTTTTAATATATTAAGTAATAAATAGAATAGTAATATATAGGGATTTTAATAGCTTACTAAAGTCTTTAAACTAGCTATATAACCCTTTTCTCCTTATATAAAGCGTCTTTTAATTATTAATAGCTATTTAAGTTATATTAATATGGTATTTATTAATAAATACTAGAACCTTTATATTATTCTTCTCGTTTTATTTCCTTATTTAATATATTAACTTTAATTTCTTAATATAGTTCTTTTTAGCCTTTTATTACTTATATACTCGAAAGAACTAAATAAATAATAAGTCTAGAGCCTTGGCTAATATATTAAAAAAATAATTAAGGTAATTAATTATATTTAATTAAATTAAGTAAATAATTAATTATAATTTAATTATTAACTTTTAAAAAAAAATTAATTATTAGAAAAATTATAATTAAATATAGTTAATTATTTCTAATTATTACGTGAAATCTATATAAAAGTTATATAAGTAATAAATTCTCTTTTTTTTCTTTAAATAATATATAACTAAAGTATAAAAAAAGTAAAGATTAATTAATTTCTAAAGAAAAGAAAAGAAAAGTAAGATAATATATATGTGAATTATTTACTCTAGATATTATATAACCATACTCCTATAACTAGAGAAGTTAAAGCCCTTATTATAGTACTTATTTATAAAGATAAGTAAAGTAAGTAAAGATAAAATACTAGCTATTAAGCCTATAATAATAAAGTAATATCTAAATTAGGGCAAAATACGCTTTACTTTTATACTATAATACTTATATTATTATTATAATTATATATAATAATATATAATCTAGTAATTAATTATATTTAATTAAATTAAGTAAATAATTAATTATAATTTAATTACTATAATTCTGACTTAATTTAATTTAATTACTAGCTAATAATTATAATTAATTAAATTATTTAATATACTAGCCTTAGCTATATATTAATAAAAAAGAAATAATTCCTAAAGCTATTTCGTCTTACTTAGAATACTTCTTTTATAATAGAAAATATTTAGAAGGCATTTATAAAGCCTAGTATTTAGTTATATAATCCTGTACTTATTCTTAAGATTATTACTTATCTAATTATTTCTCTAGTAGCTATTTAACCTATTCTTTTATTAATTTAATAATTAAAGACTCTATAATCTGCGAAATTAATTTAATACTTCTAAGCTAATTTTCGCAAAAATCCGTCCTAAGCAAAACTTGAAAAGCATTTTAAAGCTAATAAAGAGCTTATTATATAAGCTATATTTAATAGATATATAAAGGAAGAGTTAATTAAGGTATTAAAGAATAAAAAAAAGAGCAAGTCTTATAGGAAGCGGCTAAATATCTTGGGAGAGGAGTATATAAAGCTTATATTTTTCTTAGTAAAGAACATTTAATAAGTATAGGAGCTTTTTACTAAAAAAGAAGCTTTTATAAAGTTAGAACGAGAACGAATTAATACTAAAAAGGCTACTCAAGTTCTTAAAAAGTAAAAAGAGAATACTAAGAAGGCAGCGAACGCTTTGCAGGCGGCTATAAGGGCGGGGAATATTAATAAAGTGAGAATTAAGGAGAAGGCTTAATTACAAGCTTAAAAAAAGAAGAAAGCAGGGGAAAAGAAGGTTTCAAAGGCTCTTCTAGTAAGAACTAAGACTCCTGCGAAACCTAGAAAGGCACTAGTTATTAAAAAGAAGGTTGTTTCCTTTATTAGTAGTAATATTAATAAGGGGGGGCCAGAAATACCGGTAAAACAGAGCTCCCGGGGGCATGTGATAAAACCACGTATAATTTTTGAGAAGGGATCTAATTAATTTGGGATATTATTTATTAGCTATTAGTCTATCTCTATTTTTGATTTCAAGCTAATTGGTCTTGTGGTTAATTAATAATTTAATTTAGAAGTAGGAGAGAGTGAGGAAAAAATTTGGTGTGGTGTGCGTGCATTTAAGCGGGATATCGAGTACCCACGTGATCCCCTGGAAATGGAACGGCATTGTGCTTAGCCATGCAGCGCCCGACACGTGACAGGCGCTAAGCGGCCCAACCTGCGGTCCAACACATCCCAGACAAGCGCAAATTCCTTTCCTCGCATCCCACTTCAAAGGCCTCGTACCTCTTGTCAAATGACTAACACCTCCGGCCCCCAGAGGTCGCACCGGATTAAATATGGACCCAATGACAGCGGTCAGCCTCGCCTCGGCAATTGTTCAGTTTATTGACTACAGCACTAAGCTTGTCGATGCCGCCAGTGACATCCATCGTTCCGCCTCGGGGACGAGCTTAGAGAACCAGAACATAGAGTTCGTTGTGTCTGAAGTGAAAGCTCTCTCCTTGAGACTGGACCCCCCAAGAACTGGACAGCCGACCGATGACGAGCAGGCTCTGTGTCGTCTCGCGGCAGAATGCCGGATCTTATCGGGCCAGATCCTCGATCTTTTGGAGAAGATCAAACCGAAAATTCCTAAGTCGAAACGTCAAAGTGTCTGGTCAGCCATTAAAACCATGTGGAACGACAGGGAGATGAAAGAGCTAGGGCAGCGGCTGCAGAACTGCCGTAGCCAGCTCGAGTTGCAGCTCAACTTTCTCATGAGGTTTTCAGCTCCCCCAATCTCGACATTTATGAAGTCTAATGGAATGATAGATCCGACACGAAAGCAAGACTAGAAGCTCTGGCACAAGGCGCAGAAGGAGACGTCGCTAGACTTGAAATACTTCAGAAACACGTTAGCGAACTTCGTCAAGGAGTCACCGTGACTTCTATGAGCCCCGAGTTCCAAAACCTACTACGGGATCTCTTGGGAATAGCTTCTGAGGCGACCAAACGGGAACAAATCCTCACAGCCTTAGCATTCAGCGACATGCATGGGAGGTTTGAAGACGTCGAGCTTGCTCACTTTGAGACCTTTAAGTGGATTTTCGACGAAGCTTACGACGACCATGTGGATGGTGACGCGAGGCCAGTCGGCAAGCTCAATGATAAGGCCAGATTCAGAGACATTGAACATGACTATTCGATTAGAGAGCCATTCCTGCATTGGCTATCAGCCGGAAACGGTATCTTTCACATCTCTGGGAAACTGGGGTCTGGAAAGTCAACCCTGATGAAGTTTCTTTGTGATCATAGACGCGTTACGGCCGAGCTACAGAAGTGGGCAGGTACGTATTCCGTCCTCGATTGATTTGTTCTTGTTAGTCTGTATCACATTTCTACCACGTGGCCTAGCGTTCTGATATTAGGTTCTAGGCCAAAGGAAGCTGGTTTTTGCCAAATTCTTCTTCTGGAAGCCTGGATCTGAACTTCAAAGGTCCGTCAGCGGTCTTTTCCGATGTCTCCTTCACGATGCGCTCCGCAATTGTCCCGAACTCATTCCCAGAGTCTTGCCGGACCAGTGGAACAAGGTGTCGACGTCATTCACACAGATGGGGGTTGACCTTCATCTTCGAAACAGCGAGATTCGCGAAGCGTTCCGTCGACTTATCGAATACCGTAACCTATATGAGAAGCATTGTTTCTGCTTCTTTATTGATGGGCTCGATGAATACGAAGAGACTCGTCAAGAAGATTACAAAGCTATGGTTGACCTGCTTTGTGGATGGACTGAGGCCGCACCGAACGACGTGAAGATATGCGCCTCAAGCAGGGAATATAATGTGTTCCTGAACTCTTTGTCAGCCGACAGGAGACTCCGCCTTCAAGATCTCACAGGGGGGGATATGAAGCGGTACATTCGAAATAAGTTAGGGCGCCTTGACGACAAAGTTGCTTCCGACTTAGTCGACACCATTCTTACCAAGGCTAGTGGGATCTTCCTATGGGTTGTCCTAGTGGTAAAATCACTTCGCGAGCGTCTGGAAGAGACCCGGGATCTTTCCATCCTCAAGAGAGAGATTGACACACTACCCGACGAACTGGAAGATCTTTTCCGGTATCTCCTCAACACAGTGAGCAAATCTGCACGCACTACAGCCTACAAAACATTTGCGATGCTTGAAGCACTCGATTCTAGCTCAAGGAACTCCCCAGATCTATCCTTATTCGCATATTCTTTTCTTGGAGACTATGCTAAAGACCCCGAGTTCGCTCTTCAAACACCATTCCCGTACGCCAGCATGAGCCCCGATGCCAAAAAAAGCCGCATAGGCCAAGCACGAAAGACTCTCACTGGCAGCACGAAAGGCCTTGTCGAGGCAATCAATGGCTCGGTCAAACATATTCACCGATCTATTCCGGAATTTCTCGAGAGCAGAGAGGTCCGGGATGAAATGGCCTGCCACCTTCAAAACTTCGAGGCTGTAGATGCCGTCTCCCGGTTACTGATTGCGGAGCTACGAGCGGAGGCCTATACGTCCGGCACACTCAATCGGTGCCACTGCAGCTGGGTGGTGTCACGCATAATCATAATGCGGACGAAGTTCAGAGTTGATTGTGCGCCATATTCCTTCTTGGAGTCGCTGGGGTCTGTGCTAATTGAGCATGGGGGTCCTGATGTGACTCCTAACCCTGTCAAGGGCATCACCATAGAGGGCGAGATTCCGACCGTTAGCGGCGGTGCAAGCTATTTCCCTTCCTTTACCATTCGATATCGCGAGCCAGACCCACATGTGACTCGTTCCTTTTATGTTATCTCTCCATTTCATATCTCAGCGGTAGTTGGGCTGGAAGAATATGTCGCTTGGAAAATTCTCCACGACCAAAGTATTCTGAATACAGATTTCGAAACGGCGGTCTTAGTTTCCATCGTGGAAAGCCGCCTTGTGACTAACTGTCCCGGAACGTCTACGCAAATTCTTGAATCGCTTCTCGAGCGAGGGTTGTCTCCCCAGACAGTCATACATACTTCTATCACAGAACCCGACATGTGGACAGACAACGATCGGACGTTCTGGGAGGACTTTGTGCTTTTGGTCGCCCTATACTTAGAAGACAATGGGAGTTTGGAAGGCAAGGAATTGGTTGGCAAGGCTTTTGAAAAATTTCTCGAATATGGTGCAGATCCATCATTGTGGTTATCTGCCAGCCCACACCGCCAGAGGGATCTTGAAATGAGGGTGAGGAGAAATGGTAAAACGGTACTCGCATACCGCCGCTGGATGGTTGTTCCTGTACACCCTCTCTTTACCAAAGTGGGCGGCATCTCATTTCGAGAATTCGTGGAATATTTGGATTTTGATAATAAGGAATCTCTCCTTGGACTAATTGATAGGAATATGAAGCAGCAAGGGCGAACAGAAGAGGGGACGACACAGGAGGAGCATAGCTGGGAACGTAACGCGGAGCCGGCTTTTACGAGGGGATCATCATCGGAGCTAACGGAAACCCGTTCATGGCGACTTAACACCTGGTTCATGTCGATCAATACCAGCCATATTATGACGTTCGGACTTGGTGGGTCAAAATCTCCGACACTACCAATTTGCACACACGTACTGACTGGGATTTAACTGCAGGCTTGTTTGTGGCAGCCATCGTGCCCCACCTCTGGGGTTCGATCGTCAAATACAGGTTAAATCGCCGTTACTAAGAATTTGGAAGCTGGAAGATGCGCCATCTCGGGACGAAGTAACCTATGAACATTGTGTGGGCGATAACGGGGCTTATTAGAACTAATCTCACCACACGAGAGCTAGGCAAGATGGCAACAAGCGCCATGACGACCTTCTCGTAAGGATCACGTATAGAGACTATCTTGATGCTATTAATGCCCTGAAACGAAGTGAAAGGGAAAACTTACCCCGCCGGCCTGAGCCCTGGTGTGCCGCTTGGTAGGCCGATTGCCGTGTGCACTAGCAAGACGCTGCCAAGCGCCGCCCCAGAGCGGTTTAGCGTCGGCCACGTACTCACATAATTCTTCTTAACGCTATTCCCAGATTAACTTAGCTAAGGTATACAGTACCTCCGCAGAAGTGCGGGGAAACGGGCTGAATCAGGGATTTTAACGTTTCCCACTGTTTACTCTCTCTTAGTCTGTGGTTGGTCGATCACTGAACAATGCGGGGGTCAATCTTGCATTTTCAAACTCAATCATAGTTGCTTGTTTCATTTTCCTTTTTGCGCCTCCTACTTATATGCTGACCGCATCAAACAACAATCACGGGTTTTTCTACCAAGTCAATCATTCATTTCATTCAACAGTAACGTGCTTGTAATACCCTACCCCTATGTAAACGGAGAAGTTTCAGGGCGTCAGCGTGCGCAGCGTGCGTTACGAGTATAGTAGGGGGCAGCTTCAGAAGCGAGAATAAGCGAGGACATGTGAGCATGTGCTGAACTCTCCCCCCCCCCCCCCTAATTAAACGTAACAGTGGGTCCTCTTAACAGGGGTGTTTGGTGTGGTAGAATGTTATCGTGCTCGTTCAAGTCAGAAATAGAGGCGGTATTGAAACGTTTTGAAGTATTCTGGGCGGCTTCGGCGAAAAAAACCGAAATCATCCTGGATGTGATAGAGGAGACGTGCAACTAATCCGATATGTTTTGCCAACATTATTGATTATATCATAATTTCGAGAGCCAATAAGAAACGTTAGCTTGAGGAACATTCTCACGGACCAGCATTTAAGCCTCCAGTCTTTATATCGCAGTTGAAGAATAACGATCTCGTTCCGGTTCGGAAAGGAGGAGGTTTCCCTCAAGCTTTAGATATCCTGGGATTTGAAGTCACCTGGAAAGAATACGAACACGGAGGACACTGGATCAATGAACCAGGGGGGGTGGATGACATTATAGCATTTCTCAATAACCAAATCTGAACGCCGGACCATTCCTAGAAGGTTCCCACTCAAGCACCAAACTTCTTCTCCAACTCCAAAATCTTCCTCGCCGCATCACCAAACGTCTCCTCGGCACTCCTCAACTTCAACCCCAATTTCTCATTCCACTCCTCCACATCTCCGAACACAACCTTTCTCGGTACTTCGACACTATCCTTCAGTAACCTCCCCTTCAATTCCGGAACCGTCTTCAGAGCATCGGCCGCCAGCTGAGAATAAAATATCTTGCCTCCTACTAAGAAACGTTTATTCGCTGCTTCTGGTACTGTCAAGGCTCTGATATGAGCTGTGGCGAGATCGCGGACGTCGATCTATGTCTCCATCAGTCATTGTTCTACCCTTACCATTCCGTACAACCGCATCTCAACGCGATTCCGATTCAATCAGAAAGGACGAAAAGTTAGCACTTACATAACTCGGAAAGCTCGTCGGAGGCACCACCTCGAGACCACCACTGAACAAGTCATAAAACCGATCCGTCGAATAGTTAATCTTCTTCAAATCTTTGACAGGCTGTATAGCAGGGCCAAAAATGAGCGCTGGCAACAAAACAGAAACACTGAAGTCAGGTTTCTCTTCTTCGACGAACTTCCAGATAGCCTTTTCAGTTTCAGCCTTGGAGACGCAGTAGGAGATGTATGGGTGGTTGGCGGCGATTGCGTCTGAGATGGAGAGCTGTGTTTGTTAGTTTGGAGAAAGTGAGAGGAGTTCGAGAAGGGAGGGGAGCGGAGGAGACGGACAGGAAGCCATTCAGAACTGGTCAGGACCCGGGTATCGCTTGGATCTCCCGTTGTAATGGAGTTGACGGATCCAGTGACAGCAATAGCCTTAATACTCTTGCCATACTCCTTCGCACTTTTCAGTAGCTCTAGAGCCCTATCTTCTTGTCAATTCATCCCCTTTTCCGAAAATTGAAGGTAAAAACTTACCCATCAACACTGGGAGCCAAAAAGTCCCTCTCAAAATCGCTCAACCTTGGATCATCCAACAACGGCGCCGCAACATGAATCACGTAATCAAACTCCCCTTCCTTCATAATATCCTCCCAGACGCCTTTCTTTGCATAATCAGAGACGGTCACGAACGAGATCTTGCCAGCGTATTCAGGGTGCGTGGCTAGGATCTCGTCGCCCTTTGGGGAGGAGCGGACGGAACCGACGACGAAGTGGCCGAGGGCGATAAGCTGGTCGATGATTTGGGCAGCGACGAAGGAGTTCGCGCCGGTGATGAGCGTTTTGGGCATTTTTGTGACGGGAAGAGTTTACGGACGATGAAGTAAGCGTTGGGAGGTGATTGCTGTGAAAGTAATATTCAAGGTGAAGTTGAAAGGTGAAATGCAATTGAACTTTCAGACTGAGGTACATTGAAATGGAAGCTGGACTTGCCATGGCTTCTCGAGCTCTACTTATACTTGTTTGATGCGGCACCGGCACTTGCCTCTGTTGTCTCAAAAAGGCCACCGGCAAGATAAACTGGCTTGACTTGAGGCTGCAAGAATAGAAAAAGCATTGTCAGCAAGAACAGCAACGAATGCTCCACAATTCACATGCAGGGGGAATATGAGTGTGAAATGTATTATGGATTATCACCAATGCTGACTAGAATTGTGAAGCTTGTCCATCAACCGAAATCTTGGCGGGCTGACAAATTCCCGGCTGCAGCACCCCCGAGAATCTCAACCACTCATTCCGTCTCTCTGCATGCAAAAACCGACAGGGACCTCTTACTCGATTCAGCATGGCATCGGAATCCCCAATGAAGCCGAAAACAAATCCATCCGTAGTTCGCCAATATTTCAAACAGTTTTGCTCCAACGCCAAGCATGTGCGCCACACAATGCAAGATGACTCCTCCAATATCAGAAAAATGCTCACTCAAGACGCCTTCGCAATGCTTTTCCCAACGCCGGTGCCCGCTTTATCCCCATTGGCTCGGCTGATTTTTGACATTGCTGTTGTGTCCAAAGTTGCATACCAGGCTCTGAGTGCATTGACGTGATTCTTCTCCCCGTCACCAAACTCTACAGGTGGCCCACGGACCTCAGGCTCGCCTTCGTCCTTGAAAACAACCCAGCTACTGCCTTCATCTTGAACAGAACGCAAACCAAAGCCTCTACTCTTCACTGACATAACCTGGAAATTCCTGAGGAGAATACCGTCGCCAGCCTGGATGGTTGGGAGGGCATCCTTGTAAGGACGAAATATTTGGATCTCTGTGACACCACTAGGGGCGACTGATGGGTCCGTAACATTAAAGGTGATTTGATAATGCCGTGGCCCATTCTTCGCTCGTAGGGGTTCAGCTGGTGTGGCTGTAGCTACAGCTAGAACATCCAACTTTTGGTTGAGATGGTATCGGAGTACCTTCAAGGCAGTGAACTCGCTCAGCTCGGTCCGAAGAGCTCGAGAAAGACGCAGCTTGAGATCTACAACCGGAGGCTTTCGGAGATCATGTTGTTGCTTTGAGGGCGACTCAAGAGATGCCAAAGCCAGTTCAATACTGGCATCGTGTCCCTTTGGTGGTGCTCGGGTATCTAACACGACTCTTGGAGACGCTGGCTCTTTCCTCGTACGAGCTGACCCAGGATCGACCTTTGTCGGAGTGGTGGGACGGACATTTTCCTTTGTGCTCGCAACGATTGCAGTAGGTTTGGCTCTCCGATTACTGCGTCTCGGACTATCGATGGTAAACTCGGGCTCTTTGTAGGCGGAGTCCACGCCTTCACTTTTCTTGGGAGGACTCGATTCAACCGTCATAGAGTCTTCGGTAGTTTTGTGGTCAGGTTCCTCAACAGCAATTGCATCTTCGGTGGGCTCAATCTCGATTGGCTTTGGATCATTGGCCTTCAATTCGATCGCATCTTCCAAAATTTGTTCGTCGATTCGTTCTTGAACATCCTCAGGTTCAAGTGATTCGGGCTCTGCAACTTCTAAGCTGTGCTCTTCCTCCGCAAATTGTTCGTCGATCTGTTCATGAGCGTCCGCGGATTCGATCGATTCTGGCTCTTCAGCATGTAGACCAAGCTTTTCTTCCGTTATTTGTTCGTCGATCTGTTCCTGAACGGTCTCGGGTTCAATTGATTCGGGCCCTGGATTATCCAGAGTGTGCTCCTGTTCAACCACGGTCTCCTCAGCCACTTGGTCCTCAGGAGGCTCATTCTCGGTAGATTCAGGCTGTTCGATAGTCTTCATGGCTTCTGCTTGACCAATCTCGATGTCTTCGTCTACAAGCTTGATCTTCGCTGCTTCATTTGTGACAGCTATAGTCTCGATTTGTTCCATCTCAACTTCAAAATCTACCGGCCCAGACGTATCGACGACGACTTCGACCTGCTCAGTCTCCATCTTGATAGTAGTTGTATCTGATTCTTGCGGCTGCTCGATTGACACCGGTAGGGCCTCGATGTTGGACGTGAAAGAGGTTGATGTGGAAATGGACTGTCCAAACGACTGTGTGGCATCGGGAGTTGGCAGCTGTGTATTCGTTGTCTTCTGGAAGAGGATGTCGGAGGGCTGGGAGGCTGTCTGGTGGTCGGACGCAGGTGGAGAGGGCTCATCCCTCAGCAGTGTAGGGTACGAAACCTCCTCTTCCAGCTCATCATTGGCGCCGTCGAGATTAAACATGCGCTGAAATACACTTGATTTGCTTGGTGATGTTTGCGATCGTCCGAATTGACCCGGAATGGCCGTCTTGACACGATTCTCAACCTCTGCGATGATTACATCCACAACTTTGTCTGGTTCGACGGGTTGCTCTTCGTCTTGGGCGCTCTCAACACTGGCCAAGTCTTTATCCACTCTGTGGGCGACTCCTAGGTGTTGATGGTCAACACGTTCTACCATGGATTCGCGGGCCGGGTCTCGTTCATGATGTGCGGCAACCTCAGACTCGTTTTCACTTTTTCCGACAGACTGATCCGAATCATCCTGCTCTCTCTCATCCTCCATGATCTCATCGTCCTCTTCAATGGACTCTTCTGGGGAAAGATTTCGATTGGTCTTATGAACCCTAAGCTCTTCGCGTTCTGCATACGATACAGACTCCTCGTCGTCTGAATCTTCCTCGACTTCGGTTGACTCGCTTTCGTGTGAAGGAGCCTGGGGATAGCGTGGGGTCGCCGAACTTGTTGGCCTCACTTGTGGTGGGGGGGCACTGTCTTCATCGTCAGAGGAGAGAAGGTCGATAATTTCAGGCTCTCGTTGTCCAGTAGGCCGGGGAGGTCCTTCACCCTCCATGTCTTCATCTTCAGACTCATACTCTTCTTCCTCTTCATCATAGAATTCTTGCCCCGGTGGTACATTGAATCGTTGGTCGATCGTATCAGCACCTTCATCCTCCAACCCATCATCGTAGTATTGCTCTTCTCTCTCGCTTCCTTCAACCTCGAAATCTTCTTCATGCTCGAGAGCATCTCGCTGTGGAAAATGTCGACTTCGCACCACATCCGCCACTTGTTCCTCTTGCTCATCCAACGAACCATCTTCATCCCTCAGAATCTCTTCCTCTTCGTCCTCCAACTGCGAATCATCTTCTTCAAGTGCACCCTCTACTGGGCCCTCTCCTTCCTCGTCGCTACTCTCTGTGAGGTCCACAACCTGGGATTGTCCACTCTGAGATCGCGACATTGCAGTGGATCGAGGCTGAGGAGGGTGCATAGCAGTATTGTCTTCTAGTCCGTGGTCTTGCAGATCTGGATAAGGAACATCAGGAGCTCTAGGTCCCCATCCCGAAAGATGCTGATCGGGAAGCCCGTCATCAATTTCTGGGTACTGGTGAGAATGGAGCATCTCGGCATGCGAAGCTGGGAAGCCATTGTGGCTATACTGCTCAACTTCTTCACCTCCTTCTTCGACATAGAACCGGTCTTCTTGCGCGTCCTCACTGGCTGCTTCTGTGGCCCGATAGGGAGAGGCATGGTGGCTCAAGTGGGTGGAACTCTGCCAATGGCCATACTGATCTTCAGCATTGTAGTGATTTTCGAAAACAGGCGGCTCGACGACACTAATGTCCGCGAGGGGGCCATGGAAGGCTGGCACGTCGACCTCAACTTGCTCTCCCCGTCTTCCAGTAGGACTGGCTCTATAGAGGGCTTCTGCATCTGTGACTGCCGTTTGAGAATTGATCTGCGCTACTTGAGATTGTAAGGGCAAACTTTGGGTGTTCTCAACACCTGCTGTTGACTGAATGTTTACAGTGAAGAGGGTATTCCGTGACAGCAGAGGGGAGACTTGAGGCAAAAACTCTGAAGATACTGGTTGGAGATGGGGGGATTGGGGAGCAATTTGGTTAGTGTTTAATCGCTCCAAATCATCAATGTGCTGAACCTGGAAGGTAGGTGGTTGTCCCGTCGGCAAGGCATTCTCAAAGCTAGCCTCTGGTCGCGGTACGGCATTCGATGCTGCTGTTCCATTAAGAAATGGGTAAGAATCTCGTCCAACATTGATCGACTGTCTTGCAAAACTGGCCAGCGCTTCTGCCGCACCACCATCTTCCAAACCAATAGTCTGGCAGCCCTCATCTATCATAGCAGGTAATGATTTGCCCACAAGTTCAGGAGGCGTAACAACAGGTTCAACTACCTCCTCTTCCGCCTCCGGAGTTGGTGAACGACTGCTGTATCTCCATGTAGAGCTTAATCTTGTTCGCTTTCGGCCCTTGCCAGGAATTGTGCCGTCCTCCTCCGCAAATGGATCAAAATCCGAGTCAAAAAGGGATCCATAGGAGGTCCTCGCACGTTTGATAAATGCAGGAGAATCGTATAGGTCTTTAATTTTCGTCGCAGAATCTGGTGGGCCGGACGAAGTTTCCGTGCTGGCTGCTGAAGGTGAAATCGCAAGTTCTGGGGTTGGGATTCTGGGAGGAGCCCCAACCTCTGGCTCAGTTGCTGGATGATCAATGTCGATTGTCTTTGCCTCCTGTGACTCTTCTTGCTGAAACTGTTTTGGAATTAGCGGTGATCACCTTCTGCGGGTCAAGGGCTTACCTGGAGGAGCAGTCTTTCCGTGAACTTCAGCTCGAATTCCACCCCTCTGCCTGGCGTAGCCACTGTAGCATCATGTACCCATTCTACCCCGTCCAATGATAAGATGATCCCATCACCGCTTGCAATTCCTGACTTTGCGACCTCCTTCGCGCTCGATCCCGAAAACTGAGCTCGCACCTGGCCTCTGGTCCGTCGCAATCGAAAGTCGGGCTCTGATAGAAGGAAGGCCACTGAACCCGTCTTGGAGCTGTACGGCCACGTTAAAGTGACAACGGCTTTAATAGATCTTGATGCGGGCGCGGCAAGAAGAGGCGTCAGTTGCGCGATCGGGATATGCGCGGTCGTTTGAATGGCTCTCGCGCCGTTTGAGACCTCCGCCATTATGCAAAGACTATTGACTGTACTGGCAATCAATCATGCTATCAAGTGCAATATTCCTGATGGGGTTCGTAGAATGAACACAGTAAACAAGTGGTTGTCCCAAATCGCGGTGGAAAGTTGAAGCAGCTTGGAGCTTTGGAATGACGCGCCGAAATGGGTGAACTTTCAAAGGCGGTGGCAGAACCAGCGGATTGCCTTTTGCCCCTCGTATTGCAATCCCACCCATCGACCCATCACCTCATCGGTTTGTCGTGCCCTTTCCCTTTTACTTTCTTTTACGATTCTCCTTCTTCATTGTTATATATCACTCGGAACATTCAAAGTTCTATTCTCTTCGATCATTTGGTACATTGTCCAAAATCCTCCCAGTTCCCCACTCATAGTCGTCCACTTGGGGAACCGTCAAAAATTCCGAGCTCTCCTATTCTTAAACCTGAAATTTATTGCTGATGATATGGGGTCACTTCTGCCGCCGTTGGGCTCTTTACAAGTTAAGAGGGTAGCTATAATAGGAGCTGGACCTTCTGGGCTTGCCGTGGCAAAGTACCTTCTCGCTGAGAATGCCTTCGACAAGATCGATATATATGAACAACAGTATGGGATTTCTTCGTCTTGCAATCTTTACTTTCACGTTATATCGTTCTAGTTTGCTTGTTAAACATCTCCATTGCAACCTTCATATATATCCAGACCATATGTGCTGACCGGCTGCAGGGCTGAAGTTGGCGGAGTCTGGAACTACAATGCCAACATCACAGACCACATACCTGTACCACAGACTGCGCCCAATGTTCCTCTGGATAAACCTATCTGGCCCCCAGGAGCAGTTGCTCCACTGTTCCCGAACCCAATGTACGATCGTCTCATCACGAACATTCCCAAACATTTGATGCAGTACTCCGATCAGGCGTTCCTTCCTCAATCTCTATTGTTCCCAACGAGAGAGGATGTTCAAGATTATCTCGTTCGATACTCACGAGATATCAGACATCTTATTATATTTTCAACCCAGGTCGAAGATATCAGTTTCTCCCAAGAAAATGGTCAGGATCGTTGGAGTCTCACGGCAAGATCTACAATCGATAGCAAGGTTGCGAAAAATCCGTATGATGCCATCGTTGTTGCAAATGGGCACTATTCCGTTCCATTTATCCCTTACGTTCCAGGAATCCAAGCATTTCAAGCAAAATACCCATCCGTAATATCACATTCGAAGAATTATCGGTTACCACAGAGCTTCAGGAACCAAAAAGTCATCGTCATCGGGGCCGGACCTTCGGGTCTGGATATTGGAAACCAAATTAGCGTTGTCTGCCAAAAGCCCTTACTCAATTCAGTTCGGTCGGAAGAGCCTCTCAAGCTTGGGAAAGAAAACATAGAGGAGGTGCCACCCATTGCCGAATACCTGGTTGAGGAGAGATCTGTCAGGTTCGAAGACGGACGAGTAGAGAAGGACATCGACGCTATCGTGTATTGTACTGGATATCTCTACGCGTGCCCATTTCTAAAGTCGCTGGATCCGCCGATTGTAACGACGGGTCGACGGGTCATTGGACTTTACAAACATCTCATCCACATCTCCCATCCCACACTCGCTTTCACGGCACTGTCGCAGAAGGCTATTCCGTTTCCGTTGTCCGAAGGCCAAGCGGCCGTGATTGCTAAAGTGTGGTCTAACAAATTAGTTCTGCCTGAAGAAAGTATTATGAATGCTTGGGAAAAGAAGCGGGTTGAAGAGCTAGGGGACAAGACCAACTTTCACATCCTTGGGTTCCCAAAGGATGCCGATTACATCAACGAACTTCATGATTGGGCAGGATGTGCTGAGGATGGTTTTACGAAGGAACCACCATACTGGGATCAGCAGCAGAGGCATATGAGGTCGATGTTCATGGATATAAGGAAGAGATTTGTGGAGCTTGATGGGAAGGCAACTACAATGAAAGAGCTGGGTCCTGAATTTGAGAATTTTGATAGATAGTGATTTCGCTAGACCGACTACCCCTGGACTTAGCAGAGCAACTGAAGTTGTGAGATTCTTCAACATCGAGGGCGCGAAAATATGGTGTCTAACTAACACCGAACCTATCGGTTTCGTATCCGAGTATCCGAGTCTCGGGACGACCAGCTCACGAGATAGATCCGAGTGGTGGCAGTGCTCTGGCGTGTAACGCCATTCCACCACCAGGTGACCGCCCAGCATCCTTCCAAAATATCAAACGATCAATGGTCAATCATATCTCTCGCCGGTAGCGAGTGAGGGACATCCTGCAATTGCGGGGTTGAGAATCCCGATCTTCAAGCCCCATTTGGTGGGATAATCTGGAGCACTTCGAAACCCGCCCCAAGACTTTTAAATAAAGATGAACTCCACATGGAGCAAGCATGCATAACTTTTAATAGTGAATCCTTTCAAATAATTGTATATCATCATCTTCTATCGCGCCCGTCTACTGTCCAAATATCATGTGGTCCCACATGGAGTAATTCTCTTACTCGTAATTACAACTTTTGGACTTTTCGATTTGATAGAATGGCGATTCCTTCGGGATACAGAGTTCTCGAACTCCTTCAATGGATCATGATCATCCGCATTGCCCAAGCCGTCGGCGCACTCGTCACCTTCAGCGTCATGTGCTACGGCGAGTCCATCTACTCCTTTGACGGCGACGGCCTGATGCTCTTCACACTCAGGAGTCCCTCACTCTTCCTTCTCCTCATATTAACGCGAAGTCAGGGCCTAGCAACATTCATAATCCTCGCCTACATTCTTGTATCGGAGTTCTTCTTCTAACAAGCATACAACTCCTGGGCTGTCTTAGCCGTCGAATGTTTCGCCCTCCTCTTCTGGCTCGTGTCTTTCGCCCTCCTGGCTTCTGAGGTCAATGGAACTGGCTTTTGGTGGTGGGGATATAGCTGTTGGATTGTTTTACTGCTACAAGCGGCCTCTGGCGAAGAGGACGGATACCTTCTACAAATCTATGGCGGCTGCCGCCGGGCTTGGTGGACTCGAATTGTAAGAATGTGATGTTCTGTTCTTCGATATAGACGGCTGACATGAGACCTCTCGCAGTACCTTGTTTGTAATTACCCTCATTGTTGTCAGTGTTGATATTCATCGTGAACGTGTTGGAGGGGCAAGAGCTGACCTCGCTGACCTCGGCCGCATTAGCGACGGTGGAAACAACCCAAGCAGCTCCTCATTCTCGAACACATTCACATCCTCATCCTCGAGACTTGGAGGAAGAATTAATTGAAGAAGACTACCAAAGGCATTCTGTGGAGCAGGTGCGGTCTTCATCAGAACCAGAAGGACGTGATGCATCACATCGATTCACATGTCGAGCATGTAGAACGGGGAGGGGAGAGAGTTCAAGAACACGACGATCGGGGTGCAAGACAGCATCGAATCATCGCAGCATGACGAGTCAAAAATGGGACTGGGGATCCCAAAAGAACTTGCTCGGGTTTCACAAAGTTTTAAAGTCTTGGTGGTTAAGAATAAAAAACAACCTTGGTCGACGAGTCGTATGTTGTCCTCCTAAGGCTTGGCGTGAGATACACATGTAATTACCGGTCCTTGACTGGGCCCCTACTTTCTCGGCAATGATAGCACTCCGCCCATTGGACGCCTCCATCGAAGAAGTTCCCAATGTTTCGATTTCTCAAACGGCCGCATTCCCGTATCCGTATGAGTTGGCTTCATAAAAAGTCGTCATCGATGTGCAGCTTGTGCATAGCTTCAAACAAGACTTCACAAAACGCTTGGACAGCGTTTGGCCAACGTTGAAAATTTTCTATAAGAAGTGCCCCAACCGATTTCTTATCCAATAATAACATCAAAAAGCTTCCGTCTCTTACTTAATTTGTTCTAGAATTGGCAAGGACGAAGCAACAACATGATCGATCCAGAAGTGCCAGCCAGCAAGGCTGAGATGTTCCCCGATGCTTCCGAGGGCAAGTGGGAGCCTCCGGATTATACTATGAAGCAGATCTACGACGCCATCCCACCTCACTGCTTCCGACCCAACACCCTCTTCTCATTAGGTTATGTGCTCCGCGATTTTGCGTTCGTTTTGATGTTAGGGTTGGCGGCCACTCAGATCCCCAGCATCCCTTTCCCGCACCTGCGTCACGTTGCTTGGTTCACCTATGCTTTCGTTCAAGGACTCGTCTTCACTGGTCTTTGGGAGCTGGCTCATGAATGCGGACATGGCGCCCTTAGCAAGAGCAAAGCATTCAACCATACCACCGGGCTCATCATCCACTCGTTCCTTCTGGTCCCTTTCCATTCCTGGCGATTCACGCATTCTCAGCATCACAAGTCAACAAACAACCTCGATAGAGATATTGCATTTGTGCCTACGCTGAAAGAGGATTTCGACAATGAACGAGCAACGCATAGCAAGGCGTGGGAGATGGTGGAAGACACTCCAGTTGTCGCCCTCACCACACTCTTTTTCCATCAACTCATAGCCTGGCCAATCTACATGACCATCAACAACTTCGCAATCGAGCGAATGGCAGCAGCGCCTTGGTGGAAGAGGAGCCATTTCTACCTCGGAGGTGATGGACCTAACTTCAAACCTGAGAACACCAGAGACGTCTTGATTTCAGATGTGGAGATTGCGCTTGCTGCTACGGGACTTTGGGCAGCGGTCAGATGGTTTGGAGCGTGGAATGTGATGCTGTTTTACGGATTTCCGTATTTGTGGACAAATCACTGGATCCGTATGTTGTCCTCCCTTCCTTGATCGAGTCTGTGCTGATGGACTGTAGTCACCATAACGTTCCTTCAACATACGGATGTCTCGATCCCGTACTACCCCACCAAGACTTGGTCCTTCTTGAGGGGTGCAGCGAGTACTGTTGACCGGGACTTCGGCTTCATCGGCCGCCATATCTTCCATGGCGCCATCGAGACCCATGTCCTGCATCATCACAGCTCCAGGATCCCATTTTACTATGCAGCTGAAGCGTCAGATGCAGTGAAAGGGGTGATGGGGAAGCATTATCAAAGTGATATGAAGACGCCGTACTTGTGGGCATTCTGGAAGAATTACACACAGTGCAAATTCGTGGTTGAGACGGAGGAAAGCAGTCATATTTACTTCTTTTCGAAGAACGAATAGACATTGGTTTAAGCATGCATTGGGATAGACAATAGACGCGGGAAACTAAATAGATTGGATTCGAAAAGTTAGACTTGTTGGAGGACAGCATAGACGAAGGGATAATACTTTCTTCGGTCATAATCAATGCACCAGATTTTCAGGGGTATTTGATCTAGAGAATATTGCTTTCATTTCCCACCGGATTTCCCTCTTCATTCAGGGTTTTCATACTTGACGCGAGCAAGCATTGGGCGGAAGTGCAGTTCATTGCTGGTACCAGTTGAGTGAAGTAGTGCCACAAACGAATCATGAACAGACCTGACACCCAGCTTCAGCACTTGCTAAGAGAACCCGAAGGATCTTGCACTTCGAAGGACAAGCAGGCTCTTTCCAGGGCCTCACGATTCGGCTCTCAATCTACTGATTTGTGCCTGAACACCATATCTGGAACTATTGATGGAAGGCGGAAGGAACAAGTGACCGCAATTTGAGATCTTTGGCCCCTCATGAGATATAACAGAGCGTTTTGGTAGCTCTGATGGTAGGAACATCCGGGGTGTGTTGTAATATTAGAGGTCACGTGCTTAGGCTCAACGACGCTCAAGACGTGCTGAGAGAGTCCTGGCTGAGGGATAATTGAGAAATCCTGGAGACGGAGCAATAGGAGTTAGCAGGCATATTTGGCTAGCATATGTTTCCAAGGATTTCATTGAGGATAGTCAGATTTTGCCAATATTGATCTCAAACTCGACCACATCGTGCAAGCACGCAGGCTGAGTCATATTACCAGAGTAATGTTTTCATCATACAAAATCAGACAGAGGAGATTTGATGCTACCTACAATGACAGACCCGATATTGAGATTCAGTTCCTCTCTCCGTATAATGTTTCCATCATTTGGTCATCGTCCGCTCATGGCAGCTCGCCGCGTGAACGGGGCCCTCGAGACAATGGTTTTAGAGTGGTGTATGATCTTGACCACTCATCGGAGTCGCCAGCTGAGTTGTAAATAGTTCAAGCTGTCGAAGATTTGAGTTGGAGGTCTTGCTGTGAAGAGAAAAGAAGGAATTTGAGAAGCGGACTCGGTTTGGAAAATATTCAGATTAGTTGAGCTAATCCCAGTTGGGTTTAGCACAAGCGTGCTTTTTTTGACAGCGTTCAGGCCGCCCTATCGCACAGCACTACACCTCCCCGCTGCTTTACAAGTTGAATCTTCTCCTGCATACATACAAACACCATTCAAACCCGAAGAACAATTGACCAGAATTCACATCCAAGCCCCCGAATACGATACTGCATAATTGCATACGGCATTTACAACCACATAATCAGGATTGAAAGCAACTGCGCCGCCTGTAGCTGCCTCGAAAACAGCTCACTGGAATCCCCTGCCAAAGACAGCTCTCGAAGTCACCCGCCTGCATAGAGCTCCGAATCACGAAGGTAGGGGACGTCTGCGAACCTCCATAAGCTCCGACTCCTCAAACTCCTCAGACCTCCCTCATGGACAATTTGTGGACCCGGCGCTCGAAGTAAGTTTCTCTTGACCGCTGCGTGCTACAAGCGCATAGCTTACAGTGATACCATTAGCACCAGCAAGCTGTCTTTGTCCACGGGAAATCCTACTACGAATGGCGCTCTTCCTTCGAATGACCACCCTACTCGAAACTATACGCTGGGCAGACGACATGGAGACTCATCTTCGCACAGTAACAAAAATCCCTTCAACGCGATGAGCCCTTCAACCAGCTCCCTTGCCTCACCAACTGCTGGTGCAGCAAGCGCATTTGGCCTAGGATCTGGCGCTTTTGCGTCTTTTGGATCTTCCAAGACTCCGAAAACCCCAGGCGGTGCGCTGGACTTCAGTAGCGTCGTGGGAGCGGCGGCAAGGACTCCAACGGCAGAGAAGCAGATCAAGGACCTAGGCACTAAGCCCTCGAAGGCATCCCTCACAGACTCAAAGACCGCAACTCCTCCCCCAATACATTCATTAAGGCATAGCTGGGTGTTCTGGTTCCGCCCGCCAATTTCCAAGTCGAACGGCTTTGTGGAATATGAAAAGACCTTGCATCCTATGGCAAGCTTTGGAACAGTGGAGGATTTCTTTGGCATCTACCAGCACTTGAAGCGCCCTTCGACTTTACCTCTCGTCTCCGATTACCACATATTCAAGAAAGGCATTCGACCGGTTTGGGAGGATGATGAGAATAAGCGGGGTGGCAAGTGGATTGTGAGATTGAAGAAGGGAGTGGCGGATCGGTACTGGGAGGACCTGCTCTTAGCCATTGTAGGCGACCAGTTTGCAGAAGCTAGTGAGGAGGTTTGTGGAGCGGTGCTCAGTGTCCGGAATGGAGAGGACATTTTGAGCATCTGGACCCGCAACAACGGCGGGCGGGTCCTGAAGATTAGGTATGGTCCGAAATCCCAATACGAGGGTACACTACTGACAATTCTCTACAGGGAGACGATGAAGCGCATTTTAATCTTCCCTCCAGAAACGAAGGTCGAATGGAAGTCTCACGACTCCAGTATCCAACAACGAACCGCGATAGACGATGCTAGAAAGGAGAAGTCAAGCCAGCATAATCATCATTCTGCGCACCCGCGTAATGGAAGTAAGGATATCGAACAGTCGTCCCCTGAGAAGAAGCAGACTTCATAATTGCATATTCAGCCATTCTAGATCTCTCGTTGAGGATTTAGAGCGACGGATCTTCTTACGACAAATGATTGTACAGTATTTGGGTTGCATTGATTGGTAAAAGCGGTATGACTTGGCTATGGCGGGCACTTCTATTTCTCAATTCTGGGTTAAGCAACGCGTGGGTAACGTGCTGTATCATAGCGTGAAGAGCCTGCAGGCACTCTTCTACAAACCATTTGCGTTCGCGTTCTTCGACGTTGAAGCAAGCAAGATCTAAATAAGATCTAAATAAAACATCCTCGCACATTTCTTGAGCGAGAGTTCAACCGATGTCAGCGAATTGGCGTTAACATGTCTCATCCTGCAGAGCAATGCGTATATTTGAGCACTCTCTCAACAGCAGAACAGAGAGATTTGTGCACTACCCCACGTGCATAAAGTTGTGATGCCCCGCCACCAACCTCAACTACCAGACATCTACTTCTGAACGACATAAAGGCCTAAAAATGGCCTGACTCGACCACTTCGCGCTCATGGACCCCTTAAGTATAGCTGGGACGCTCATAGCGGTCCTCCAAATCACGACCTCTGTCATCTCAATCCTGTACGACTACCGCACCGGCGTGGCCTCCGCTTCCCGTGAGGTTATCCAAATCACCGAGGCCCTTAATTCCCTAAAAGACGTCTTAGAATCAATACTCCGTCTCATTGAGACGACGAAAGCCGGGGAATTATCAACGGTTGAATTATTGGCGAAGGATGGGGGCACGTTACAGAGTTGTCAAGCGGAGCTAGAGAGGTTGAGAGCTAAGCTGGAGCCTGAGAAGGGATGGAGGAAGTTAAGGAATAGCTTGATTTGGCCACTTAAGGAGGGTGAGATGAGGAGGGCACTGGAGGGGCTTGAGAGGTGGAAGAGTACGATGCAGTTGGCGTTGAGTGCTGATCAGGCGTAAGTACTCTCACGTGACGAGTACGGATGTCACTGATGGGAGGCAGTACATTGAGTTTATCTATCAAAGACGATGTGGAGGATTTGACGCAGATGTTTCAAAGGCATAACACTGGTGAGTCTGCGAAGTATGAGAGAGGTGGTGTGCTGATGGAGGAGTTGCAGATCTCAAACGGCAAGCAATCTACAAGTGGCTTTCTGCTCCTGATCCATATTCGAATCATGTTACAAATCGAAAGAAACGTCAGTTTCAGACTGGGGTTTGGCTTTTAAGGAGCAAGCAGTATGAACATTGGTTACAAAGCGAGAATTCGTTTCTTTGGATTTATGGAATTCGTAAGTTCTTACCGCAGCTGGCCTGCAAAACGCCTCTGATAAAACGATACAGCTGGAAGTGGGAAGACTGTACTTTGGTAATACCCCAAGAGCTTTTTTTGCTTCTTCGTGCTCACGCCTGAATAGCTCAACGGCCATCGAGCAACTCATCCGTTACTTCCAGCAAGCGCCCCGAACTGCACTCACATACTTTTATTTTGACTTCAACGATACTGGGAAAAGAGACACGAACTCCCTGATACGATCTCTTATCACACAATTATCAGCTCAGTGTGAAACAATACCGCCTCCCTTACTTGAGCTGTACAACAGCCAACCAGACGGCATGGAAGTTATCGACGAACAAAACCTTCTCGCAACACTTCGAAACTTGATTCTCACGTTCCACAACGTTTATATTGTTTTAGATGCTCTCGATGAAAGTCTAGATTGCGAGGAGATCTTGCATTTCATCAACTCAGTTCAGGGTTGGGACTTGTCACGCCTCCATCTCCTTGTCACCAGTCGGCAATTGGCGGATATCGAAGAGTCGTTGACGGGGTTGGTCACAGAACGAGTGTGTCTTCAAGATTCAGAAATGAATGAGGATATCATCCTTTACGTTGCCGACAAGCTTGAGAACGACAAGTCGTTGTCCAGGTTCCCTCCGGATATTCGGTTTCAGATCCAGAAAAAGCTTCTGGAAGGAGAGGATGGCATGTGAGTGGTGTCCTCCAGCGGATATTTTTCTTGCTGATAAGATAACTAGGTTCCAATGGGTTGTATGTCAGCTTGATATGCTACGACGTTGCATGTCTGTAGCCGCCATACGTAAAGCTTTGTCGGTAGGCTTGCCTAAGAACTTGGACCAGACATACGATCAGATTCTATTCCAAATCGACGAGCTCCATCAGCAAGATGTGCTAAAGACTCTTCAAGTCTTGACAGCTACACAGGAATCTTTGACTCTGGAAGAAATTGTGGAGATCCTCGCAGTGGACCTCGACTCGGATCCTCCTCATTTCGACCCTGATTCCAGACTTCTGGATCCTCGAAGTATTCTATCGATGTGCTCGTCTTTGGTCACAACTGTGAAGACGAGTCGATGGACCACATATCCTGAAAAGGAAAGTGTTACATATTTGAAACTTGCACATGCTTCAGTGGCGGATTATTTAACTCAGCCCAAAATGGGACCGTCACAATTCCATTTTTCGACGACACCTTCACGGCAATTTCTTGCTCAGTGCTGTTTAGCGTACCTCATGAACCCCGAGTTTTCGACTGGTCACCAAAGTCGCCAGAAAACCGAGATGGCGGCTATGAGGAGTTCGTACCCTTTCTTAATCCATGCTATTAACAACTGGCTAAAGTACCTCTCCAAAATGCCGGGCGATCCAGACGACTATCTCGAGCCAAGGACGATCGAGATGCTTCAAGCATTTTTTGAGACATGGAAAACACCATCAGGAGGCAATTATACATTTTGGGTCGGAATGCTTATTCCGGATGTGGTATACGAACAAATACGAAAGACGCAGCCGCTCTATTACGCAGCCTCTTATGGCCTCACGGAGGTTGTCCGAATGATTCTCGAATCCCAGAAGGATATTGAGCTCAACGCGTTGGGTGGACGTGCATATTCAACAGCATTACACGTTGCCACTTATCGAAATCGCATTGATGTTGTAAAAGTTTTGTTGGATCAAGGAGCTGATCCGAATCTTTGTAACGTGAGTGACGAGCCTCCCTTATATTGGGCGGCTATCAATGGGAATCAGGAGATGCAAGATTTGTTGCTCAAAAATGGAGCCACTGATTTAAAGGGGGTACTGGGCCGGAAGTTTACACTCCAAGATCGGTTGGATGAGATGCTTTTGGCCATAGATTTCAAGCTTGATGAATAGAATAATGCTGAAGTGTCTTTGATTTGAAAGCTCCCATCAATCACCATTTCACGTGACACGGGCTGCCCTCCCATCAAGCTCTCCTTCAAACACCACAGCCCAGACCTCGAAGCTTAACACCTCGATACAAGAAAAGAACGTAAGAAGATTCTCTCATAGCACATTTCACAATGTAATTGCAAGTTTACAAACAATTTGCGGTCCTCGAGCAAAGATTCAGCAACTCAGCAGGAGTCAGTCCCAAGAAAGGGAAGCCACGGCTATATGGAGACACTTTTGGAGGATGCATCTCAACAAACCTAGATATTGGTGAGAATGTTGAGAGAAGACGGAAGATTGAGAAACGATGGGAGTGGAAGAACGAATTCATGGCCGTCCGTTGATTACATCTATATATGGAAAGAACTATCAATCTACACAATCCCACTTTACTGGTGTATCAATATTGGTATTTCTTTTGCGTATTAGATGCCAACGAGACTACAAGACACAAGGATCGTCCGGATTTGTGTTTCAATTGCCTTCATGCAGCGACTGTCGTTTGCAGCGATCCAGTGGTGTCCTTCAACCCAACACACCCTCCGCACTCATCATTTGGGTTTTCCCTTTCATTGCAGCACTTGCTTATCAACATTTCAATTCCAGATACCATTCATCAGAGCTTTCATGATTCCTTGGCCGTCTCTTCGTGCCGGAGAGCTCATCCAGCATCCCAAGCAGACTAGCATGGAGTGCTGGTCTTGTGATTTTCCTTCCAGTTGAGAGCAGGTTTAGCACAATCCGTTTGTTTGGCTGTTCTTGCTCAAGGGATGTCTGCAGTGCTGATTTTCAAATTGCGGTTTCATTCAAGTCGTTTCGCTGGGCCCTCAAGGGAGGGCATCCAGGTTGGATGGCGGCATTTGTAAGTTCTCCGAGATCAAGTTCGACATGTTCGTCTAAGCACATACTGCCGTCTACTCGACCGCTATCATCGAGGACGGAAGCTCGGTCAGGTTGTGTCGTAGAGGGGCGGCATCAACCCAAAGGGCATTAATCGGGGCGGACGTCATGATGGAACGGGGCGGCTGCCAATCAAACAGGATCGAGTTGCCAAGTCGGGACAGGGAGTGTTCCCTCCTATAATATACAATCCCTATCGTCCCTTTCCTTCAGCTCGTGGAAATAGAAGGCGTATTGTGGGTGAGAGGACGACCAGTGCCGATGCAGCTCCCTTCACCGAGACCCTGATCAGGAAACTCGGTAACGCCAAGCCGGCATGCCTGAGACAACCCAGTTCTCTAATGAGCCATACCCTATTCTACGCAGGCAAGTATTGTAAATACCCACGCCAGTGGCTGCTTACCAGCCGGAAGAAAAGAGAACTCCGGTGACCCCATCAGGCTAGCGTGTCTTCGCCAGCAAATCAGATCGTCTGCTAAAGAGACCGACATTCTGTTTGTGGACGAATCCCCATTTCAACAGGCGAATGAGTGGGAAGATGAGCACACGACCTCGACTCACGACTCACTCCTGAAGCATAAGAAGGTCGGCGCTCTTCGCACGCCTGGCGAGAATGGACAAGCCGACGAACAAGATGAGCAGCCCTACGACGTTGGGCGATGAGTCCTCGCCATGGCAAAGCTCAGGGACCTCGGCCGGGGAGGATGACCTCGTGCACGAGGAATCGATGCTGAAGCGGAAGTTGGCGGTTATCGAGGAATTCATGGAGAATGGTGAGTCCCATTCATTTGAGATGGTTTCAGTGATTCCCCTTCGAGGAGATGAAACGGCCAGCCTAAACCAAGCGTACGAGTCGTCGACATCCCCCATTCCCGTGACGATGGGCCGATGACGGTGATGTGCCTCGATTGTCCTATCTTGCTTAGGAATTCTGAGAGAACATCAAATTTTGGGTTCGAGGGAATTGATTACTGACTCGGAATTAGAGAATGGGGCACCTTCCTTAGAAGATCGATGTCAGATCTTGCGTCAAAAGATAGGCTCCTTGGAAGCGGATATCTTCAGATCAGGTATAGCTCCTACAAACCCGAATTGGATTTCATATTGATCTGTCTCTAGGAAGAATGGACGCGTCCCGTCGGTATCTCAAGGAAACCCCAAATCCCGCGTTCGTGAATGTACAGCCCGAGGAGTTCACAAGTTGGTTGTCGATTACTGAGAGAAAAACCTCAGATCAGTTCAACCGCGCCGAAATGGACCTCGTGTCTTCATTAAATAGAAGATCCCTATTCTTCGGTGCTGGGGATGCATTTCATGTTTTCCCTGTAACTCCAGATGGCTCGTCTCGTGAGGACTCAGAGCACTCGACGGAACGCCCCCACAAACGACCGCGGATTGCCGAAAAGGATAAGCCACCTTGTCTGAGATGCAGAATACTGAAGAAAAAGGTGAGGCGGTCAAGAGATTTCCAGCATCCTCGGTCCTTGAAAATATTTGTTGGCTCGCAATTCACGTGACCTCAATTTTCACGGCATCTGCACATATGACTGATTATTCTGCAGTGCGATTCCTTGGATCAATGCAGCCATTGTCCGACGCAAAGCTTTGAGAATGAAAGCGACTTCTGGAAAATCTTAGGCTGTTTCAGGGCTCGTTTACAAGATTTCTCCAACATATTTTGCCCAGGTGAGCTGCAGCTTTGACTACCCAAATTGCTTCTCACACTAATCATTGAACTTCCAAAGCCTTTGCCAGATCTACAACTAGAACTTTAAGATATAGGTCCGGTGGCAGTGAGATTATCAATTTTGTGCTAACAAAGTCTCGAGTCTCAGACCAAAAGAGACGACGCATGATGCACTTGGTGGAGGCCAGACCCGATTTCGCTCAACTTGACGATGCTTCGTGGGACGACATCACAAACCGTGGGTCAGTGAGCAGAGCAGCCATAACGTTGACCGAATATGGCGGTGATGGGGATACCTTCACTCCCGACGGCTTTCTTCAGCAAGATTACGAGGCTGCGTGGAGTGTGTTGCAAGCAGTGTCTATGGACTCGACTTACCTCACGAAGACGGAGTATAACCTCTTTACTTTGCTGCGGCAGGGTAACGAATTCTCCGTCTATGAACCGGTATGCCCGTTCATTATTTTACCTTCCGCTCCGGTTGTTTGAATCAAACTGGGACGTTAGCTTCCTATTTGCAACCCCATTTTCCCAGCTCGATACAGATATTTGAAGCCTTCACAACTTCATTTCGTTTGACTAACTGGTGGGCAGGAATACTGGGAGCTTTTCAACCAAACAAAGCGCATCCTCCGACAATCTGTTGAGTTCTACCTGCTTGAGAGACTTTGCTCGCAGATGGCGTCAGGTGACATGATCCCACCCTTCGACCCCTCGAGCTCAACACCAAATACTTTGGTCCTCGTCGATCTCAAGGATGATATCGAAAGTCTCCTACGACGGTTCGAAAAGATCTGTGCTGGAAGAGCAAAACTGACAGGGTTCGCACAACTGGCCTGCTTTTACGCAATACTGGTTTTGGGGATTGCCAAGTCGATCCTGATTGATGCTTATTCCATTCGTGCCGACTACGAAGACCCAAATCCTTGGGAGGAGGAAGATGCGGTTAGGATTACGAGTGCATATAAAGCTCTCGTCAGCGTGTTCTGCTGGTCATCAAAATCAGATGTTGTACTGGACCCGGAGATTGATCAGGACGATGAGCTGGGAGCTGCTTTGCTGGAAACACGAGCAATGGTACAAAGCGCGAAATGGGAAGAACGAGGGTTCAGAGGGATGAAAGAGTTCCTTCTCAGTCTCGGATCGTGCTTCTTCGCTGATGGGGCCTACAATGGCTTCTTTATGCAGAAATTCGGCCGTGAACGAATCCCGAGAACCTTGTCCAAGGGAGCCATTTCGGTTAACGGAAACAGCGAGCGTCGAATTAGTCACATTAAATCGAGGGAATCTGGAACACCACACCAGGAGAGACACACCAGTGATGAGGTAAGGCAGGCACCCACCGTCCATGTTTTCAGCGTCGCGCAGGAGCAAGATTCCTTTCCTCGATTTGATGGAACCAGGCAGCATGATTCGGTTTCGCTCTTCACACCTTCCCCATCAAAGAATCAATTCCAAGATGTCCTTCGCGAGTCGGCAAATGGTGCTGCTCATCGGCCCTCTAACTCTGGAAATTCATCCACGTTTACATTTGTGGCTCATGATGAAAGTGACGGACACACTGCGGGTCGAGGTCAAAGCCGGCGTAAAGGGGCACTGGACGCTGAGACCTTGAGAAAGGCAAGAGAGGTCAGGAAGCTAGGAGCTTGCTGGAATTGCTGGGTGATGAAAATACCGGTAAATACCTGCTACCGATATCGACTTTGTCTGACGATGAATGTAGTGCTCGGAAGGATCAACTTGTGATCGTTGCAGGAAGAAATCTAGCAGTCCAGTGTATCGACTCTGCAACAGAAATCCTTTCACAGCTTACGGCGACCTCCTCTTCCCTGGTATGTCCCCTTGAAGCTCGACGTGCAATTGTGACTTACTATAGACTAGATTACCTGGTCTCTGATTTCAGCACTCAAGCCATCCAGAGATATACTGACGATAACACCCGCGGTTTCACAGGCCAAATTCTGAATGTGGTTGTCACATGGGGAGAAGGGACTTTAAAGGTTCGAGCCAGCCCGTTTGTCACCGTTCCAAACGGGATAATGCAAACGAAATACCATAGTCAAGATGGACACCCACTTGGCGTCGAGTCCTTGCCAGTTGGCTTGACTGAACCCAATTTGGTTCTTTTGGAGCAGACCTGCCTAGACGAGCTCGAGAACAAGCTTGTAAACCAAGAATTCGTGAGTGGCGTCTGCTGCTGGCGAACTGCAGATGTCTCTCGATCGATTCTAGAGACCGTCTACCGATACTACGATACAATGCCCGTCGTAGGTCATCCTCACAGCCAACCCATCTCTCACTAAATCTTGAAACAGAAACACCCCCTCATACACACAATCCTACAACTCCGCCTCGCCATCCGCGCCATCAGCAACCCCCCAATCTTCACCGACTCCTCCGCAAAAATGATCCTCTACCACATCCAAACCAAATACCCCTCCGTAGAATTCTACTCCAGCCGTCTCCTCAACCGCCAACTAAAGCACATAACCTTCAAGCTGTGCCGCCAACTCGCACACAAGTTTCTCTCGAAACTGGAAAAAGCCGTCAGATCGCGCGATAAAGGCTTTTGGCCCATCTACTTCGCCTCCATGATCCTTTTATGTTCGACGATCGAGCATGGTCAGATACTGCTGAATGCGCATATCCAGACTGCGAGAGCAGCCAACCAGTTGAGTGGGATAGGGACGGGAATGGATGAGGAGCCGCTGAAGGCGTGTCAGGAGCTGGAGGATGGACCATGTGCGCAGTTGACACATCTTTTCCATGCGCTGTATCGCACGGGGAAGAGGGATTCGGGGGGCTTGAATCCGTTCAGGGATGAGTTTGAGTTGAATGCTGAGAAGCACTTTGATGCGGCGAGTATGGGAATGATTAGGGAGATTAAGAAGAATGTTTTTGACAAAGGTGGGCTTTCTCCTCTTACTCGCTTGATCTTGGTGCTTGTACTGACTTTTTTAGCTGAAATTTTGCGAGAAAGGGATAAGCCGCTTGTGCTTGATATGAGGCCGGAGGATTTTGCGAAGAGGAACTCAGGGAGGCTGGTGGCGAAGTTCTTACTTTCATTTTTGCCCCTGAATGAGGTCAGGGTGCTATAAATATAGAGGAATATTCGTGCACATTCGTTTGGATGAACTGCAAAAGGTTTATTTGCATGAGAAGGGGGAGGAGAGGGGTATATGAATCAATGAGATATTTGGAGATATCTGAAGAATATTCCTTCGTCTCTGCGTGTAACTCGTGGTCCAGAACTAGCACCGAGGTGATTGCATTATTTGAGATGAGAAAAAAAAAATATAGAGACAAGGGCAACAACGTTATGATTGATTGTGAGAAGGAGATATTAAAAAGTCCAACATAGTACCGACCGTTCCATAGGCTCTTGGACCTGGGTCGAGCTTTTGCCTCTTTGTGAGTGGCTCGAGAACGCACGATGTACGAGGCGTGCCAAAAGACAAAGCGGAAGCAGGATTCAGGCTCATACTGTCCCTCTCTGCTTAAATAGGTGTGTCATTCACCTCCCATCTAAGGGATTTTCAATCACCAACTCCCGTGGTCACTGTACGGATCAGGAACGTGTCCTTGTTCCGTTTCGCTGCGAGTATAATATAAGCCAAATTCCCTCCCTTCAATGAAGACAACCCCAAAGCTGACTCTCCTGCTGGGTAAGTAATTTTCGCTTCCAAAGTTTGAGCTGCTCTGGCAATACAGTGTGCATCATTCTCACTGCGGCTTGACAAATTCGGGGTTTTGGGGCATAAAACCATCCTCATTCTCAAGATGATCGATGTCTTTGATCACTTCAAAGGGGTAAAGAGCAATCGTCAATGTTTCGAGTTTAGAGAATTCAGTCCAGATTTGGGCAGGAACAGCGCCAAAAGCCATGAGATCCATAGTTAGATAGCGGATATTCCGAAGTCTTCCCACGTCTTTCTGTACGTCTGGTACAAGGGGCCACGCGGTGTTTCGCTGAATGACGAGGTCGATCAAAATTTGAAATTATCCCACTAATCCGCTCTTATATAAAACCTGTCGTATAGAGTATTGATATATGGATCAGTATAGCGTCCTCGGCCGCCAGCTTTTGTGGTGCTGATTTGTGTGTAAACATTCGGAATTTCCTCCGTAGACCGTCGACAGACGTGGGGAACGGCAGGGAATGGCTCGGGATTGCAATCGTCTACTACGTAGTCTATCAAGCTAGAGCCAGGTAGCCTTTGATACTCCATGGTTACGAATACCCGAGTCCTTGAGTTTTCGAAACGGGCACCCATAGGCCATATTCGCATTTCAATTTCGATCGGAAGGATGCTAAACTTCGTGAACGTGTAGCAGGAACCAAACGAAAATTCCGGGCTCGTCCACGGTGTTGGATGCCTCCATGGTGTCTAATTCATCCACTATTTCTGTGAAGTCTCGAGGTTATCTCGTCGTCGTTGGCTGGTGGTAGGTGGACGCCTTCGCAAGGTCGCCGCTGAAGTGAAGTTCAAGTCTTCAGAAGACGCGACTTAACGGGTGAAAATTAACTTCGCAGCACGTGGCCCTCCCTTTTCGACAGACTCAGGATCTACCTCCCTACTGCTTTTCAGAGTTCTGTGAAAGAAGTGTTATTGGAAATGTGTTGTTGGAAATTCCTACATGCTGTTGTTATTAAAATTATGTTACAGCATCTAGATTGTTCTATAATTCTAAACCGCTCTGTACCTTGATGAAAGGGGGGATGGCAGAATCCCAAGTCGGATGTACAATATGGGGCGACGTGAGTAAGGAGACGTTCGAGGGGTTTACCCAATTCGCGTATACTGGCGATTACTCGATACTGAAGATGGAAAAACGGAATAGGATTGCAGTGCAGAAAGAGGCCGTGATGGATGACTCCTCATCGAGCAGTTTGCCTAGATTGCGCAAAAGATGGGACGAGGCTGAGGCGGACAAAGTCGACGATGCGGAGCCTGCTGACGATTGGGACATTGATCTGAAGGGATCCGGTGAGGCGGTCCATGATATTTTAACCAGCAAAAAGGACAAAAAGAAAAAGACGAAGTCAGTAAAACTCATCCCTTCCTGGATGGTCGAATCACCGGCACCAACGACTGATGCGGATCTTGAGCAGGGAACTGTTCCGATCACAAAACGAGACAAATACCCAGAACGTCACTCGCGCGTACACTCAGACGATTTCCAATCCCTCAGCTTCCCATTGCTCGCCCCATGCAATAGCCACGATAAAACCTGCGAGCCAGCTGCTATAAATGTAGGCTACTTACCACTGAAGAACAGCAGTCAATTCAGTTATTATCACCCCAGTTAGATGTTGCACGTGATCCCTATAGCCTAAATCACAACAGAGATATCGCTTGATAAAAGGGCATAGAATTGACAGGCAGAACCTGAGTTCGTCTGAACGAATAGGTACTTGACACTGTTGGTGATTAGTTTTATTCTATTACAGGTGCCTTGAGAATTTGACGTCGTCGAAACTTGGAATGTGATAGGAGTTATTTCTTTTGTTGGGGCTATGCAGAAGAGGTGTCGTGACAATTGAACACAGCCACCACAACTTTAACAAAAGCTCAGCCTTTCCTCAAAAGAATCAAACCACGTCTTCTAGAGTACTCATTTTTTGCAAGTCTATCCAAGTCCACTATTTTAGTGATTTAGTCACACCCAACTCACTGGACAACCGTGCCCCCGTACATTTTCTTCCTCATATCGATGCCCCGCGGCAACACCGAGATGTCACAAGAGCAAGATACTCAAGGCTCCAATATTGAACATCGAGTCGAAAACCACGTCTCAGAGCAGGAATTATCTTTGCTGTTAACAGCGGGGCCCCTTTACAGGCGGCTTTCGGGCTCTGAAATCCGACTCATTAAACTTCTACCCGGCGACTGGGATGACCCTATTATCTGCGAGCTTGTCTATGTTCGGCTTGACGACAGACCGAAGTTTATGGCCTTGTCATATGCTTGGGGTGACCCGAAGAAAACTCGCCCGATTACGTTGAATGGCCAAGCCCAGAACATCACTACCAGTCTCTTTCAAGGCTTGAGACGTCTCCGAAGGATGGCATCCACGGTCGATGAGAACCCGGAAACATTCATTACTCAGACTTCGGAAAACTTCCACCTCTGGGTCGATGCCATTTGCATCAACCAAAACGATGAGAATGAGAAAGGACACCAGATTTCTCGAATGACGGACATTTATACCTATGCGGATAGAGTCTGTGTCTGGCTTGGGGAGAACGAGCAGGAGGATCATCTTATCATCTATAGGATTATGGGCATGGCGCACTGTGTCAGCCTCGCTCCTAGGTTCTGGAAACCTTATCTCACCGAGTTCTTTGACGGTGTAAGCAGCGACATTGACCGCTTTGCCCAAGGAATTATTCAGTTGACATCGAGGAAATGGTGGTCGAGAGTTTGGGTGATCCAAGAGGTTTGTCTTGCTTCAAAAACACCTATCATCTTGGCTGGAGGGGCGTGGTCATACATGAAATCTCTACTCAAACTCGTCGATATCATAAGAACTCGCCCTGAGAGAAGGATATTTGCCACTCACAGTTGGGACTTTTTAGCGAATCCGAATTGGTTGCAACGGATCAAAGAGGATTGTGAAAAAGACAACACCAATCAAGAGGCTTCCGATGTTGAGTTGCCCAGTCTTGGTGCTCGTTTGGAGAAGACAATTGGATTATCAGGTGGATTTTTCAAGGCGACGCTTCCACACGATCGTATCTATGGACTTCTGGGTCTGGTTGGCTTAGAAACCTTACCATATCCCTTAACACCGGACTACGGCAGACCCTTTCCCCAGGTCTATCAAGAATATGCCAGGTTCATCATCGAGAATACAGGCAGTTTGTCCATAATTCTTCGCGAAGAAAATGGGATGCACGAGGTGCCAAGCTGGGTACCAGATTTTCGATCGCCAGGTGCAATTTGGAGAGAGTCTAGACCGCTATCACATTCTATTTCTTTCTCTGGAAATGGGAACCGGATGACTGTTTTAGGCGTAGAACTTGGGATCTGCGCCCATATCTTTAACCCTTCTTCCCGAGAGGCTTTCCACACAGATCCTGTTATTTTAGCCGGAATCCAGCAACTAGATGACCTCATATTCAAATCATCTGAACTCAGGAACATTTCAAGGGACACTGCCCTTAAAGACTGGTTAGAGTCAGAAAGAACACGTCAAGAGCATGACCTTTCTATTAGAGGTTTAAAGGAGGTCTATCATTCGATTCTCAACGAGATAAAAATCCAAGGCCAGAACCAACAAACAATTCATGCCTGGACGTCTATTGCGAGGTCAGTCGGGATGTTCTCGACATTTGTGACCGAAGATGGGATTCTGGCAAGCTTATGTCGGTTTGATGGAAACGCGCAGCCTGGAGATGTGATGGTTGCGGCGAAAGGAGCATTGGCACCTCTTTTGCTTCGACCAAAGACTGAGAACGGCGAATATGAATATCTTGGATATTGCCACTATCGGGGTTTTGAATACGACGATGCGTTATCCTCAACTCAAGTTCTGAAGCAATTTGTAATAGTCTAAAGGAAGTATGAAGAGGAATCCGAGTTATAGTAGCATGAGTCCACCAATTGATGAGAGGACGATAATACGGCCGATAGGGAACTTGTGGGATCTACGGAACGGGAAGCCGAGTAAGGAGATGAGCAGTTGGCATACTACGAGAAGTCCCGGATCTCCAAGTTCGATGTATACGGAGCATTTTGATCCAGACCAAAGCTATACCGAAGTCTTTCTCAGTCACGCCTCACTCTATGTCCTAGGGGATTTCAAACTCATCGACTCGCTAAAAGCTCTGGCGTTGTTCAAGCTCCACAAAACATTGTGCGTATTTCAGGTTGACGATGGGAATATTGAAGATATTATCGCTCTTGCGAGGTATGCATATTCTGAAGGAGGCGGGGGCGGAGGGCTGGATGAAGGGATTGGGAATTTGGGGGTCTGTGGAGTTTGGTGTGTCAGTATATGGCTACAAATACGGTAGCTGTGACGGCTAGTGCCAGATGAGTGCTACGGGTTGGTTTCAGCTACGGTATCAAGTTAAGGTTCAAACCAAGCTCTGCGTTTCAGTGGTCTTGGTCGTACCTACTTATCCACTGCTACACCTCACACCTTTTCTCCGTAGCTTTAGATCCTTAAGACATTGGAATCATAGATCTTTGAGCCTCGTTCCATTGCTTTGTTCCTGCCGTTACAATACCTGCTAATATTAGTAATACCTAAGTAATATCACCAGGTATCAATACCAGTATCGATTCCTCAGGTATCGTTGCCGAGCCTGAAACCACACCAAGAAGCCTCGAAGAGCCTTAGCTCCGTTATTACGCAACGTCGAACAGGAAAGATAGGCCTGAATGCTTATCTCCATAGCAGGAAAGTCCCAGGAATTGTTAGCCCTAACTGCGGTTGCGGCTACAGGCTCTAATTAATTGAACATGTCCTGGTCCATGACAGAGCATGAACGTTCGTCCTCGAATATAAGAAAAGCAATCCCCGAATATGAAAGCCAAAACCTTGCTAGAGCAGCGAGTCTCCGAATCCGTGTATCGAAACCTAATCGTCAGCCCGAGCCATCAGTAGCTGGACGGCGCTCTCGCTCGCAACTTTGGGCCATATAGCCAAATAAACAACGGCGCCGGAATCCCAATGCCAATCGCGCAGAAAGCCAACAAGCTATTTCCCCATCCATATCCCAGAGCCGCATACATAGTCGGTGCAAACAATGGGAAACCAAAAGCCGTCATGCTGCGCAGGAATTGAGAAGCCGCTGACGCGGAACTGGTGTGATTGGGATAAGTGTCAATGACATAGGCCTGCATTGCTTGACCACCCATTTGCATCCCGAAGCAAAGCAGCGCTGCACCAATGTCGACAATGACCCACTGCAGGTGCCGTTGAGCCGCCCAGCCGTAAATAAAGAGACCGATCGGTGTGAGGATGGCTCCTGGGAGCATGAGGGGGACGTGGAACTCCGGTTTGGAAACACCATCAGCCCGGCGTGTCATTTTATTGAAGACAAAATCCATTAACGGCCTAGCGATTTGACCACCTGCTACCTCGCCGAGACAGATGGCGATATAGTGGAGGCCACTGATGGATGTCGACTCCTGGTATTGCTTGACATAGAGGTCTGAAAATGTCGAGAGAACAAGATATAAGATGCCGTAGCTGAAAGCAGACAAGCAGGCCTGAACTTGGACGATAGGATGGAATAAAAGAAGACGCATGGGTCGGGACAGACTTCGCATCAAAACCCAAGATATTGACCTACCCAGGGCGAGTACATCCTCTTCGGTGAAGTATCTTGGATCCCCAGTGATCTTTCTCAAATGCTCTGCTTTCTTCCGAAGAATGGTAGGGGCGTGTGTCTCGGAAAACAATGGAATGGAGCCAACGATCATGACGCCTTGCAAGATCGAAGTTGACCAGAAGATCCAGCGCCACGTCGTCCCCTCGACGATGAAGCCGCCCAGGATAGGCCCTACGGTAGCACCGAGCAACGGGATGAGCAAGTAGAGTCCAAGAGATCTGCCACGCTGCTCAGGACGCCACACATCACCCAGGACACCTCCGCCGAGAGCGTAGATTGCGCTTGCACCAAAGCCAGCCAGTAATCGAGCTGCCAAAAGCTCCGCTCTGTTGCGGGAGAACCCGCAGACAATATTCCACACGAGGAACCAGATATTTGTGGCGTGCAGTACTGGTTTTCGGCCGTAGACTTCTGAGAGTGGACCAATCACTAATGGGCCGAAGGCTGTGGCGAGCAGGTAGACCGACATTGCCATTATGGCTTCGGTGCCGCTCATATGTAGCTCCTGAGCGATGGTGGAAAGGGCCGGAGCCATGATGGTTGAGACCATGATCCGGTTGAAGCCTGTCACGGACAGAACGCTGGTCATGATCCACTTTTTGCGTGAAGGCCAGTCTTTTGGGTTCACATATTCAAACCCAGTAGAGAAATTGACTAGAAATGGATCGTCTGGGGTAGAAGCTGATGGAGCGACTGCACCCATGGCCATTTCCCTGTTGTTGTCCTCAGCCATTGTAGCCGAACGACTGTGTTAAAGCCTCGAGCTTAATTACGAAGTAGTTGTCTGCGTAAAGGTGTCAGTAATAGCGAATATGACTTGAACGTTCGTACTGAGAGGGCATACATTGCCAAGTTGAATAATTGCTCAGATGTTGAGCCCAAACGGCGGATCAGATTAGATTATATAGATCTGATAAGATTGAGTTGTGGGGATATCCTGTTGCCTGATAGCATGAAAAAGAACTCGGAGAGTGGGGCTGTGAGTCAGATATGGTGGGGGGTTCGGGGGGTTGCAGGCTTCAAGCAGCTAGTTCCTTACTCGTTGGGATGCGGCTGGATCCAGGCATTGGAATCGGTCAAGAGTGGGGGGGTGGTTACAGCAAGGAGTTCATGGGCAGCAATGGCAGCAAATATCATGCAAGTCAGACATGAGAGGAGTGGATATACAAATTCGCCGTCTACCGGATGTAGGTCGTTGGCTCGGATGGACAAAGAACTCGCACTAATTCTCAATGTCACAATGCCCTTCCATGTTGGACATTTGCCTGGACTCTGTGAGAGTCTGACTTCAAGATTCGGGGACATTTGAGATGTTTGAAGGTTGTAAACGCTGAGTGTTCCACAACTCAAGGAAACATTCGGAGTGGAACTATTCGAAATGTCCTGAAATTGAAACTTCGGTGCTGGTTTTTCGTCCGCCGCGAGACCTGAACCGCTCGTCTCCTCTCAACAAGCCTCGTCAGCAGCGCAAAAGAAAGTTGATTAGGGCTTAGAAAGATTTGCGGACTGCCACATGCAGGCAGCGCGGTGGGATACTTCGCCCTACTGAGGCGATACACTTCGAGACTCCGTAAAGAGAAACATACCAAAACGGTACGCGGTGAGTATTGATTATCAGAGTCTCCCCGAATAGCTCGACAGTGAGCAATGAGGGGCTCGCCCTTCACCACTCGTCATCTGTATATATGTACTTTCGGTCATAATCATACTTCCACCACCTTCTGTTTCGCTGTCTGTCAACCACTCTCCCCAGTTTTTGCCTGGAACCACCGTAGCTCACCTTCCGACTCGGATGGTGTCTCCGCTTCAAGTACTTAATTCCTCCTTGGGGACCTCATGGGTCATCCTCGCGGCGGCTTGCTGGTACCAAGTCGAATCATCCACTTCGACGATCTCATCGTCATCTCCCGTTGAACCGTCCTCGGATAGCTCATCATCTTCTTCCGAATCACTGCCATAATGGTCGCCATACCTTATGACATCACTTCTCAGAACCGCTTCAATAGTCGGAAGTTTCCAATCAGGAGTGGTGTTCTTCTTAACTGCTTCCAAGGCTGATTTTGCCATTCTCACTACCCAGCTAGCACGCTTCTCATGTCTGCCATTTTGTGGTCTTGTGAAAGCCAATCTGCGGTTGAAATAGCCATTGGGCTCAGCATCCTGGATCTCCTTGTGGGGGTAGAATACAATGGAGAGTGTCTCGAGTTTTGGAAACTTGGACCATGTCGCTACCGGAACTGCCCCAAAGATGTTTAAATCCACAAGAATATTCCGCAGATTTCGAAGTTGGTCCATGCCCGTACGAAGTTTCGTTTGCAGCGGTCTCGTGGTGTTGAATTTTATGAGAATGTCGACTAGAATTTTGAAGCCTTCCCATGGTTCATTGCCGATGTAGAAAATATCATAGAGAACATTGAAATATAGTTCGCATCCTGGCTGACTACAGGAATGATATTTGACAGCTAAGCGGGTATATGTCTTCAAGCCTTCACCTCGAGACTGTTGGCAGACATGAAGGATCGATGGAACAGGAGGTCGTTGCACGGGCCACGTAATTTCCCTGCAATCTATCCCGCTGGAGCTCTTTATACAATAAGGATATGAATCAGGAAGGAAGCCTTGGGTTTCGTCATTCGATATGCTGCCGATCGTATGAAACTGAGGTTCGTGCACACTTGCTGCCAAGGACCATATTCGCAGTTGAATCTCGACGGGGAGCTTGCGGAACTTGAGAAAAGTGTAAGCCGGGACAGTTGTTCTTCGAATTTCGTCGATGCCCTTAGACTGTGCCAGAGATATCAGCTTTTTCCCTTGCCATTCCCGTGGATACTTGGACTCCACCAACCCAAAGTGCATAACCAAAAGAATATACAGTATCTAGCCACTGATGACGCTCTGCCTCCTCGAACGCCTCTATCTGCAATCTCATCCTTCCATGAAAATCATCTTTGCGTTTTTCGAGTTCGAGTTCGAGTCGGTTTTGCTTTACAAAGCGGCGAAACTCTTCAGTTTGTTCTTTGGACAGATTCGCATAAAGTGTATCCCACGGGAACTCCTGTTCTCTCCAATTGCTCCAATCACTCGTTGAATTGGCCGCCATTTGTGGTTCATGTGTCTCCGGGGCGTTATGGCAGTTTTGCTGAAATGTTGGCAGGATGATGTGCAACTTAAGCCGGAAGACGTGTTCGAAATGAGGTGAGGCGTGGATTCGCGTCTGAACACGTGACCCCCCTTTTCCTGCCTCACACCCGCACCCGCACCGCACCAAATTTTATTTCGACGGGACCTCTTGGTTCTTCTCCTGTTTCCCTCCTCCGTACCAGCTCCAATTTTTCAAACCATCGTCTGAAGGTTTGAAATCTCGCCTCACAGCTATTGCACCTTGAACTAAGTATCCCAAGGTCACATCAATATTTATCCCTGTTTTCGTCAAAGACAATCCCTCGGCAGAAGGGCCGATTGGCAATGCTTATCCTCATGCATATCGTAATCAGGGGCGTGTCCCAAACGGGACATACGATGTCAGCGCTCAGATAGCAGGGTTCAAACATCGATCTTTGGACGTTTTATCAGATTATGCCAATCCTTCTCCTTTCTACTAGTTCTCTCCACTTTTCTTCCATTCAGCCTAAACCTCCAAACATCTAAAAATGCCTTGCGCCTACTCTCCTCTTCCTTTCTCCTGTCATCAAGATTGCCATGTCCGAATTTTTGTACCAATCGTTCTCAAATCCACGTGCCAGACGAGGTGGTGACAGGCAGAATGCCTCACAACTTGTCCTGAACGACCCCAAACTCCTCTCTCGCATTCTGTCGTTCCTGGATATCCGAAGTCTCCTATCGGTCCAGCGGATGACTAGATCTTGGCATGAAATTATCGCTACAACACCGTCTCTTCAAGAAGCCCTGTTTTTCAAATTCCCGTCACCGAACGCTCCACGAATCCTAAATCCACTTCTCAGAGAAGTATGGCCGCTCTGGTTCAAATCTCCGTCCTCTTTCAACAAAAGACGACCTCGCCCAAAAGCCGCTGATTTTCGCTTTCTAAAATGGACTCAACGCCCGTCGGTTTTTCGACGGCCTAATGCTTCTTGGAGGAAAATGCTAGCCATCTCCGGCGGAACCCAAATTACAGCTCTGAAAGTCACGTTGCACACTCAGAGCTGGCTAGGGGCACAAGAGAGTCAGGGTGTTTTCTTGTGCCCAGACGGGTTGCGAATGGGTGCTTTGTGGGATCTTACGAAAGACTGGTGCATGTTTGACGAAGAAGCAACCTTCATGGTGAACTGGGATGAAGAGTTGTTCTCGGGTGATGGGAGGGGAAAGGTTCAGTCCATTCCAAAACCGGTGGACAGTGGTCGTTGGAAGTCCAAACTCCGGAAAATCTTTCCTGGCAAGGAAACCAAGAAGGGATTCACTGAGGTGTCTCTGAAATCTGCATCTTCCACTTCGACTCGATCGATGTATTCTGACAATGGAAGCTTGGATGGAAGTGATGAGCGATTCGTGGAGTTGACCTTGTCATACTCCATTGATAATCAGGATCCCGAGTTCAATGGGCCTCCGGTCTTGGGGCTAGAGTTTCAAAGTGAAGCCTATGAAAAAGTCAGCATTTCATATGGAAAGACAGTTCCAATCTGAGATCCACAGCTGGTTCTCTGTTTTGAGTTATGTTGGGCGCTGCTGGCGGTAGAGTCGCGAATTTTGGGGTTTAATTTATGTGTAGAGTACCTTCTTGATACCCCAAGCTCATCTCTAGGATTTTTTGAATTTCATGCCACGCAGGCGAGTTCTCGAAAGTTCATCGAAATATTTGTTCAACTAGTTTATTACTATATATTTTTTTAGATCAACATTTAAGACTGTAGTCACGCGAAGGCGGGTAATAGGAGCTTTCCGTCCTTCCCCGCATCAAGGATGTAACGAGCACGTTCTCTTGCACGGAAGTTTCAGATGGCGTTTAGCCATTCCCCTTCGAGCTTTAATCTTGGCTGTCTCGCTGTTGACTGGACAGCCTTAACCCTATTTCAAGGGGCAGCTCCCTTCAATCGCCAGATCCTCCTCGCCCCTGTCGAAAGGATGCACTGCGCCGCTGCAGCCTTGGCAAGCTTCAAACACTTCGAGAAAATCGCAATTCAAAGTTTAGAACCTTTTCATATCATTGTTCTCATATCATGTGGGTCTTTTTGGTGTTCGCTGGAGCGCCCTTTCTCGTGGGTCTTTTCCCCGTCACTGCAGCTATTCCCACCATCTCAGCAATCCACTCGAAGTTCTTTGATAGCAATGGGAACCAATTCTTCATCAAAGGTATGTGAAATTACAACAACCGCTCCAATGTCACATCTTTGAGTACAATTTTCTCTTGCCACCTAACACTCGCAACTAGGAGTTATATATCAGCCTGGAGGTAGCGCAAGTCTAACCGATCCCTTGATCAACACTGCGCAATGCGCTCTCGATGTGAGTAAAAGATTTAAAGATCGATGGTCCTTTGATCTTCCGGATGCTGACGCCAAAAGGCGGCGCTCATGAGCGATCTCGGAGTCAACACGATTAGTGTTTACTATGCTGGATCGGGGGACGACCATACCGGGTGCATGTCAGCCTTTGAAGATGCTGGAATTTATGTTATGGTTGGCCTTGCCTCGCCCTTGACTGGTATCAACCGAGTGAGAAACAATGCACAACTTTCATCTTGAACTTTCTGACTGGGGGCGTAGACTTCTCCAGCATGGACTACGAGCCAACTCAGCAGTTTTTCGGCAGTCATGGACAACTTCGCCAGCTTCGACAACACGCTCGGGTTTTTTGTTGGAAATGAAGTTGTCAATGATATGACTGTCTCGGATGTCGCTCCGTATGTGAAGGCAGCTGCCCTCGATCTCAAAAGTTACCGGGATTCGAAAGGCTACCGCCAAATTCCTGTTGGATACTCTGGTGCTGCCTACCGAAAATGGATATATATAATTCCCAGATCCAATACAATTCCCTTATATTTCGAAGCTATTATAGATACAAAAAAGTTCTTTTAGACAGGCTAGAATCTCATTAAAAGCGAGGATACGGGAATATACCAGTATATTATTACAAAACTCGGTATAGAGACGGGACTTACAATTATTAAAACCCTAACGGATATTATAGATACCAGCCAAAAGGGTAAAACCACTGTCTTAATATTTAGAAATAGGACTCTTCCTTTTTACAGAATCATCTCTCACCCCGATATACTATCCTCCCTAATTCTAGAAACTCCTATTAATACCATCTATACCTTTCTCTTTGGTTCCGGCAGTCGGTATAATCTCCGTATATTCCGCTCTATAGCAATTGCCATAAGTAGATTAATTTTGGGACATTCTTTAAATAATAAGAAAATCTCTACTATTACTATATTATTAAGTCTTATAATTCTAGACCGGCTAATCGAGATTAACTAGAGTATCCAAGTTATTAAAGGCTTTACTACTATTATAGAAATAATCTCTATCTGTATTCTAAAGAACTTTATAGTACCTAATATATAATAAAGCCTTATTCGAATCAAATATTATCTTAATATCGGCTCTTTATTGCCTCTTATATTACCCTAATTAATTCCGCAAAACCTCCTATCTATAGCCTTCAAATTAAGTCAAGACTTGCCTGGAAATATCTCTAATAACGGCACTCGATATAATAATAATTATATAAATATTACTAATATCCAGATTCTTTCTACTATATAAAAGATTACTTCTCTATAATAAGAATACCTCCCATTAGTCGACTTAATATAATACTATCTATTAGATCTTGCCGGATTTCTAGACAGATAATTCCGACTCTTTTATAAGAATATAATAAAATAACTATAAGATATAGTATATAAAGAGGTTATAAAACTAGAATATTTCAATTATAATATACTAATAATATACTAAGATTAATAAGGTATTTGAAAGCTTATCTATTATAATATCCGCTTCTCTTATATAAATATAGATTATAAAAAGGGTCTATAAGTTATAATAGAATTCGACTAATCTCCCCAAATTAATAATAAATCTATAAAGTAGTAAGAAAACTAATAAAAAGGAAATAAGCTTTTATAAGTCGATTTACTAATTTGCTTTATTTCTTTAAATAGTAAGATTATTTTCTTTTCTATCTATAATCTAATATTACTATTCTATAGAAAAAAGAACTTCGATTTAGATAATAAGAGAAAATTAGATAATATTTCTTGCCTTTTTAGAGAAGCGAATTATATATTTATATTACTAGATCTAGCTAAATATAAAACAGTAAATACTATTTAGATTAGTATTTATATTATATTTTTTAAAACTCGATAATTATTTACTAAGTTTCCGGAAATGCTTTTATTTTCTTTTTAGCTAACTCTATAAGTATTATAGAAAATAAGCCGGAAATTGAATCTTCTATTTATAGAGATTATAATACTAGACTTATAAACCTCTATTACTATTATAAAACCTCTAGTATATATAACTAAAAGAGAATTTAGTTTTAATCTTAATATTCTTACTAGTATATTATTAATTCTAAAACCCGGGCAAGTATTCGATTTTACTAAGCTAAATAGAGGATCTATACTTAATAAAGCCTAATAATTCGCTATTATTCAAGCTTTTAGTATAAAACTAGCTTTTATCTAAGGCCTGCCAGATATAGGAAAGAATTATACTAATATAGCAATTATTAAAGCTTTATTTCATAACCGGAAAGCAACCGACCTAGACTTTATTATTTATATATATTATATGAATTATATTTTTAATTAGTTATTAGAATATTTAGTAAAAAATAGTATAATATAAGTTATTTATTTAGGCTTATAATCCAAATCCGACTTACTTTAAAATCTTATTTTCTATTATATATAGAAAGAAGTTATATCTATAAAAACAGAAAAATATAATAAATAGAAATATAATAGAAATATTAGAAAAATATTATAAGAAATTAAAGATATATTATCTGGATTAAATAATTCAAATTCTTAGACAAATATCTAAGCCTATCTTATAAGAACCTATAATCCGTATTTTAAAGAATTATTTAAAAAGAAAATAAATAAAAATAGATTTCAGGAAATAAAAAAAAGGAAATTTAGAATTATAAAAAGTTGGCTTAAAAAAGTATTAAAGAAATTTGCTTTAAATTATTCTATTATTTAGCTCTCGGCTATTTTTCTAAAAGAGATATTTATATTAAAATATAATACTTTTTATAAGTATTAAATTAAGTAAAGAAATATATAACTTATTAATAATCTTATTTATATACTAAATTCCTATTATAGTTCCAAATCTATATTAGATAAATATTACAGGAAACTAGATCTTTAATATCTTCGAAAAATGTATATTATTAGTATAATAATATCGGACTAATAAGAAATATCGAGTTATTCTAGTATATATAAATAAAAGTTATATTTTATAAAGAAACTAGAAAAGTTTTTAAAGTATATACTCTTATTATATTTCTATTCGGAATTAAATATATAATCTTAATTAGTAATTACAAATAGCTCTAGCCCCAAATAAATAACTATAAGCTTTAATATAATAATTCCTAAAATAAAAAATATTTCTTTAATATTTTACTATTTAAATATCTTATTAAATTATAAATAGAAAATCTCTAGATATTATTAAATATATTAAAAACTTAATAAGAAATATATTCTTCTATTTTAAAACTAATTAAAATCCCGCTTTATTTAAACTTATAAAATCGTTTTTTAATATTAGAATATTAGAATATTATAAGATATATAATAGTAAAATAATATATAAATAATTAAAATAAGTAAGCTATAAAATAATACTTATAAATATAATTAATTTTAAGAATTAATTCTAATAAAAGACTAATTAATATCTCTTTCTAAAGCTAGAAGTATTTCCCTATATATTTTCTAGTATTTAGCCAAATATATAAAGCTCTTTACTTAATTAGGAAATATAAGCTAATATAATTTATATAATTCCAATTACCTATATAATTCTAATTATAAGCTTTACCTAAAATAGGAAACTAGATCTATAATATCTAATATTTATTTATATATTATTATATATATCTATTATATTAATTTTCTCTCTAGGCCTTTATTTCTAAAAGGCCTAAGAAAACTATAAATAGCTTTATAAATAACTTCCTAAAACTTTTCTGGCTACTAGTTCTTTCTAAAAACTTTCTATACTTGCTTTATTATTATACTAGGTAATAGAATTAAAAATATAGTTTACTAATTCTATCTAGTTAACTTGCAAATTATCTCTAGTAATTTCCTCTTATAAAAGTAATATAAATATAATATATATTATTAGAAATAAAGCTTTTCTGGTTTTTTAATTAGTTTATAAATAAATTATTACTTTATAGGTCTAAAAGCTTGGGAAAGTTAATTCGATTTTCTAGTTTATTTATAAATTTCTTTTTTAAAAATTTCTAGATATTTCTGGTATAAAGCTAGTTCCGAATTTATAATTACTATTCGGGAAGAAAGTATTATAAAAAGGCCTTCTTTTTTCTACTAACTAATCTTTCTTTTCCTTAATTATAATACTATATCTAACTCTTTTTTATTTCTTACTTTTCTTTTCTAAGCCTTTTTTAAGCTTCTTTAAATTTTTATTTAAGCTCTTTTCTAATTCCCTTTTCTACTTCTTTATTTATTAAGATAAATACTTCTCTTAGTACTTATTAGCCTATTACTATCTATTTAACTAATATTTCTATATCTTTAATTTGCTCTTACTATTTTTAATATTTTAAGAATATTACTAAGTTTTCTAATCTTATTTATATTAAAAATAATAATAATTTAATATATAATTACTATTATTTTAAAAATAAGAAATATAATTCTATAAGCTATAAATTTCTTCTTTTATTCTCTATTTTAATACTATTTAAGATTTCTTAAATATATATAATATAAATAAACTATTTTCTTTAAGCTATTAATATATATAAGTATTTTCTCTAACCTTTACTTAAAAGAAAAAAGGCTATTACTACTTTTCTTTTATACTAAACTATATATATTTCTTATATTAAAGCTATTATTTAAGGCTAATAAATTCTTCTAATAATTTAAGAAATAGATTAAGTAATTCTTACTAGCTTAGTATAAGTATAAAGTACTTTTAATAGTATAATTAATATTCTTTAGTATTAAATAAGCTTATTTTCTTTTAGTTTCTTACTAATAGCTAATAGCTTTATAGGCTAATTTACTATTTATTTCTCGAGAGAATTCTAATAAGAATTCTAATAAGAATAATAAAGAGTAATTATAAAGGCAGGATATTTATAGAATATAGAAATTAGAGTTTTTAAAGTTTTTAATAATTTTTATATAGTTTTTCTAAAAATAAATATATAGTTTTTAATAGTTTTCTAATAAAAGTATTTATCTTTTATATTTCTATTTAATTAATAATATTATAATATTACTTTTTTTTAAGTATTCTTGTAATTTTTAAGCTATATTCTTTAGATTATTTAGTAATTCCTATATATTATTTACTAGTAAATAGCTTTTCTAATAAATAAGATATTTTCTTTCTTTTCTATTCTTTTTATAGGCTATAATAAATTTTATCTCGAATTCTTCTTTATTCTTAATTTTAACTAGTTCTAGTTCTATTATAATACTAGCTTATAGATATTATAGTTTCAAGAAAGAAATATAGAAAATATTATAGATCTAATATAATAGTAGTAATTTCAAATAATATATCTATTTATATATTTCTATAACTTTTAGAACTTTAAAAGAGCCGAGATATCTATTTACTAGCTTTATACTAGATTATAGCTATTAAATATTCTTTATATAAAGTATAACTTTATTATATATATTAAACTTTTTATTAATATATTTTTTATTATAGTACTTTTTCTATATATCTATTATTTCTTACTATTATTTCTCTAATACTTCCTATTTTACTTGAATTCTCTATACTTTTTCTTATATTACTAGTATTTCTTTTTCTGAAATATTATT